TTAAACCTATAGTATAAGCAATAAATAATACTACTAAGCTTAGCTCTAAGCTAGCCTGCCTCTACTTATCCCCTCTCTCTTCCCTCTAGACTTAACAACTAACTCTAAGTTAACTAGCAACTCTCCCTCCTCTAAGCCTGCTTCTGCGCTCTAGAGTTGCTGCTATACCTGCCTACAGCTGCCTTAGAGCTACTTATATACTGCTTTTTATTAAGCTCTACTATAAAGCTGCGCTTATCTAGAGCTATAAGTAAAGCCTCTATTTTAGCTATATAGCTAGTATACTTATTTAGAATTTAGACTAACTCTACTATAAATATAGCTATAGTAGTAATTAATACTATAATCTCCTCTAACTAACTTAGAATCTCCTTATAGTAGTTTATACTATTATTTAATTCTCTAGCTAGTATTAAGCTAGACTAAGCCTACTTCTTCTCTTTCTAATTATTAGCCTTCTTTAAGGCCTTAAGATTCTTAAAAAATTAAGAAGTAAACTAAGATAGAGAGTTAGTAATACTAAGCTAAAAATAGAGCAAACTATTTATAGTAATATAGAAAGGCATCTTCTTAGCTATAGCTTCTAGCTTCTTCTAGAGGCATAGAAAAATAAAATATATCTTTAATATTATATTATACTATAGTCTAGTTAAAGCTAGAGAAGAGGTAGAGATAGAATAACTTATAGAAATATAATAATTATTATAAATATAATAGTTAAAGCATAATATAGTCTTTAACTTAATAATCTCTTAGTATAAATAAGCTTAGAGCTTATCTAGCTTTAAGCTAGTAGCAGTAGCAGCAGCAGAGATCTAAGCAATATAAGAGATATATATAACTTTATAGATAGAACTAAGCTATATATAAAGTTAAAGCTAAAATAAAGGTAGAATTAGAGATATATACTAACTTACTAGCAACTTTTTAGAACTAAGACTTAGTTATTATTTTGCCTTTAAAAGCACTAGAAGTCTTATAGTAGTTAGCTATTAAGCAGAGATTAAGCTAGTACTAGCTTAAACTTACTATAACTTTCTCTATATTAGTAAACTAAGAGGAGAATATAGTAATAGCTGCTAAAAAAATTAGCAACTCTCTAGATTTAAAGCTAGTATAGAATAAATATAAAGTATATATATATAGATAATAAGTTCTAATAAAGTTTAAAGATAATAATAATAGCAATAATAGTTTAGCAAGAAGTTAGCTAGAATTTAAGTAGAGACTAGCTTAAGCTTAGTAGAGCAGTAAGTAGAGCTAGTTTATTAGTAAGATTTAGTATATATTAAGAGCAAGAAGTTAAAAGAGAAAGAAAAAAGAGAAGGAAGTTAAGAGGAGTCTAGCCGGCTTTATATTTAATAAAAGCTTAAGTTTAGTATAGCAGCTATACTAGCTGTAGCTAGCTGTAAAGCTAGGAGGTAATTTATATATAAAACAAAAGTAAGGTAAATCTAAATATACAAGCTGTTACAGCTAAATACTAGATATTTATACTAGCAGCTATATAATAGTATAGAACTAAGCTAGCCTACTTCTAAGAGAGCAATAAATAATATACTGCACTAAGATAGTCTGCGTCTTTAGAGAGCAAGAACAATTAAGAACTAATAGATAGAATAGAAAATTAAGTAGGTATAAAATAGCTCTAGTATAAAGCTAGAGTTAAGCTATAGCTAGCTGTAAAGCTAAGAGGTAATTTATATATAAAATAAAAGTAAGGTAAATCTAACTATACAAGCTATTACAGCTAAATACTAGATATTTATACTAGTAGCTATATAATAGCATAGAACTAGGCTAGCCTACTTCTAAGAGAGTAATAAATAATATACTATACTAAGATAGTCTGCATTTCTAGAGAGCTAGAATAATTAGGGACTAATAGATAGAATAGGAAATTAAGTAGGCATAAAATAGCTCTAGTATAAAGCTAGAGTTAAGCTATAGCTAGCTGTAAAAGCTAAGAGGTAATTTAAATTTATATATAAAATAGAAGTAAGGTAAATCTAACTATATAAGCTATTATAGCTAAATACTAAATATTTACGCTAGTAGTTATATATTAGCTTAGAGCTAGACTAGCCTACCTTTAAGATAGTAATAAATAATATACTATATAGAGATAGATTGTATCCCTAGTAAGAGAGAATAACTAGAGGCTAGAGAATATAGCAAGAGAATAGGCAGAAGCAGTATAGCTCTAGCGTAGAGCTAGAAGTAGGCTTAATTTTTAGGGGTTATTAGCCCCTCTAGAATACAGCTAGTAAAGCTAGCAATACTTATATACGCACAGAAGGCAGGCAGATTCTAGCTAGCATAGAGCTAGAGCTGCTCTAGAGAGTAAAAACAGAAGTAGGCAGAGTTTTTCTTTCTATTAAAGAGTTTTCTAGGCCTAATATAAAAAGAAGATGTACTAGTTATATAGCTTTATAGCTATCTAGGGTATTTAATATATACTTTTAAAAAATCTAAAAATTAGAAAATCAGAAAATTATAGTAGCAGCGTTTGCAGATGCAAGCTAATGTGCGACCGTAACAGGGCGCTTGGCAAGGCTGCAGGCAGGCGCGGGCAGGCGCGGTGTGCTGTGGACCCTTCCAAATTAGGCACAAGGCACAGGGTGGCCACGCCCGTTTTTTGGTCCGACACAAATCGACCCCCAACGCCCACTACTTGGAGAAACAGCAAAACATGGCCGGGTCGGACTGGTCCTTGTACGCATCCTGGACAATCTTCCTCTCTTGCCTGCCCAGCTCTCGACATTCCATCGGAATCGGTGTCAATTGAACCATCGTCGTCGGTCACGGAAGAGGCGAGTTCTGACCCGTTCCCGACAAGGGCCAGGTGCTCATTGTTACTACAGGATCACGCTCAAGAGTCAAGACCAACCACAAGGGCCGTAGCAGCGAGATGGAAGAATCGAAGACATCCACACGAGACTTGGAGAGTGCAGATGAATGAGAGATGTAATCTACGAATCCATGCAGACAGAAAATCCATGGCAGCATGACGTGACGAGCCGCACCAGCCTCTCACCTGGTTCAACAAAATTGCTAGGGGATAAATAGCAGTCTCCGTTATTTGGAGCCATCTAGCTGGCGCTTGAGTACATTAGTGAGCTTGGCAACCTGCTGGAGCAGCAGAATCGACGACGCCAATAAGGGGAAGCAGCCTTCCCAGCCTATAGCCTCTCCAATGCTGCCCATGTACTCCTCCAGGGACTGGGGTAAATCGAGCTTGGAGATATGGGTGCTAGCCGTGAACTTGTCCAACTTGCGCTCATGATTCTTGCTTTTCTGGAACAAGCTGCCCTCCGGCAACGACATCTTTCATCGCCTTGAAAGCATTGTGAAAGTGCTGCCATAGCCTTACTTGCTCTTGTGGGTTCTGCTGGGAGTGTCTAGTTGAGCGGTATCTTGAGTCAGCCTAGGACCTGTAGCTATTCGATGCCTCTGACTGCAATGCTACCCTTGTTCGATACAAGCATATTTGGTGTGGCATGAACAGCATAGACGACACCGTTAAAGCCCGCCGTCCCCTTGGAGGCCTTTTCGACCGCGTCCTTGCTGCAACCCCCCAAAACTAACAAGTCTAGAGATGCTCGCTCGCAATCCGGCTGGCTTCCTGCCGAAGCATCTGGGGTAATTGTAAGTTATTTCGCATTTCATTTGAGGCGTGAGCTGGGGTTGCCAAGTTGCGAAGCATTGGCGAGGTTTGCATGCCTCCTGTCTAACCATTTCCGCCATCTCCAAGACCAGATTCGTTGTCTTCCATCTTCTTGATGAGGAGGGTACAGTTGAGCCCCTCGAATTTCCTCTCTCAAACATTTTACTTCGTCTGACGATATGCCGGCAGCTTAGCCGCAGCCGAGATTTTGCCGTTTTTGTGCGACTGTTTCATGACCACGCCACGCCCCGGATCCTGGAGAGACTCTGGCAACAATCAATCCTCGATCGTCCCAGAGAACTGTCAGTGTTGGCATTGATTCTGCTGTCAGAATAAAGTTGCATACCCTCGTGAGCTCTGGGTTGCGCCCGCGGACGCTCAGGACGGAAGCAAGCGTCTCTGTCAAGGCTGTCCAAGAGATCTTGGAGCATCTGCTCATAGTCCGGGCAGAGTTTGTTGAATTTGCCCCGGGGTCAGACAAGGGATGTACTGCGGGTCGCTTGCGATGATAGACAAAAGGCGTGACAGTTACTCAAGAAGCGTCTAATTCCAGCCATAACGAGGCCATAATCTATGCCTTCAGTCAAGGAACAGCCCCAATTTTCAACAACGCTCACAGCTGTTGCTAAACGTGGCGTGTCGACCTGGCAGACAATGCATCACTAACGAGCAAAATATGTGGTTTTTCCACACCGTGTCTACCATGGCAACGTGTGCAAGTACGAGCGAGAGCCGGAGCCAGCGAGCTAGACAAGGGGCAGTCTGAAGAGCAGGCTGCTCGTGGCCATGGAAAATGTCGAAGAGTTGGCAAGTAAATACAAGTGATAATGGAGGCACGGGGGTGACATGGCCGTGCCAATCAACTCGAACATCTTGTCCCAGTTTGCAGGAACCCTGTCGGCAACGTTCCCATCATCAATCGACAACGATGTCAAAGGCGCCAAATGCCGAGTGCTCGTCATGTAAAAGAGACATTGTGCGCTTCATATCACCATCCCCCACGAGCATGGCTATGGCTTGATCCGAGACGAGTGGTCTACTGAGTGCTCTATTCTACCTTGACACATGCACTTGGTCACTGACGTGGCCGTGGCGTTTCCGACACACGATGGCCGAACGGGGTTGGCGGAAGCTGTGTCGGAGTCTCGCGGTGTTGATGATGGCAATGAAGAGAATGCTTGACGGTTGTCTCTGAGCCTGAGCATTATCAGCAGCGCCGACCAACTACTGTGGTCCGTCCTGCCAGGACAGAGACAGCAAGACACGACCAGGTCACCAGGCATTGGTGCAAAAGGCGGCCGACATTGCAATGTTGTCCGCCAGACGGACGGAGATGGGCGCCGTTGGCAAAGACATGCTCCTCACCATGGACCAGGCCAGCTCTAGCGCATCCACCGACACGGGCAGCGTCTCGCGTCCTGTGGCCAGTTTGCAGGCACGGCGGCATCGTGATCCCCGCCGAGCCCGACGTTGCCTTGCAGAATCCACGGTTCGCCGCCGGCAGCGGCACGGACGAGGCTATGCAGCGGCGACACAGGCAGCAGAGGGCATGGCCATGCTAAGCTTGAGGCGGCTTCTGTACAGTCAAGTTGCTGCCGGAGCGCGTCTTTTCTTCGCAAACAAGGACGAGGAGTGGGTTGCCGAGAAGACGCGATATGCAGCACCAAGTCCCAAGCAGAAATCCGCTTCCTACCAGCAACTGGGCAGCAAGGACTAAGGAGTAGCAGCGACTCCAGCCGCCCCTGTCCCGACACACACCAACGCTCTCCGTCAGGGAATGGTTGCACCGGGGGCCAGAGGAGCAGATATGTGACTGGCCGAGACATGGTGCCACGGCTTTTTCGGGCTGGCCGAAGGCTCCGCAAGCAAGCCTCACGCCAGCACCCTCCGTGTCAGTCGGTCAGTGTCACTGTCATCCAAGGCAATGTGCGAGGACAGATGCGCCATTTTCGAGATGGCGGCCGTGCCAGCATTGTCGTAGTGTATGCGGTGGGAGAGCGTCGTTGACCTTTGCCCTTGACCTTGGGGACGAGGAGGCTCGGCATGGTTGGTCCCGTAGCCTCGCCCGCAAGGTCGAATTTTGATGCCACGGCGGGTCCCAACGCGAACGAGGGCGCTGGGCCGTTTATTTTTGGAAAGCCACTCCGTACGGAGTCCTTGATGGCTAGTGCTACTCTGTAGCCCGGCCGAACCTGTGTGTGTGGTGTGTGGTGGTTGGGGTTGGTCGAGACTCAAGAGGCATGACGGGGTCAAGGGGGGGCCTCCCGATCCGGCGGGTAAAGCATTACCTGTTGCGACACAATCCCCATTGTTGCAGAAACCCAGAGGTCGTCTCCTGGCCCGGCGAGACCGTGACGGGAAGACAGTCGCGCCGCTGGTTGTCGATCCCAACCCAAGACGCCCACAAGGCCGCCGGTCCAACGGTCAGCGTCCTGCCGAACAGTACTGGATCAAGAGGAGCGAGCGATCCCACTAGAACTGGAACTAAGGAAAAAAAAGGCGCGGCCGGGCTGTTGATGGCCTAGGATGGGCCCTGTCCGCGAGGGAGAGAGGCGGCGGCCGCAAAGGCACGGCTCAAGAGCCAACAAGCAATTCCGCCGCGCTGGTGAAGCACATGGAACAGATTGAGGGCGTCGATTGTATTGATTACGTTGGCCGCTCTCACACATTCAAGGACAAGCGGGCTGGCCTCTGGCTTGGAGATGCCAAATGCCAGGTGCCAGATACGACGTCGAGGACTCGGTACCATACAACCCCGTCTTTTGCGCACACGTGGCTGACATGGCCATTTTCCATTTCCCATGTCCAGTTTTCCAATTTTCTCTCCTCTCTCCGGCTCCTCTTCCGCCGCTTCCTTCTCTGCCTCGCCCGTTTAACTGGTGGCAAGACGACGCCGGACGCTCAGCCAGTCCTCTCGTCGGGACGCTGCATTCCACCCATGCTCGAAGCGAAGCTTGAAACTGCATTGTAGTGTCGAAGCCTCGCCAAGCATGTCGTCCAAGTCGGAGCCTGCGAACTGCCCTGCATCCCCAGAACCGGGTGCCGCCAAGGAGGCTGTGCCAGCGGCACCATCGCCGCAACAGGCAACGCTGGCTGCGACGGACGACAGAGTCTCGGATGCGGCGCTGCCGCCGCCTCATCACCACCATGATGATGATGATGATCATCACCATCCGCAGCAGCAGCAGCAGCCGCCCGTCAGGCTCGTCAGGCAAAAGGACGGACAATGGGGGCTCGCCAGGGACGGCAGGCTCGTCAACAACCTCTCGCGGGTCGTCGGCTTCATGGAGCTCGCCAACGCCGGCGACTTTGCCGCCAACGTGTGGAACGAGATCCCCGTCCCCGTCTACGCCGTCGTCTTCATGGCCGTCGGGGGCACCGTGGCCGGGGTCCTGTCCATCTTCGCCTTCCGGGACGCCAGGCGCGCGTGCTGCAACGTCCGCTACTTGCGGCGGCAGAGACGGCGGCTCCTCGAGGAGAAGAAGCTGCTCGCGGCGAGGTGCGAATCGACCCTGGAGACGGACGTCGTCCTGGCCATCAACTTTCGTGAGCTCGGCACCGAGCTGGTCACGCGCTGGATCATGGACCTTCTCATGGGCTTCGGCGCCGTCCTGATATGCGCCGGCACCTACATGGCCATCGGCGGCGCGAACCCGTCCGCCTATCTCGCCTCCAACCTGCTCTCCGGCTACGTCGGCAACACGCCCATCGCCGTCTTTGGCCTGTGCAACTCGTCGTGGGCCGCCTTCATCTTCACCAAGGCCCAGCGCCATGTCAGCGCCTCCCGGCGCCTGCTCGGCTCCTGCACCGCGACCGCCCTCATCAAGCGGAGAGCTCGCAAAGTCCAGGCCTTTTCCGTCATCAACGGCACCGCTACCATTCTCGGCGGCGTCGGCTCCATCATCACCGCCACGCGCTGGTGGGGATATGTCATCCTCATCCCCGTCATCATATCCTCCGTCTTCTGCAACATCTGGTGGCGAAACGTGATTGGATACACACGATCCGAGGGCCACCCGGCCATGGTCCGGGACGAACTCGTCTACGCGCTCGATTCCGCCGCCGTCTGCGAGGTCAAGGCCCTCGAGGACGCCGAAGCGCCTCCGGCCTGGTGTTCCGAGCTGCCGAGCAGCTCGCTGGACGAGATGCTTCGATTCCTGGCTCGCCACTCGCTCTTTCACCAATACTGCGCCGCCATCACGGCCAACCCACAGGTCTGCCAGGCACTCGGGGGGGACGCAGCCGACCAGGACGAGCTCTCCATCAGCCCCGAGCGTCTCCTGGCCCTTCCCGCCGACCTCCACCCAGTCCTCCTACACCACGCCGACAAGATGGCTCGCCAGGCAGGGCCTGATCACTTCAGGAACAGAGAGCGATATCTCGCGGAAATCCTGGGCACGTACTGCACCTTGGCGGTCCACCACGACGTGATGGACGACACCGACAGCGCTGAGCGCCGGGAGAAGGCTGCGGAACCCATGTAGAAGAATCCGCTCCAGTCCGATACGACCGGCTCGTTTGACAATCCCTTTCTTGCTCATAATTTTGTTGTCGGGCCACTACTTTTTCAGCATACACGCCGTTCCATCTGCATCCTGTTTTGTACTAGAGAGCGATATAGGTTCATACATGACGTAATATTGGGTAATAGAAGCATTGGGTTGTGTGCGACAGTCTTTCCGCATGTCCCTGCAAGTTGTTCAATGTGAAATTGTCAAGGTCCAACATGCCGGATGGGGGACGGTGCGTTGTGCGGTTCATGGATGGTGCTCTTGGAGTCGGGCGCCAGCACCGACAGTAGCAATGGTGGTTTGAAGCCATTCCGAGTGGATGGCTCTACGTATTTCCAACGGGCTGGATAGGCACGTGGTGGTGTCACTCTACAAGTATAGATTTGCTGAGTCGAGATGATGCAGACGGCGGTGGGTTTGGCTCGTGTTTTCGGTCTTCACGATTGCTCTAATTCTTGCTTTGCTCTACGTTGCGAAGCGGCCAAAGGACAAACTGTGTTCCAGGATTTGACAGTTATAGAAGTCGTAAAGAGCACGAGACACGGGAATCATGGCGAAAAAAAGAAGAAGGCGGGAACTGAACCTGCCCGTTGTCAACTCGACGACTCGTCCGTCCGCCGTCGACGACCATGGTCTTGGACGACCAAAAAGGAAAGTGGCTCTCGCCGGGAATTGAACCCGGGTCTCTCAAGCGTGACAAGCTTGCATACTGACCACTATACTACGGAAGATGAACGGCTTTGAACCGTCGTAGTAACTTGCGAGAGACGAGGGCTTATCATGGTATATAGAGGGTATACACCATAAGGAAAAACCCAACTGGTCACCCATGATCATGTACGTTTTCCACATCTCGACCGGCGACACAAGTTTCTAGTGATGCAAATTCACGAGTGCATCTTTTTCTTGGAAATTAAAGCCTGGCTGGACCCCGAATATGCCATGGCTAGATATTCTCCCCCGAAGAACCTCTTTGCCGACCGGAAACGACTATGAAAACCTGGCCGCGGCCGCTGCCATGCACACAAAAAACACAAAAATCCAGGATGCAGCCAGGATGCTGCCCTCCGCGTCCGCGCCCACCTACCAAACAGTCAGACCTGGAAGCAAGCCCAAAGGATTCACTGAAGAAGGGAATGACGGCCCAGTTCATCTACAGCTTGGGCTGCGTGCCCTCCGTCTTGTGCCGGTCCCTGAGCTGCCGTCTCAAGATCTTGCCCGAGGGGCTGCGAGGCACCTCGTCGACGAAAACGACGCCACCCCTGAGCTGCTTGTGCCTCGAAACCTGGCTCTTGACATGATCCTTCAGCTCGTCCTCGGTAATCTTGCCCCGTGCAGCTGGCGCCACAACAACATATGCTCTCGGCAACTCGTCCCCGTCGTGCGCAACGCCGACCACCGCGGCGTCCACGACGGCCGGGTGCGCAATGAGAATGCCCTCCAGCTCGGCGGGAGCGACTTGCAGGCCCTTGTATTTGATGAGTTCCTAGGAGCGCGCCGTCAGCATGGTTCTGGTCGATTCTCGAGCCCCGCGTGCGCTCGCGACTGGGCGGGCGGACCTTTTTCCTGTCGACAATGTACAGCTGGTGCTCCTCCACGCGGAGGATGTCGCCCGTCTTGAACCAGCCGTCGGCGCTGAAGGAGGACTTGTTGGCCTCGGCGTTGTTGTGGTAGCCCTTTGTTATGACGGGGCCCTTGAGCCAGGCTTCCCCGGCCTCGCCTGGCTTGACGTCGTTTTCGTCCTCGTCCACCAGCCTATGCAACCGAGGTCGTCACGTCAGCCGTCTCGCCGTGTCGACAAGCCAAGCTCTCCTGGAGACGCATTCAGAAGCTCCCCTCCTCCCCCTCTTCTTCGTCCCTCCGAGGACTCACTCACCGTAGGGTAATGTTGGGAAGCAGGTACCCCAGGGCGCTGTTGGTCGGCGACCTGTCGGGGGCCAGGTTCGTCACCGTCCCCGTCGATTCGCTCATGCCCCAAATCTGGGCCAAGTACGCGTCGCTCGGCAGCTTCCTGCTCGCAGCCTCTTGGGTCTCGCCGTTGAGCGGCGCCGCGCCGCTGACTGCATACCGGAGGTGCTTCAGCTGGTCCTTGACGGCTGGGTGCTTCGCAATGGCCATGTAGATTGGCGGCACGCTGAACAAGTGCGTGATGCGCAGCTCCGCGCAGTACCTGATGAAGTCGTCAAAGTTGAACTTGGGCATCCAGTAGACGCAGCTGCCCTCGTAGAAGGGGCTGACAAAATAGCCCTGCACGCCGGCGATGTGGGCGGCCGGGAGATGGCCGAGGGTGCGGCCCTCGAACGGCCGGCCCTCCTTTTCCCACTGCTCGAACACGGGGCGGTTCTGGGTCGAGGGCAGCACGGCTTCCGCGACCATGTTTGTGTGCGAGACTCGGACGCCTGCACGAGAAGCATGTTAACGCGCTGAACGCGGCGCCCCGTGGGAGACGTGGGAGAGGGCCCCGTCTGTGCCCGGACACGGGATACCTTTGGGCAGACCCGTCGTTCCGGAAGAGTACAGTATGCAGATGGTGCGGTGTTCCAGCTCTTCCGGGTCCGTTATCCTCGGCCACTCGAGGCCCTGTCTGAAGTCGCACGCGGCCGAGCCGTCGGCGCTGCGGAGCTCAAGACGTGGGTGTGACTTGAGGACGAGCACGTTGCGCAGGGGAAGCCCGGCGGCTCCGGCGGCTGCCTCGGCGAGAGGGCGCAGGTCGTCGCTGCAGACCAGCACCCTGCCCGGCCCGTCGTTGATCTGCCCGGCCAGGTCTGCGGGCGTGCTGGCCGAGGACGCGGCAGAGTAGATGCCCTCGGCGCCGATGACGCCCCAGAACACGCAGGGCAGCGCGCTCTGGCCAGTCGACACGGAGACGACGACGTCTTGGCCGGGTCCGGAGCTTCCCACGCCGTAGGTGTGCCGGAGGAAATGGGCGAATTGCCTGGTCAGGTCGCGGGCTGCCGACTTGGTAATGACGTGAGCGGCATCATGCGCCTCGGCGTGCAAGGGCGTGTCTTCCTCTGCTCGGCACGTCGGGTGCTCTGGTGGTGCGCGTCAGCTGGTCCGCCTGCCCGCCCATCGTGTAGGGCCATGGAGCGCCGAGGCCTGGCGACGTTACCAAAGAGAAAGGTCAAGAGGTCGACGTTGGGCACGGCGGCGACGTTTCCGCTGTTGTAAATCATGGCGCTGGCGCTCAGGGGGTCAGGAGGCTCGGCGGACAAGAGGACGAGAGGACAAGAGGACGAGCAGCGAGGACTCGCGGAACTGGACTTCGTACTTTATAGCGGGAACCAGTCGTATCAGGGGCTGGAAAAGGAATGGCTGGACCAAATGAGGCACTGGGCGCAGATGGAGATGGACATGGCCGAAGCCTCGGCCTGGCAACCACACGTCTTCCCTCCCCATCACCAAGTCGCCTCTGACCTCTCTACCCCGCAAAGGAAGCCGGGCCGGGAGACGGGACGCCATCGGGGTTGCTCATTGGGCATTGGTCCAATACATAACGCCAACCAGGGTCATCAACTTGTTGTGGTTGGGAGTCCAACGTTCCGCAAGTCCAAGTTGCCACCCAGAGGCGCTAACAGCCGGGCCAAGAGCGGGGTGTGAACGGGAACAAGACCGGGCTCTACGGAGTACAGGTTGGACGATTGACGGGCCCGTGGAACGACGCATGGTGCGAGTTACCCCGGATCGGGTGAGGCTCCTTCACAGACAATCACGGACACAAGTTACGAACGAGGCGCCGGTAGACGGCAAAAGGCCCGAGGGCACGGCTCGCGAAACCACCAATAGACCAATAGACGCAGTGTTCCTCGTCGAGCCGGGTTGCATTTGTGTAACCGTCACGCTGGGTCCTTGAAGAGAGGGCTTCCAAAACGCCACCTCTCAGGCACAAGTTACAACTAGCATTGGCACACGCAATGCCGCCTGCACTCGCCGTCCTACCAAGCCGTAACAGCAAGTTGGAGAACGAGACCTGGGGCAGAAGAGCTTTACTATCAACGCCAAAGTCCCAGCCCTCAGACGAGCCCTTGTCACGTGTATCAATTGGTGGTTTCCCAGCCCTTCGAAGTGCTTTACACGCGGTATATGATCAAGGGATGCCACGGCTTGCCTGCGTGTAACCTCGGCCAAAGTGACCAAGGCATCATGAGTCAAGGCTTCAAGCCTTGTTGGCGCAAGTCATGCGGTTGAGGCGTTTGTCTTTTGTTGACCGCAACTTCGGATTGACTTCGATGCGACGTGACGCTCGGATGGCTCAGGAGCGGATAGGGTAACAAGAACAACAACAGCAGCAACAACAGTGATGCGTCAATAAGCTGTGAAACAAACTTCATCTCTGCATTTCAAGGTTTGGCGTGACGTGCTTCTTCAAGGCCTTGGATTCTGTCGAGTCATGTTTTCCATGGTTCCGAACCACATGGAACAAGATGGCCTCCAAGCGCCATGTCTACCATGACGGATTCATGGGCGGCCAAAAGCAACGCCTTGCTTTGGCGCAACAAGATTGCATTCAAGATTCAAGCCAGCCGCATGACGACGCTGCGCCAAGACCGAAAGCCGAGGGGTTGGTGGTTTCTTCATCAGCTGAAGCGATGAGGCAGAGACGACAGGAAATGCGGCGGATCACGTATTATGTATTATTCCCGTGCTTTATTGCTCTCGTCCGGTCTCCACCAAGCGCCAATCCATGTCAGGTCGAAGAAAAACAGACTCCAGCTAGACAAGTTTCCGACACGGGCCAACCGCCGGCGGGCACTCTCTCGCTGCTACTGCCTACTACTCGGACAAAAGGGATACATCGTGAGAGGCGGAAACGCCGCAGCTCGCCGTCACACGGAGCGGTTACACCTTTTCACGGGTCAGAACAGACCCTCTCAACGGCTCCAGAAGCATGATGCCGAGTGGGTGCATCATGGTGCTCCTGTTCTGCCACGTTTGTGAGCTGGCACAAAGAAATGCGTGTGTATGCGTCGAGGTATATATATTGCTCGACGCAACCCTCCTTTTCTGGCGTTCCCTAGCAAAGCACAGCAAGTTGCAAAATCAAAAGTTTCACCGCAAACCTATCTACTCGTCTGCCGAGCAGCACGATTCTACCTGTCCCCTCTGATTTTCCTACAAGTCAAATCTTATCAATATGAAGGCCTCTAGTGTTCTTGCTCTTGCCTTTCCGGACTGGCCATGGCCGCTCCTACTGGCACGTCCGGTGTGGACGTTCCCGCGGCCCAAGGGGAGGTCAAGTGCCTCAAGAAAATGATTGCTACTGTCGAGAAAGATATTGACCCAAGCATTCAGGGGCAAAAAAAACGCAACGAGCTCGCGGGACAAAGGAGTGAGCAAATGCTCAAGTTGGCGACAGGTTTGGTGAATGGCTCTGGTGGGCAAGCGCAGGGAGAGGGCAAGGAAATATTGGAACTGATCCAGCAGTCCGTCCAGGCTAGCAAGGACAAGGACCGCAGACTCCCTGAACAGGTAAGCACACGGACAAAAGTTGAACGAGTTGGGGGAGAGCTTGAAAGCTAATGCGGAAAACTACAGGAAGCCAGGTGAAAGAAGCAGATCCAAAATATCAGGAAACAAGCAGAGATCATTGAGAACGCGCTCGAGCCCTAAATTGCACGGAATATCTTGTCTTGTGCTGTTGGCTCCTGGCCATGTTGGGCCCCGTTGGATGATGAAGCCGGGTGGTTGTATAGAGTTCTCCTGTTGGGGTTTGAGCTTGTCCAGCCATACCAGTAGAGTAGAGAAATAGATTCCCGCCTCGTTGCGTTTTCCGAGCACCGGCAACAAAGACTTGTGTTTATTCTCCGTGACCAGGGGGGATGAGACTAGGCTTTGAACCACGAGACGAACTCAAATCTAGTAATCAGCTTTGGTACCAAGGTCCTCGGCCTCGACCTTGCGTCCGTGGAGGCCGAGTGAACAGTCTCGCGTAACCGTTGTTGGCCTTTGTTTGGCCACCGGCCCTGGATGTGAATTATGAAGCCCTAACCCTACTGCGAAGCCGGATCAAGAAGCATGGCGCATTCCCATGGGCCACCACCACCTTCCTTGCCAAGTTGCCAGGGCCTTTTTTTTTCTCTCTTCTCCTCTACCTCTGGTCAAACTTGGCACGGCCGTTTCCGGCTCCTCTCTGCGTCGTCACTTCGGGATTCGTCGCTCGAGATTCGTCGTTGTCCCCCAAGTACCATCCATACCCCGTCATCCGCGCACATTGAAATAGCATTTTATTGGACTCGAGTACTCTGCAGCGGCCGGTCATGGCTCTTCCTGGTCAAACCGAACAGCTCGATACAGGCCATGGCTCGACAGCCGTTCAGGCATTAATCAACCTCCTCAAGCGAACGGTCGAACCCTCCTGCGCGAACAACGAGGGCAACCATCACGGCCACCACGACATAGCCGACAAGGACGTTCTCGCAGCCATGCAGCATCTCGTGCCACACCTGCGTCACCATGGCCCCCTCTGGGCGGCCTTCCACGACGGTCAGGTACACCATCCCCTCGGCGGCGGCGCCTACGCGTTCAAACATGATATTGTTGGGCCTCTGCTTCAGGCCCTCGCCAATGATGAGCACCTCGACTTCGCCGCCCGGCCGGGGACATCAAGCCTCCCTACACGTCCCGTTGTCATCCATGTTGGGGCGCAGCCAAACAACTCGCCCCACGCGGGCACTCTGGTTGTCTTCAGCCTGGCTTTCTTGCTCGCCCGGGCGTTGCGTTTGCGGACCAGACGTGACGATCAAGCCGAGGTTGAGGCTGAGGCTGAAGTATCGGTCCAAGTCACCTTTGTCGACACAGCACCCGTCAGCAACGAAACCTGTGAGATACACCGAGTCCAGTACCAGCGCACGTACAGGGACAACCCGGCGGCCCTCGCAGTGCACATGGGCGAGTATGAGCAACTCCTTGGCCTCATGTCCGCATGGTCTGGTATCCCCTTCCGCACCAGCCGCCAGTCTGACTTCTCTGCCCACCCGGCAGTTCCGGCCTTGATGAGCTACATTGTTGGCCACCGGGACCGTCTTGCCATGCAGCTAGCACCTAAACACCAAGCATTAGCCATCCGTGCTGCCTGTCCCGTTGATGGGTGTGGCCTCGTCGAGAAACACGGCAGGCTGAACCGCTACACCGACAGCGGTGTCACTTTCGCCTGTCCGAACCACGGCGAGCACAGCATTTCATTCAATGACCCTTCAGAGGTGGTTCGACTCGAGGCAAACACGCCGACGAGGAACCTCATCCGCTCCATGACCCATGTTCTTGACCAGTCTGCCCACCACATCCGTGTCACGGGCGCAGACTACGCCGGGACGTATCAAGAGGCTTGTCTCTATCGCCCGCTCGCGGAGTGGTCTGCCAGGACTGGCCGTACAAGCATTCGGATGCCGCACATCATCTACGCTCCTCTCATTGTTGACTGGAGCGGAGCCAAGCTGTCAAAGAGCTTCTATGTCTGCAAAGGGGGCTACAGTGCCATGGAACTGTTAGGTTTGGACGGCCTATGCAGCTACACCAGACTCAAGGCCAAGCATGGACACCAAGGGCTCCGGCGCATTTGGGACGAGGTCGAGAGGTGGTTAAAACACCCTCACATGTTGTTTCGGGCATCCTACTCTGTCGAGTACTTTCGGGGAGTTTTGAACAAGGAAACCTGGGCTAGCTGAGCGCTAGGCTTGCAACCTCAACCTGTTGCGCGCCTCACGCTCTGATTATGCGTTTTGAACCAAAGGCAGCCAAGGCAGCCATTGGAACAGTGCGAGTGGAAGCTGATGCTTGACCTGTCGTCCCTTCACCGAAACCGAAACCGCGGGTGCTTTGTCTGGTTTCATCTGCAACAATAGATTTAGAGGGTTTGCTTTCTGCGCAAGTTTCTGTGTGCAAGCTCAAAAGGCGGTGCAACCTGCCTTCCAGCCCGCCAGACAGTACATACAGTCCCTCGAGGCTGTTGAATAAGAATTAGAGATTCTTCACATGCACACCCGCTGCCGTCGTTGACAGAGGACGCCGGGCTTGCTTTATCGCTTCAAGAATGCGTCATCCTTTCCCAGGATCTGCTTTACTTTGTCGTTTCGCTCATCTTCCGGTCCCCAACGGTCTAGCCACATGTCTTTCCTTACATATGACCACCCCATTGGCGCTCCCGTCCCCCATATGGTCGTCAGCTCCTGTAGAGCGATGGGTTTCACAAGCTGATAGAGCTCGACTATGGGATATCCGTACTTGGCGACTTTCTTGCCCTCATTGAAATCAGAATTTCCAATGCCAAAGGGTTCCATCGGCACGGAGCCCGGTTTATGGCGGATTGTTGGAGGAATAGCAGCGATATGACTGGTAAAAAAGGGGAGGGAGGGAACATCAGTTAAAAGCACAAAACAAGAGGCACAAGGATGGGATGAAATTCACACGTTATTGCTTGGGACCCCTTATCCTGATCCGTTCCACGGGTCTCGTAGAGCCACAGCCGCTCCACGCCATCTTTTAGACGGTAATTCCGATATTCGTGGTTCTTTTGTCCCAAGCAGATATTTTTCAGATGTTGAGGCTTGATAGCAAGCAGAACGTCTGTTACGACGCGGTCTGATGTATTATTTTTTCTCGAGGCTGCAGAGGGACGATTTGCCAAGCGCGTCCCTTTGGCGACGCCGGCAGTTGGCTGCATACCCGACGCGGATACCTCGAAATGAGAGGACAACGTGGTTTGTCTCCTGTTCGGCTGCGTCGGTTGCGTGCGTGTGGGCGCCATCTCTCACAGAGGGACAGATGCAACTGTCATGATCCAGAAGGCGCAGAGACGAGGCACTTTGCGATAGCTCGGATTCGTTTCATTCATCAGTCCTCCGTGCGTGGTGCGTGGGGTAAAAAAGAAAAAAAAAAAAAAAAAAAAGGCCCAAAGTCGTTTGGATAAAAATGCCTACCTACACCGTGCCAAAGACAAAGAAAGAAAGAGGAAAGACGCGAGAGACGCGCGTCATGTACGGAGTACCCCAGACGCGTTGCGTTGCGGGGCAAAAGCCGCGTGGGGACACACAGAGTGATGCAGTGCTTTTGCTTAGGGTTGGGGTTTCACCTCCATGATTCGAGGCTCATCTGAGACTTTTTGTCGACAACCCTCACGGACCACGGCTGGCTTCCTCACGCGCTTGGTCTGCCCAAATAAACGAGACCCGGGATTTGCACTGTCCAGACTCCGGACGCCTCTCACGTCGTCTCTAGCTTTATCTCATACGCTGTGATCAATCATCGACAGTCTACTGTCTCACGAAACACATCATCCTGGGGCTTCTCCCCAAGCCAGAGTTCATCGTCAACCCACCTTCACGCCACGCACCTACGCTCTTCACAGACACCCCAACCCGTGGTTGCCCGAATAACAAACGAAGCTTACGGCCACAAGTCCCCATCCAATAGCACGGGGGGGGGTCAGCGATGCAGATTTTACGTCGACGTCGCCCCGTAAGGCGTTTCCCGGCGCAACGTAACGACGCCGCCCTTGTTCAAGGGCTCAACTGCGACCCAACGTAATCATTGACAGGCCGGCAGTGCAAAATGGGGGCCATGAAGGGGCTTACAAGGACCCATTGGAGGTCTGAGTCGAATCGCAGCGACCGAACGTCACCCGACTGACAGGAAGACTCGAGGTATTTCTCAACATGTGCTCCTACCAGTGCTTGAAAAAAAATGCCGACAAATCCAACCGCAACCTCGACGAATTCTCTGACACGGCGATGGCTCCGCCCTCAGATCAAGGTAATGCCTTCTCACAACTCAGCACGGCATTATCCGCAGGCAGTTGCACAAAACCGCCCAGCCGCATCAGAGACGGTCCCTGTCACACATGCCGGCGTCAGCGGCTTCGCTGCGATGCCACCAAGCCCAGTTGCGACAAGTGCCTGGCACGAGGCGTGGAATGTCTGGGCTACGGCACACAAGCTATCCTCTGGGTGAAGCCCAAATTACTGGTGCAAGAGGGAAACTCGAGCGAAGCCACCGCCTGTGCAAACGCGCCAAGGCCGACGCGGAAAAGGAAGGGAAGGCCAAGATTGGTGCTCATGTCCAAGGATGGGCAAGAGGGACGAGAGCCAAGCCGAATCTTGGCGAAATCACACTTTCAAACACGCTGTGAATCGAAAGGCGTTTTTGTGAATCACTCCAATGCAATGCAAGCAAGGCAAGGCGGCAAACCGCTGTCGAGGAAGCAGCCTGTATCGCGCGAGTTAGTCCCTGCTGGTTATCACAACCACATGTTGTACCTTTCCATGCTGGAATATAGTATGTGATTGGCTACCTATTGCAGCATCACATCGCAGCCAGCGGACTAAAACTAACAACGTCGTGGGACTAGTGAACAAGTACGTCGTTTCAGACTTGGTTCTTTTTGACACGGGAGTCAACCCTCACAGAGTCGAGCTTCAGTACTGGTCGTACTTCCCGGACGTCATGATGAGCATGATCATCTCGAGCTGCCTCACGCACCAGGTTATACGGTGCCACGCAACCCAAGACAACTTCCCACTGACGTCGAGCAATGCGCGCGGCCAGCTCGTGCACGGCGCAAAACATGGAGTATCGTCGTTTCAAAACCCATCTGTTGGCGTCATATACAGGCATCACCAGCGCACGCTGAGGCAGCTCGGCGAGGACCTGAACGATGCAGATCTCCGGTATAGCGATACCGTGCTCGTGGCCGTCATTACATTGATGAGAGTAGAGGTTCGCAGCGCCCGCCGGACACAAAATAGGGTACATGACCAGCTTACGGTGCATAGATTCAACAGTCAGCCTTTGGGGCATGGCCGACCCATCTCCACGCCGCGAGAGCCATCATCGCCCAGCGTGGTGGTTTCAAATCATTCCTGCCCGAAAACGGAACGTCCATATGCGAGGCTCTGACCACCTTCATCTTGTGAGTAGCCACCCGTGCAAAGCATGGCCAAGGCGCAAAATTGACAAAGGTCAGCATGGACGTCCTGGGCGCCATATTCACACCCGGCAACATGCTCCGTGCCCGTGACGCACGGCATCAGCTTGAATACATTCCCTTTCTTGGCGCAGTTTTCAGGAACGGCGCGAATTCCGACTTTCCCTGCGCAGACCAACTACTTGAATGCATCATCCGAATCGACCATGTACGGCTGCTTGGCCAGGGTGCCATGGCAGACGCGCCCGACCTAGACACGGCGTGTTGGCAAATATTCTGCCGCATCGCATCGTTTGATCCTGCAGCCTGGGCGCAATACCAGCTGCTCGAACTCGCACCATCTCCTTTCCCCGAGGGCCGGGACAATGGAGCGGCCGGGCTCGACGCTCCCCACGCCACCATTGCAAGCATGACTGAGGATCTGGCCAGGGCGTTTCAATATGCCGTTATGCTGTACTGCATGCGAACCCTCTACATGGACCGCGGCAAGTCCATCGCAGATCTGCTCGCGTCTCCTCCCGCTGCCGCGCTTGCACTACGTGGCCAGTCTACGCGGCTTGATCCGCTGCTTCTTTGCACAAGTAAGAGGTGGCGCTGGGAAAGGCATAAGAGACGTGACCGCTGTTCTTGTGCTTGGTATGAAACTGCAAGCCGAGGGTTAGGCCGTCGTTGCGCGTCTACACTTTGGTTGGCATACCAAATGAGCCGAATGTGGGAATAGTATAAACCAATGCAATAGGAGCGCTCTCCGCGGGCCAACAACAACACCATGAAGCTCAAGTCGGTTACTTGAGCTGCCTGCGTAGCATCAATGACGTTGAATCGACTGATGTTGAACAAGGCGCATCAGAGCGAATGGTTCGGGCTCGATAAAGGCTTGGCGGGTTGCCATAGACACTGCTGGCGGCTGGATGTGGCGACCGCCGGAGGGGAACGTTGTGAAAGCAAAGACGAGGCGGAGCAAACGTCAATTGACAAATCCATCTCGCGAGATCACCCACAAAACAAAAAGACGACGTAAGACGAAATGCAGATCTCACAGAAATAGATGCGGCCATCGGGAGTCGAACCCGAGTCGGCTGAATGGAAATCAGCCATGCTGACCGTTACACCATGGCCGCTGCGACGCTAAGTCCAAGGGTAATTATGACTTGTGAACCTACATTTTGTTGTATTGACCATTCTACACATGTCATGATGCTGAGCCATTAATGATCACACCAGGGGAGTCCGTCCTATCAGCACGGCACACTTTCTTAATGATTTGTGCCTTGCAAGAGCTGTTTCTTTCTCAGACACGCTGTTGTGTAACGGTATTCAAACATGAAAGAAAAAGAGTTAATCAGCGTATGAATGAAGGTCGAGTACGGTGTCCGGGAGACGCTGGCGCCACATGCGGACTTAATGACGGCAAGAAAGGCACATGGGTATGTTGTCGGTGCTACGAGTCTGTCCGACGTTACACGACACCCCCCCGGGGACGGAGCACTGCAGGTTGCGAGTCTTTGCGACAAGTTAGACGTGGCGGACGGTGTTGCTCGCAGGTCCGAGTATATCCGCAAGCTGGTGGTGCGGCGACACGAAGTACATTGTACGTACGGAGTACTCCGTACGTAGTACTACGGAGTCCCTTGGATGGCAGACATGTTCAGCTTCCACCGCCTCCCAAGTGGGACGCGGCATCCACAACAGGCAGCCTTGCTTGTGCCATGTAAAACCACGGGTTCACGCTCGCCGTTGGTGGACGTCGTATTCCGACGGAGGGTTGCTCAGCAGGCGGGCAAAGTGGGTTTGTCCTCCGGCGCATCTCGGACGTTGGTGCTCCGTGACACCGTACGTACGAACTACCTGGGCAGTTATTCAGACACGGGGTGCGGCGTACTACCGTTAGTACGTACTGCTGTATGTAATCCTGTTCTGGCACCTCGCATGCCATCATCTACACATTCAACCACCCAGACCCGCGAGCGATGACGTGGTTACGGCGGGGTGGCTGCCTGGGACGGCCCGCAAGGCGCTGGAGCAGCGCTTGAGCAGATACGCTAACGGGCGCAGACCGACCCCAGCAGCACCTGACCCAGCGCCCAGCGCCCAGCGCCCAGCACCCAAGCCCAGTGCACCTCGGAGGCCCATGCCATCAATCGGTTCAGGCGGCCGATCGAGGCCCGAGATCTTATCTGATCAGCCGACGGTCCCCAGCTGGCAGCTGGCCTGGGCAGCCGCCATGCCACGGTCCAGTCGACCGACGACCACACCTGGTCACATTGTCAGCCCAAGTTGTTACTCACCCCCTGACCCTTCTTTCTTCTTCCCGGTGCCAGATCCTTTGTCCTCCTTGGCTTCCTTGCTCTTCTCTCCTTCCGCCATGAGAGACAAACGCCCTGCGACATCTCTGTCGTCACCCATCCCTCACTCGCAAGGCCGTTGATGCGGCTCGCTGCCGCCATCCGAGGCCCCGACAAAAATGTCTCGCTCGCCATCTCAGACACCGGCCCGTGAGCCGTTGCCCCGTCTGTCCCGAAGCTCCCAGCGTGCCCACGAACAAACATCCCTCCTGTCCTCCTCCGAGTCTGACGCCGGCTGTGGCCCCAGTCGTGCCCGCGGCGTGGTGCGCATGGAAATGGTGGCATCGCAGCTCACCACCTCGGAGCGAGCATGGTTGTTCTTTGGCATATTCCTCGTCGGATACGCATATGGCCTGGAGAGCCAAGTCCGCGCAACCTACCAACCTTACGCTACCTCGTCCTTCTCCCTACACTCGTACCTGTCCACCATCAACGTGCTCCGAAGCGTCGTTGCCGTGGCGGTCCAGCCGACGGCCGCCAAAGTCGCAGATCTATTCGGCCGTTTTGAGATCGTGGCCGCTTCCACCGCTTGCTACGTCCTCGGCATGTTCATCGAGTCCACTGCCTCCTCGGTCTATGCGTTTTGCGTCGGCGCAATCATCTACCAGATAGGGTACACTTGCATCGTGCTGGTGCTCGAGGTCCTCGTCGCCGACTTCTCATCTATGCGGGCCCGCGTCTTCTTCAGCTACATACCTGCCCTGCCCTTTGTCGTCAACACCTGGATCAGTGGCACCGTGACGTCCGCCGTCTTGTCGGTTGCGACTTGGCGATGGGGCATCGGCATGTGGTGCATCATCTATCCCATCTGCTCGTGGCCCCTGCTCACCACCCTGTACAAGATTGACCGCCGCGCTTCGCCGCCAAAGCACGCCGCGCCCAAGAGCTTCCGTGACGGATGGAAATGGAGCCTTCCGGGGCTTGGAAAGTCAACGAGGGGGCTGGCGGACCGGCTGGACGGCGTCGGACTGGCCACCATGGTGGGTGCATTCAGCTTCATCCTCGCGCCCGCCTCCGTCATTGGAACCACGGCCGAGCACTGGAGAAACCCGTACGTGGTTGCCTCGCTGGCCGTCGGCTTCGTCCTCGTGCCCACATTCGTCATTTGGGAACGCCGTGGTGCCAAGACGCCTCTCGTGCCTTTCCACCTCTTGGCCGATCGCGGTGTCTGGGCCGCCCTCGCCGTTCGAAGCCTGCTCAACTTCGCATGGTATGTCCAGGGCAACTACCTGTACACGGTTCTCGTCGTGGCCTTTGACTTTTCCATAGGCACGGCGACCCGCGTCCTGTCGTTCTACTCCTTCTTTGGCGTCATGAGCGGCGTCATAGCAGGCCTGGTGGTCTATCGGGTTCGACGACTGAAAGCCATGATTGTCGGCGGCACGATCCTGTTCGCCCTTTCCTTCGTGCTACTTTGCAGGTTTCCAGGGGGGGTGACGGCTCATGCGCAGGCGGGCATGATCAGCGGACAGGTTCTCATGGGTCTTGCCAGCGGTCTCTTTGCCTACCCAACACAGGCGTCTATCCAGGCGTCAGCGACCCGCGACCACGTTGCCATTCTCACCGGCTTATATCTGTCCTTTTACAACGTTGGCAGCGCCTTTGGTACCTGCCTAGCCGGCGCCATCTGGAGCCAAGCGTTGTATCCCACGCTCAAGCAAAACCTGGCCTTTCAGCCCAACGAGACGCTGGCAGGCCACATGTACAAGTCGCCGTTTGCTGTTGTGGCGCGATACCCTGTCGGGACGGAGATTCGAAGCGCCATCATCGAAAGCTACAAGTCTGTGCAGCTGCTGCTCTGCGCGGCGGGCTTGTGTTTGTGCATGCCGATGATTGCGTTTGCCTTGGCGCTGAGGAACCCCAGGCTTTCGAAGCAGCAGGTTCAGGAGGAGGCACTGGAGGCGGACGAGCAGGATACATGATAGACCATGGGCACATAATCGGGGCAAGCTTGATAGACCTCCAACGCTGGCGGGATTTTACCTGGCCCGCCCAGGATTTCAGTTCCTAGGTGCGCGTGATTGGGTGGTCGTGGCTTGGATCCAGGCACCCCGGCCGGGAATAAAGATCATGTCGAGGGCATTTACGATTTAGACCTGCAATTGATTCGAGTTTGTTTACGGGAGCGAGGCTCGGCGACGCTTGACTGCCATGTAAGCAGGCCGGGGTCTCGAGCTGCTCCAAGTCTGGTTCCTCCCTGTGTGAAGAGTGAAGATGCGAGGATGGTAGTTGAGGATCTGCCATCATGCGCCAAGCAGCGGCATGCAAGGTGATTGATGGGCATGCGGCTCAATCTGTCCCTGCGCAGCGCTTCTTACCGAAAACTTGCCAGAGTTGGGCGCCCTGCCCACCGGCAGTCGCCACGTGCGCCGCCAAACCTGTGCACTGTACTCCGTAGCCGCTCCGCACTCCCAAGTCAGCCGCGGCGCCGTCGGCCATCCTCGGCCGCCAAGTCGTGATTTCACTCATGGTCCTCGATCCTTCAACCACAGTCGCTCTGGCCCAACGACCGGCCCGTCCTGCCCATCGTCACCAGCAGGCATCATGGCGTCGCCACCACAGGATGCGGCGAATCCGGACAAGAAAAAGAGTCCTAGTGCCCTGCGGTCAATTCTTGCGGGCTCGACTGCTGGCGCCGTTGAGATTGGTACGCCCACCTCCCGGACGACATTTCGGTCATGGCAGCACACTGCTAATATGAAATTGCTCTGCTCCAGCCATAACGTATCCTGCGGAATGTATGTTGAAGCTCCCGAACCCGGTGCGCTGTGCCAATCGGGCAGCTGTCGACCTTGGACCCTACGACCGCGATACTAACTCACGCAGTTGCCAAGACCAGGTCGCAGCTGAATAGGCGCTTGGCCGAGGGCCAGAAATTGCCCTGGCCACCGTTTGGAAAGCAGTGGTACGCAGGGTGCACCACGCTCATCATTGGAAACTCGGCCAAGGCTGGCATTCGTACGTGGCCAAACCAGTCGTTCTGCCGTCGCCGTTGCCATGTGTCCGCGGGACCCCCCCTAACACCAGCCCGTGTGGTTTAGGATTCGTCGCATTCGACCAGTACAAGCGCATGCTTGCCGACGCCGATGGAAAACTGTCCGGTCCCCGAACGGTCCTCGCCGGCTTTGGAGCTGGTGTCACGGAATCATTGCTGGCCGTGACACCAACCGAGAGTATCAAGACCACCCTGTACGCTTACTCCGCGGGCAAGGAAGCATCCCCCTTCTCTCAAGAGCCTAGCCGCTAACCCTCGCCAGCATCGACGACAAAAAGTCCCCCAAGCCCCGATTGCGCGGCTTCCTCCACGCCGTCCCCATCATTGCCCGCGAGCGTGGCGTCCGCGGCTTCTTCCAGGGCTTCGTGCCGACGACGGCTCGCCAGGCCGCCAACAGCGCCACGCGCTTCGGCTCGTACACGTTTCTCAAGCAAATGGCTGAATCATACACGGCCCCGGGCGAGAAGCTCGGTGCGGTGGGCACGTTTGCCATGGGCGGCCTCGCCGGGCTGGTTACGGTGTTTGTCACGCAGCCCCTGGATACCATCAAGACGCGAATGCAGAGCATCGAGGCTCGCCAGCAGTATGGGAATACGTTCCGCTGCGCGACCATGATCTTCAAGCAGGAGGGTGTCTTGACCTTTTGGAGCGGTGCTTTGCCCAGGCTGGCGAGGCTGGTGTTGAGCGGCGGCATCGTTTTTACCATGTACGAGAAGAGCATGGATCTTTTTCACAAGCTGGACCCGGAAATGAAGTACATCTAAACTGCTGGCGGACATTGGGCTGGGGTTTGGGCGCTTAGACAGTGCGGATATATCACGGTGTAGGGGTAAGACTTCAAAAGCCACATATAGACTATTCGGATTATACATGATACGTTTCTAGAGTCTTTTCTCGTGTTTCTAATGCTATACACATATCGTACAGTCTCCCATGGCATGGAGGGGAAGCGTGTTTCTCGTGACATGACGTGACGTGACGTGGTATCCAAGGAGTCTGCTCCAACGTTCTCCGACGCATGACATGTACAAGGCAGAGCGACACCGTGGGAAAACCGCCTCCGAGCGCCTTACTGAAGTCGAATCATTCCAGATAGTCGTTTGCCCAACCGCTCTAGCCACGTCCTTCTCGGTGCCTCGTCAATTTCTCGGACGAGATCTTGGAAATATGTCGGTTGGCTTTTAGGTTCCAGCATCGGTCCTTTGAGCTTGTACTGCACCGGGGCATTAGTAAGAAATGAGCACGAAAGCAGGGTGTACCCGGATCCATCGTGACATGTTTTCGTTTGGTGGCAGTGGAGGGGATTTGCGACTCGAGGACCGACGACCTACCCTGTTGTTAAACTTGTCCTGTACGAGGAACTGCAGGGCCCTCGCCTTCAGGGTCTCCTCCGCCTCCATGGCCGGCTGAAAGTTCTTGTAACGCTCTTCCACGGCGGCTTTGAGGACGTCTTGGAGTTGGTAGTCGGGCCGGAGGTCTTGTTTGGGCCATTTCGCAAAGGCATCGGCGTAGATGCGGCGCTTTGGTGGTGGTTGATGTTAAAATGATGGGAGCTTCGGGGCCACAATGGCGCAATGAAGGGGGGATTTTTGCATCCGACTTACTGCAATTGAGCGCGACATTGGTGTTGGGCTGCTGGTGAGGCGCTGGTAGGATGATGATGCTAGTGGTGCTGATTTATGGCGTCACGACTTCACGATTCTGTCCCGCCAAAAATCGTCTTACATAATGGCATGAAATCGCAGTGGGCTCGGATCCACATTCGAGCGGGGCGGCGCCGGCTTACAGTTGATTGCATGTATTTTGGTACTGTGCTTGACAGTATCCCAGCCGCCGCCCGAACTCCGTACAGTGTCTTGTTTGGTCGTGGCGACTCCCCCAAGTCTAGTGGGCTCGGCTGGGTTAACGGGGTTTCGGCTCGCTGTTATTGCTGTGAGCCCGCACTGTCCTTTCGGAGGCGGAGTGGCCACAGGGGGCTGTGTAGCGCCCTTAGTCCATGCACGTGCGCACCAGACTGTCCGGTCGTCAACTGTTGAAGTGGTCTGGTCGCAAGCGCTGTTTTGTTCTTCTCCAGACTCTCTGTCAACGCCATGAGGCAGGGCACCCTCCTTCATCCCATTCCATCTATCGCTAATTTGCTTCTTCGAATACCTCTCTACCAGACTCTTTCCCCTCCATCGTTTCCCTATTCGTGCGCTGTTTCCCTTGGTCAGTCTACCGTCTTTGCTCTCGTGCTTGCGAGGCGTGCACGATCCCCCCCTCGCTCGATTACGTGCGTTTGCCGCCCTCCTGACGCCCGATCAGCAAACCTGCCCTTCAACTTTTGTCAACCTTGTCATCGGGTCAGCAGTCATGATGCCTGGGCCCGGAAGATACGAGCGGGTAGGTGCTCTTTCCCCCTCGCTTAGCATTCTCTTTCAGTGCTCTATTTCTCGACCAAGACTAAACGCTGATTTTTCGCCACAGGTCAACGGCCATGATGATGACGAATTCCAATCCTCGTACGAACCCAAACCTGTGCATCCGGTCCCCAACTCTCCGCCGCCATCATTCCATTCACGAGCCTCCTCTCCGACTCGACGAGCCCGTGTCGACCCGGACCTGGAAGATGCGTTTGACGACGAGGATGCAAGTGACGATGATGCCGACGATAGACAACGGCTTGTGAGGCAAAGCACTACGCCTTCCACTACGCATTTGCCAACCGTCGACCATGAGTCATCACCTCACCAGTCGCCCCCAGCGTCGCTGAATTCGTCTTCAGGATCACGACCGCGAGTCGTCGGAGGCGGTGTAGGCACTGACGGTGTCTTCGCAAACTTGTCGGCGCGGCCGGAGAGATCCGACTCGGAGAAGGAAGAACAGCCTCCGGTAGGACCATGTAGTCCGCGAACGACTTGTTTGCGCTCACTGCTAATTGTTGGATAGTCATATGAACAGGCCGCTGCCGACGCTGCGCCGCCATACTGGGAAACCACTATCCTGGCGCCCGGCCTCGGAGGTCTTGATGAAGTATATGTTGACGGAATGCCAGTTGGCTCAATATTTTCCTTTATATGGAACGGCATGATATCGACCTCTTTCCAGCTTGTTGGGTTCTTGCTCACCTATCTACTCCACTCGACACACGCGGCCAAGAATGGATCGCGTGCCGGTCTCGGTATTACATTGATACAATACGGCTTCTACATGAAGGACTCTGGAAGCGGCGACGCCCCCGTCATGAGTGGCCCTGACGGATACGCCGCTCCGCCTGATCCAAACTCGCACGACTTTAACGCAGGCGACGTCACAGATGGCGGCGCGGCGACGATTACTGGCAGCGAGTGGATGGGATATGTACTGATGGTAGTCGGATGGTTCATTCTCATCAAGAGTATTGCAGAATTCTTGAAAGCTCGACGACATGAGCAACTCGTGCTGCAGAGCCCCGACAGAGGACTGGCCATACCTATTGTTGTCGAGGGAGAGAGCCCTGAACGAGTGGTTTAGGCGCTCGGGTGTTCCGCCACCGTGATGATTCATCCCATCAATTGTACATATGACGCCGATTTGGATTCCTCAACGTATACTCGAAGCGATGGGGGGCTCGCTTACCCGGACAAGCGAATGGCATTTCTTTTGGGCGTTTCCGTCATACTGCGCTCGTTTTCTCCTTTCCTCTCTCCCCCCCTTCCCCTTCCCTTTTTTTTTCACCGGCTGGAATTGCATTGGGCTAATGTTGAACAAACACGACGCGAAGCCCGCACTTGTCTCTCTTCTCTTTGTTCAGGTAGCAAAAATACAGCTGCCACTTGGCGTAGACTTTGTCTATCGTAGAACACAGTGTGGACTGTTGATGGTGCGTACGCATGACGTGCAAGGCAAGACGACGATGGGAAGTTGGTAGCAAGAACGGCGCGAGTTACACCAGACAGCTCCCGGCACGGCTCCTGGCAACTATCAAGATACGCCAACATGTACGACTGCACAGTCTGCCCAGTCCAAAGGGCAAATGCAGGAAGAGGTGTCGCGGACGCCTATGAGGGGGGCCCACCTTTCCGGACAGCTCCCCGGAGTCGAGGACGGCCCCGCACCAGCAGCACTCTTCTCTTGCACAAGTAAGCAGCCGCTCACGCTTTAGTTTGCCACCCGAGTATCCCGGAGACACACTCGCGTAACCAGCTCATACTGGCCCTGTCAAATTCCATCAGAGACTACATCCGGACCACGAGGATACTCTGCCGTCGACATTGCCCCCAGCGGTATCCTGACACGCAGCCTAACAGCTCCTGCTCCTCCAAGCTCACAGCGTCATCCCACAGCTACATACATACGGGTTGCTCGATTTCGCCTCGCCCGCGAACCCGCCCTCGAGTCTACCTACATGCTCTTTGCCAAACTCTTCCAACCATTTGCATCCATCCCTTCCATTCGCCAAAACTATAGCATGGCGTGGCGGTGCTCCGGGGGCTCAAATGAACAGCTCGTCGAGAACCTGTGGCGATCGGGCCTCATCACAGACCCGCGCGCCAAGGAGGCTTTCCTCAAGGTACCTTGATCGCGCTCACCTGCTTCGAAACTGACTCTCTGCGCCGAGAGAATCTGTTATTCATTCCGAATCAAAACAGGTCGACCGGGCTCACTACGCCCCGCACTCCCCCTACGAAGACTCTCCGCAGTACATTGGCCATGAGGCCACCATTTCGGCACCGCACATGCACGCCATGGCCATCGAGAACGTGCTCCCCTACCTGAGGCCGTCTGCCGCCTCCCCCGCTCCTCGGGTCCTCGACATCGGCTCCGGATCGGGCTACCTGACCCATCTGCTGGCCGAGCTAGTCGGCGAAAGGGGACTGGTAGTCGGCCTGGAACACATACCCGCGCTGCGACAGATTGGCGAGGAGAACATGCGCAAGAGCACAGAGGGCATGAAGTTGCTGGACTCGGGGAAGGTCAAGTTCAGAGTCGGCGACGGCAGGCTGGGGCTCAAGGAGCCTGCGAGACGGGGCGAGGAGGCCTACGGGACAGACTGGGACGTGATCCATGTTGGGGCCTCTGCAAAGGAGCTGCACCAGCCGTTGCTGGATCAGTTGAAGGCCCCGGGGTGGTGAGTTTTGCCCTGGCACAGCCACGCGACGGACACTGTTGACGGGCTGGCTGACCGAAGCAGCATGTTTATCCCTATCGATGACGACGCGCGCGGTTTGATGCAGTCTGTGTGGCGGATCTCCAAGGACAAGGAGGGCAAAGTGACCAAGAAGAATATATGCGGTGTGCGGTATGTCAAGTTGACGGATCCTCCAAGGTGATGTGACTACTTTTTTATATTTATAATTTTATTTTCAACAAAAAAACGGGGAGTGCTACAAAGGCATTTGATTTTGGTGTCCACAGATATGCCAGGGGTTTGGACGGGGTCAGCCAGATATTTGGAAACGTAAGAATATCAATCCGCGACGTTGCCAAGCCAACGATGCATTCACGTGACTGATCACCGTGCATTGATCCAAGATCAAGTACTCCAGTTCACATCAGAAGATTGACTCATCAATATCACAAAACATGTCGGCAAGCAACTCACAAAAGGTATCGACCACTCCCAACTTAGATGCAGACGGTCCAACGCTCAACTTGAAGCCACCTCGTACACCGTTCACACCCGTGCGGGAATTACATCAAACGTTCTTTCTCCATCCAGGCTACCCTGACAATCATAACATTCTTCTCATTCTGCCGGCTCTTGACTCATGTGGAATTCACCATGAAACAGCACGCATCGCATGTGCCGTCCTTGCCAATTCCCGATGGGACGGCTTTTTATCACTTACAAAAGATGGTCCAAAGGTCGAGGAGCCCCCCGATGGTATTCTTCTCTCGCGCCGATATTACTTCCGTGTAGAAGGAGGCATGTTTATATGTCCTTTGTTCTCAAACTGCCTGGGGACTACTCTTTCTGACGGAATAAATTGGCAATGTAGATGACCGATATCCCGTCGTACCATCTTTCGATAACTTCCCATGCCCCCCCGAGCTTCCTGATTCGTGGTGTGAGAGACTCGCTCCGATTGAACAGAGTGGTGTGGACGACGTGGGCAAACGCGACCAGATTTGTCGACTAACTGGCTCTTCACTGCCCAACGAAGACGCGCACATTATCCCCCAGGCCCAGAGTGAATGGTGGCAACGAAATAGTATGTTTGCATACACTGTGAATGCGGACCAAGGCTTCGATACGAAATGCCCCGACAACACAATCCTTGTCCGACGCGACGCACATGAAATGTGGGATGATCATCGATTCGCTATTGTGCCTAAGGCAGGAAAATGGGTTGCTCATGTCCTATGGAACAGCGCAACGGTAGAATTAGAAGAAGAGTACCACAACCTCGAGCTTCAACCGCTTCGCGGTGTTTCGAGATACTTTCTTCTCTGCCGATTTGCTCTTGCCATTCTATCTAAGAGCGCATTTCTTAGCCAAGGTGTCACCCGTCGATTAATAACTATAGCAGAGTCAGGGTCTTCCCGTGTCCGTTCCATGTCGGCAGACGAGTACCGTGGCATGTTCAACAGCCGCGGGAACAGCCGAAGCCAAAGCCCGAAGAAGCGACAACGGCCCACACAAAATGAGAAAGAAGGAGACGAACATAGCGGCCATCCAGACACAGTGACAGCCTCTGAGACAGGAAGCAACATAGAGGAACCTGAACGTGGTAGAGCTCGAAAAAGGCGGTGCTCTTGGGATGAGGATTCCGTTAGGATCGGCATAAGCGAGACTTCCAAACGGTGGCGATCATCCAGTAATGACGATTATTTAGGGACGCCGCCACGATCTACAAGCCCAATAAGAACTTGAGAGCATACTTACGGTGTATCCCACCAATTGTGAATGACGCACACTCTGCAGGCGCTTCAACCATGCTCAAATAATGTGGGCGGACAGCCACCTAGAAGCTTGAAAGGAAGCAACGTGGTTGACGAGCCAGCCTACGATACGAGTACAGACAAATCCAACTCTACTACAGTTTCATTCGCAACTCGGCGGAAACGAGCTCGCGCAGGGGGCGTAGAGTTGTATTTTGCACACCCATGTAGAGTTGAATATTCTCCTCTGAACCTTGTACAGTTGGATTAAATCCGACCAACCAGCTTCATGAAATTTTACCACAGCCGCTGAAATTATACAATGACGGTACGCCAAAGCAAGTTCACAAGACACCCGGCATCGTCATCAACACAAGCTGTAGTTTCTCTATTTTCAAGCGTACACCCACATCGCAGAGCCAGCGCAGCTGGACAACACTGACTAAGGATTCACAATACAAGACGCTGACCACCCAAGAGCCTCTGCCCTGCTGATTCGAAAAACGCGTTCAGATTCTTCAATATTTCAATATTACGCGAACAACTAAAAGCAACACAAACCGCGTCAGTTCACGACTTGTGGCTCGTTTATACTTTGTAGCTCACAGTGGCTCGCGCTACTTTGTGATCCATACAAAATTAGACTGGCTAAGAAGTACCTGAAACATCTACAAGACACGGGTATGTTGAGCCAGCTATCCCTCGTTAGGCGCGCTTTCGCGCCGACTTAACCACCCGTTATTGGCCTTCCTTCCATTTTGTTTGCAATGTTCGGCATCGACGAACAGATCTTTTGACTATGACCTTGTCTGAATCTTGCATCGAAGTTTCCGACAGCAGCTTCGGATCGGCACCCGAACTGACGCCCTGCCTGACGCCCTGCCTGACTCCCTGCCTGACGCCGTGTCCTACCAGGTCCTTGACCCCTAGGTGATGGAGATATTTGCGCAAGTCCTTACTTACTACGAAGCCACGATCAAAATGCTCCAAGGCGACGGCCAGATCCGCAAGCGGAAGCGTGGGTGGACTGGGTCATATGGCAATATTTGGGACCTTGTTCAAGGCTTGAATTCCTCCTCGAGCAGCTTGAGCGCTTCAAGAATATGGCTAAGCATTTCCCTGATCCTGAACACTTCAGGATCAACATCAATTTGGGCTGGCAGAAGTTGAATGAGTACTACGGGACATTGAGTGAGACGCCGATATACTACACTGGCCTGGCGCTGCATCCGGCATACCGATGGAAATGATTTGAACGTAATTGGGCTGACCGCCCTGAATGGATTGACGAGGCGAAAGGAATCGTCCACGACGTCTGGCGCTTTGAGTATAGACAGGCCACCTCGCAAGTATATATAAAAATATATAGTAGAGTATAGGCAGTTAGTTACTAGGCTAAATTAAGCAGTAGTAGCACGAATAGATAGAGTTAGTAGCACGAACAGCACAGCCCCTGTCGCGGGATAGAATTTCTCTGTCGCTTTGTAACGAAATTAGAAATTTTAACAATCTACCTAGCTCCCTTAAATCCAGTTACTCCTAATAAACTAACAATATGCCAGCGTGTCTCATTGTAGCCCCTTTAAATAATCCGCCCAATGCTATAACTCCCTTCACCCTGTCCTCCTGTCTTTAACCCCAAAGTTTTAATGAAAAGAAATGCTACACGGCTAAGATAGTGTTATAACAGCTCTTCTTTGTAGTCTTGATATTTGATTTATAATGTAAAAAAAAATTCTTTTCTTTTCTTTCTGTTTTCCTGTTTTTATGTCTCACTCTCACTCAAGACATTCCCACGGCGAGAACAAAAGCGGCCATACCTAGCGCTACGGCAATGGCGCCGGCGGGTCGACATGGCCCCCCGCTCACAATCACGGAGTGGCTGGGGGCGGCAGCGGCAGGGGCAGCCTTGGAAGAGAGCGGCAGAACCCGGCTCTCGGGGCACTCGGCGCCTCGGCACGGGCGTGACGGAAGAGAAACAACTGCGGGCTTGTTCCCGGCGGTTCGGAAGGGTGCGGTGGGCGCGGTGGGCGCCGCCGGGGCCGTGCAGTTAGAGCAGGCCACTGCGCCGCGGGTCTCGGCCGGCGACGGCGGCAGATGCTCCTGGGCGTGGGACGAGGCGGGCGGGTGAGACGCCCCCGTGGCGGTCCCAATGACGGCCGTCTCGGCGGCATGCGTGGCCGCGGTCTTGCGGGCGGCGGGGGTCGCATCGGCGGCGGGGCGCAGCGTGACTCGGGGGACCGCGGCGGGCTCCGCGGCGACGCGCTGGTAGACGTTGTACACGCGGTACCTGTCGGCCGGGACGGGGCCGCCGCACTGCCCGGCGTCGGCGTCGCCCGGCCTGCACGCGCGGGAGCATCTCGTGTCGTCGCCCACGTCGTAGACGGGCGCGGCGCGCGACATGGGGTCCTCGCAGTGGCAGCCATCCACAGTTGCCGCCGCGAACGAGCTGCTCTTGCCGCACGCCTGCTGGCACTGCGCGATGGTGAAGGAGTCGCCGAGGTCCATCTTGACGGGGAACTCGCACGCTCTGGCCTGCACGCAGCCGACGTATTTGAAGCCGTCTGAGGCGTATCTGGCTTGGGCTGAGGCGCTGGCGGCCATGAGGCCAACGGCAAGGATGGCGTGAATCATTTTCGTGTTTGTTCCTTGTCTGCTGTTTGGTTTATGTTTCGTGTAATGTTGACAGTGAGAGTGGTGGTGGGAGTGCTAGTGCTGGGTGGTGGATGGCGACTACAGAGGACGAGTGAGCGGAGGAGATGTGACAGCAGGAGGAGTATAATCTGTCCCTGGGCAACAAAGAGATGTTTGTGTCAAGGCGGGACGGGGCGTTGGTGAGGAGTTGTTGCTGTGGTTGACTGGCTGTTGAGAAATGATGCACTGGCGAGGAATCACGGCGTTTTATACACGTTGAAGCGCACATGTGCAGTCACTCAATGGATGCCACGGCTGCCAGGCTGAAACACTTGAAGCCATTTCATGAGCCCGTCCAAGGCACGCAGGCGTCGTCAAATACAAAGCAGAGGCCGGTTGCACACAAGGAGTGTTCCAGGGGAGAAGGCTTTGGAATGCTGCAGCGACGTACGCTGGCGTTTGGCAGCCGTTGACCTGGACTCGTGCGATCCGTCGGGCGGACGACCACGTAGACCGGGTGAAACATTGAATAACCCGTCTCAGGCCACGTTCCAGAGACGGGCGCCAATGCGGGTGGACAATCTAGGCAGGGGCGGAAAGGCATTGTGTGGGAAAGGGTGCTGGGGTGGCTGGCCTGTCTTGCTTGTCAACTCGCCGAGAGGTGTCTGAGACATTTGGACGCGAGCGATAGAGTTCCATGAGATAGCTGGAGGCTGGGCATCTGGATGCCAATAGAGTGGCAGGCAATTGTCTTTTGTTGCGAGAAACTGGCGTGCAAGTCTGGGAGCATACGGTACGGATGCCCGAGACTCCAGGGAGCCGTCGTGCTGCAAAGGCGCGGGGAAACCGGGACCGTATTTGTTCCACGTGCCAGTATAGTCGAGGAGCTTGGCGTTGAACGTCTTCGTTGCTGCACGCATCGCATGCGGAGAGTACGGAGTATGTTGGCTGCGATCGGCGATGGCTGTTTGAGAGCACCTGCGCAACGCTCGTGGGCTCATGGCAAGACATCTTGGTGGGCAACTTTGGCTTTTTGTCTATATTTATTTGCTGGTCTAGTTTTTTGGTCTCATGATAACATGTAGACTACAGCGACCCGTCCTTTCGTTGCGGCACATCTCCATCAATGTATCCGTTCACTGACGAGGCGATCCGCCGCTGGTCCAGATATTGCACCCACATCCTCGTCGTGTCTCCTTGGCCAGGTTTCCAACCAAGGCCCTGCCCTCGCTGGATCCCTTGATCCAATCATCCTCGGGGAAGATGTCGAAAATGCCGACCTTGCGCAGCACTGGGATGGCAGCCTTGATGGCAGGTTCCAGGGCCTTTCTTTGCTGCTCGTCGCCGGCGTCGTAGGCCTTGATGTGGACTAGTAGGGCACCGACTGTGCCCGTGGGCAGCTTCTCGCCATTGGGCATGGTGACGATGGGAAATGACTTTGCCGGCGTGCCCAGGGTCTGGTTGTTGATGTCTTGGAGACTGTGCGTGGAACACATTGTGATACACCTGGTGATGGTGTGGGGGGAAGTTGCGGAGACGTTGCAGTACAGGTTGGCTTTCAAGACGTGCTATGGGTATATATGGTTCCATGCTCGAGCTGACCTTGAGAAAGCGAATGTAAGCGACCTGATGTGCCTAATATATATTTATGTTCTCACGTCTCAGGGCTCGATATGATGTGAGGTTCATCCGCGGAGGCTCCGCGGAGCGTAGGCCGGCAGTCCATGGATGCCAAAATGATGACGCCGAAGCTATAAGCGAGGGAGGAGGAAGTTCAGGCGAAGGCTTGCAAGGCGCAGGCTGGGAAGTTTACTCTGCTGTCACTGCGTGCTGCGAGGACTGAGCCTTCCACGGTATCATATCGTGGTCAACGACCAGGGATATTGAGGTTGCGAGACTTACAAGACGTAAAATTCCACAGAAAGACACACTTGTGAGGGGTACTCCATTGCCAAAAAGAAAGGAGAAAGAGGGGAAAAGAGGAGAAGCTGAAAGAACCAACTCTCCATACGCCTTCCTCCTCAACTCGAGTCCAGAATGAGCGGCGCATATGCAGAGGATACTGAGAAACCAGCTCGATCCACGCCGAGACCAAGCGTGTTCCACGTGGTGGGAGACAGATGAGAAGGCCATGCTGAAGTGTACTGGGCACGGAGTGTAAATCGAAAGTATTCAGCATTACCGGCAGCGACAGTATAGTTTGTTATGTGGCATGTGGCCGACGATCTCTTGCGTTGAGTTTGATCACAACGCACGGCAACACGAGTCACGAGTCACGAAGTGCGAGCGCGGCTAGATTATTTCTCCGGGGCGCGAGTCAGTGACGCCAGGCCTCACCAGACGTGGCACGAGTTTGATCACGACTTCTCGCACCTCGAACTCGTCTCAACCCGCCATCACCATCCTTGCACACAGTCCGACGTCACCACCCTTCCAAAATGTGCATCTCTCTCGCCCTCCACCACTGCTCGCACCAGATCGCCTGCCAGGGCCGCGTCGCGGGCGCCAGACCGCCTCATCCTCCTGGGCGTACTCCCGCCAAGATGTGTCGCCGAGTGCCCGGGACTGACGGCGAAAGTCTTGACCCCATCGCTCTTTAATATCTGGCACCAGGTCAGCATGCACATATTCACAGCCGCCTTGGAACACCTGTATCCCTGCTGCATCACGACCTCATCCTTTGGCCAGCCGGCGGCGGGCCCTGGCGCTCCAGGCGAGACGCAGCTCTCAAACGCGCCGCCGAGATGCGCGTTGCTCGCGCTGAGGAATACAAGGCGTGCGTGGGGGGATTTCACGAGCAAAGGGGCGAAGAGGCACGTCGTGACTTGCGCGCCCGTGACGTTGACATCGTACGCCCCGTTGAAGATGGTCCTAAAGTTGGGTGCGTCCTGGGACAAAGCCGTGTCCAGGAGAACGCCTTGGTGCACGCGTCAGCACAATGCGCTGCGAATGGCAGGCATGCAGGCAGACAGCAATACCGACATACCGGCGTTGTTGATCAGCACGTCCAGCCATCCAAATCTATCCTCCACGTACTTGGCCGCCTGCTGTATGGACTCGTCGTCCGTCACGTCAATCTGCATTGGCTCGGCAGTGCTGCTAGACGGCCCCAGGAGGTCCCTTAATTGCTCTACCGCATCTCTTGCCTTGGCCTGTGAACGACTGCCCACAAAGATGTGGTAGCTGGCTTTCGATGACTTGATGAGTGCCTTGACCGTCTCAAGCCCGATACCAGTGCTGCCACCGGTGATGAAGACGAGCTTTGGAAACGGAGACATGTTTGCTTTGCGGTTGCTGATGAGACGGGCTTCGAGAAAACCAGACATGGGGCGCCCCTGGCATCTCCGTCCGTGTTCAGGACGCTGGCCTCAAGTTATTATGTATCATCTTGCCGAGCTCGGACCATGGACGTGGACTGAAGAGTGATTATCAGCGGGGAATGTCAGCTTTGGGCAAGGCAAGGAAGCCTGCACGCCTCTTGAGGACAAAGAAGTCGAGGGGGAAAGTATTGGAGCAACGTGTTGTGGCACCATCCATTCTTGTGCAAATTGTCAGACTAGATGCATGGCGCGGCATCCCATCGAGTCTCCGACGCCGCGGCCGACAGCATAGAAGGAGATCGGCAAGACCACCAATGGGCCCCGAGATGAGAATGAAGCCCTGACGGCTGCCCAACGCTTCACCTTTGACGTGGCAGCGGACGCGTGGCCGGGCTGGCAACTCGACGGACCCCGGCTTGATTCGCATGGCTCGCTGGTTCTCTTTCTGTTGAAAAAATGACCAAGAAACCACTGTGTCCTTGTGTTGCAGCGACTGCTTTCGTTCTTCCAACCGATCCGCCAGGGTAGAACGGGTTAGGAGTTAGGATCCGTTTGCTGCGTCTTATTCCTCGGCGCGATGCGAAAAGACCAACTGACCACTTGAATAAAAGCTAACAGGGCGTCGGCGCCAACAGCAAGCACTCCCCGAGTCGACATTCTCGGTGCAGTCCTGGTATTATCTCATTGGGAAGCCGTCATTCTTCTACAGCGGCTCACGAGTCCGCACCGTCCCTGGCGGTCAATCTTGCCCCGGAGCAGCGCAAATAGCATCTGCCTAGGGATCAAAACACACTCGACCGTTTTCTGTTCCTACAGACTGGCAGGATACTTCTTCCAACGTCATTGCTGCGTAGTGGCATGGCTACCCAACCGCCAGCGGCGCGCCTGCAAAATCCCCAATTGCGCTTTCCACCAAGGATGATCATCGATGCAGATGGGCGCTGTATTGCACAGGGTGTCTCGTGGCGTCTTCGATACATTTTGGCGGCATGAGCAGAGCGTAACCTAATAAAGGGAGTATTAGGGCTAGATGCTATCCCCAGAAGCTCGAGGCTGGCCTATATTATATGTACCTGTGCAAAGCCGCTCGTAACCAGCAAGTCCCCATCCCACGAAATCGATGCTCCGCTGCAAATAGTTATTGTATTTTCTCAAGCTGCTAGCTTCACTGCCCGATAGCCCAGCGCTTGTCGGCGTGATCCGGTCGACCCGAATGCAACGTCATCTTCGACCCCCATCCAAAGAACAAGCTCAACATCGATATACAAGCAAGTAGCGCAATCAGGACCAGTCTCGTACAAGAGCCGAGAAGCATTGTGTGCAACAGCCAAGACTCTCCCCGGTCGTTCTTGAACTGTCTCTTCCAGCCATGAAGGCAATCCAGGTCACCGGCTCCAAAGACAGCCACCAGATTGTGCTCAATGTGGCTGCCGCCAAACCCAGTCCCCAGCAGGATCAAGTCCTTGTCAAGGTCCACGCAGCAGGCATCACTGCCGACGAGGTCACCTGGCCGGAGCTGTACAGCAGTTCTACTAGGATTCCTGGCCACGACATATCCGGCGTCGTCGAGGCCCTCGGCCCAGACTACGCGGGGCCTCTCGAAATCGGCGACCAAGTGTTTGCCATGCTCAAGGCAATGTCGGATGCCGGCGGACAGGCCGAGTACGTTGTCGCCTCCCCAGAAGAAGCTGCCGCGAAGCCGACTTCTGTGTCGCACGCGCGGGCTGCTGCGCTGCCCGTTCCATTCCTGACGGCCTGGGAAGCCATCTACAAGCATGCAAACGTGCGCAAGGGCGGCAAGGTGCTCGTCACGGGCGCCTCGGGAGCTGTCGGACTCATGTTGGTACAAATCGCAGCCAAGGTCCTGCACTGTCATGTCGTCGCTCTAGCGTCGGCCAGAAAGCACCTCCGTCTCAAGTCGTTGGGGGCTGCCGTCCTGGTGGACTATCGCTGGCCCGCCTGGGAGGATTCCGTCATGAATATCGACGCCGTCTTTGACACGGTTGGTGGCGAAACCCTCTCCAAGGCCTGGAAATGCGTCAAACCAAATGCTAGTATTGTGACAGTGGCTGATCCGCCACCGCCGTGGGCGTTTGGCAGAGCAACTCCTCAAGAGCTGAAGGAGCATCCGGATGTAAAGTGGGTTTATTTCGTTGTCGCATCGAGTGGTGCGATACTGTTGAAGTTGACGAGGTTGTTGGACGAGGGCAAACTAGCCCCGATTCCCGTAAAATCGTTTGGTATCGAGGATGGACTCAAGGCTTGGGACTATGCTGGTCGGAGAGACAGAGACGGTAAAGCCGTCATCGAGTTTGCACGTTCGAGTGGATAGGAAGTAGGCCTTGACATCTTTCTGGCTTGTACGTCTATCCTGCCGCTTTTCGTACGCCTTTCTTTTGCCGGACGTGATGATATTTACTATTTTTCCAGTACATTTTACACTAAAATGTCATCCCTAGTAAAAAAGATTTTCTCATCGTTTAAATCTTTCGATATTATAAACTTAGTGGTTTCAAAGTAGCTTTTCAGCAGCCCCACGTCTCATCCAGCAATGCCAGCTCCGAGCTGGCTGCTGGAGCTGACGCCATCTTGTCGATTCCCTGGGCATGTATGGTGGGCAGTTACGAGTATACTATCTGATACGCCAAAGTGCATTGCGAGACCTGGCATCTCGGCCCTATCTAGAAGCCGGATGCGATGGTCAACATCGTCTAGGAAGGAGTCGCACAACGCAACTAGCTAGTGGGCTCTTCGGCCATCAGAGCATCGGGCCGGGCCCAAACTCCCTCTCGAGAAAACTTTGAACCTCGGCGTTGCCTCCACGCCCAACCGACAGACCGTCGGGGCTGCCCTCGATTTTGAGCCCATGCAGCCCTGTGGCCCTGGACAAGGCGACGTACACCTGACCCTCTTCGAAAGCCCTCGTCAAGTTGACAATGACGCGGTCCAGCGTCATCCCCTGGCTCTTGTGGATGGTCATGGCCCAGGCGGCCACAAGGGGAATCTGCGTGCGATGCAAGAGCGAGTAGGGCTCATCGTTGCCGACCGAGTTGACGATGCAATCCGCGTGAATCGTGCGCTTGTCACCGTTGTGAAAGAGCACCCGAGGCCAGACTTTGTGCTCTTGCCCGTCCATGAAGCGCTGAACTTGTCGCTCCTTGAGAGTGGCATAGTCTCCGTAGATGATGGGGCGTCCTGCAGGAGGCCCGGACGATGCGGTTGGCCCCGTGTGAGGCGAGACCTTGGTCGACTTGGCCCTGGGGAGCTTGGCAACATCATGGGGCTCGAATCCGCAGATGATGCCTTGGCTGCCGTTGCACAGTCTCGCCCGGAGGTCGAGATTGACTTGCAGCACCACGAGCATGCCCACCCGGAGTTGCACTCGTCGTTCCAGGCGGTGGTCCTTGAGAGCCACGAGGGACCCATCCGTGAAGCGCTCATTGTAATGCTCCAAGTGAGGGTGCAGCTCGTGGTGCCAGACGAAGCCGTCGAGGGTCTCATACGTGACTATGGGAGTCTGCAGCTTATTAAAGTTGTCCGCGTTGACCTTTGTCACTTCAGCCCTCGTCGAGAAGAGCCGCGTGGCGTTGGTGACATTGCACGGATGATGTACTAAGGTTTGCATCTCGTCCCACGAGAGCGGAATCCCGCGTCGGCACTTTTGCAACATGCTGATAAAGCTCGCATCGTTCTGGCGATGAATCTGTTTCAGCTCAACATGTGCAAACCCACATTCCTCCCACGCCTCGCTCATAAAGGCCCATTTCTCGTGTTGGTAGAATGGCCCGTGGTTGCTCGGACAGTCGAACCAGGTTTCAGACACGTCGGCCTCCATCTCGTGGCCGCAGACGATGCAATGCTGGAAGGGCTTCACCGGAGGTAGCTGACAAAAGTCCCCAGAGACAACGACCTGTGCGCCGCCAAATGCAGGCGGAGCTTCGTCCCTCCATCGCCTGACCTCCTTCATGCAGATATTGATACGCTCAAGGTGATGGTTCTCGACCATGCTTATCTCGTCGATGATGAGCACATCGGTGCTCTTGAGACGATGCCGGACATGCCGGCGGAACGCCGCCGACTTGAGCCTGTGCATCGGGAGCTTGTGGTGATCGGGCGTCCACCCCATGTAGGACCACGTCGACACTCCGTTGACCTGGAGGGCCGCTCTGCCAGTTGGCGCCACGACGTGGACGACGAGGCCCATGGCCTTGAGCCTCGTAATGGCGGCCTTCAGAACGGTGGACTTGCCACATCCCGCCGAGCCCGTGAAGAAGACGTTGCGGCCGCTGGCAATGACATCAACCAGGTCTTGCTGCTCCTGGCACAGCTTGGGCTCGGCGTCATGGAAGCCTTGGTCCCCCTGAGCGGAGGAGCTGCCTTGGTCCGCGCGTGGGTAAACTTGGACATGGCCATCATTGCCGGTCGTCTCATCTGCGGATGGATTCGCCCGGTCCGCATCGACGGAGAGAGTTGCGCCGGCTTCGTTGCGCGCTTCACGGCTTGATGAAGCTGCGACCAGCAGCCCGTCAGATTCAGAGTCGAGCCAGTCCCAGCTATAGTCAGTATCCGGGTCCGAGGCAACAAGGGAACAGCAGCGCTCGCCGCCCCGTCCCGCCTCGGCACCCGCATCCTCTCCATGGCCGGCCGACGCCATCCACCGGCTTCGTCGACGAGCTAACCGTAACAGGGATGGATGTTCCGTGGGACAATGCTAGCTGCTGCGCCTTGATCCAGGGGAATGAGAAAATAAACTGCGTACTCCGCGGTTGTGCTGTGAGAACAAGTGGACACGGTGGTGGAGTCTGAATCGCCAATGATTCTTGCTCCCTGAACTTTTCGAGAGCAGGGATCCTTTTCCCTGCCGTGAAGGCCGTTGATGACATGCATGGAGATGGAGTCGAGTCGAAATAAAAAGAAGGGATTGATACGGGCCCCAAGCGATTCGGCGCTGCACGCCTAATAATGGCGGCCCCCGGTTCAACAGTGAATCATTCGCTCACGAAATGATGGAGCGAGACTCGACCGAGGCCGTCTCTCCAGAAGGGTGTGCGTAGGGTTAGGGTCAGGGCTCAATGCTAATGTTTGCGCCTGGCATGGAACGATTCCTGTGCCTCACGATCCTTCCAGCCTCCCCCAGCACTGATACCAAAGCTGTCCACCCCAACATTTAGATCTGCGCGGATCCGTCCAGGCGTCGTCATCGTCATACGCTGCCGGGCGGAGGTTCATGGGACAGCCACGCCTTACAAGATGCCCCTTCACCTCTCACCACAAGCCATGACCCCCTGCCCCCTTGCGGAGGCACCATGCCAGTGAATGTCTCCCTTTGGCCTTGATTACAGCCAGTGAACAATGACCTACTTGAGAATCGCTGGAGGAAGCGACGAGATGGCCGAATGGGGCGGCCATGCTGGCAGCTACGTCGCCGACACTGAAAAACTGGCCTATATATCACAAGGATGTATGCACCAAGGATTGGTTTGGCACAAATGAGCCTACGGCATTCCACTGCACTTGAACACCCTCAACTGCTCCAACACCTATAGTTCCAGCCGGTGCTGAAATCCATCAAGAGACATTGTCGAAACCCGAACCAGCATCCATTGGCTGAAGAGCTTGGCTGAAGCGAGCCGAGCATCAGCGCGGCTTTGGCGGCAGTAGAGAGCGTAGACATGAGAGCAATGTGTCATTATGCTAGTACTCAACTTCCCTCTGGTCAGAGCGACTACCCGCATTTAAGATCGGCTGATATAGCAAAGCTTTCAAGGAACCACTTATCACTCCCTGGCGAGTTCTTACTCTAATGAGCATCCATATCATCCGACCTTGGCGGTATCCCTTGCCTAAGAGGTGAAGGATTCTACAAGCGCAACGAGTGTTAGAATACGGGAGTAGTAACGAGTGGACAATGTTAGAAGAGCTATGCGAGAGCTGAAAATGTACTTATACTGAGAATATCCCCCCAACCTGAGTGTTGTGGGTTAAGGAATTTACAAGTATTGAAACTGTACCCTCTTCCAACTCAACAATGGGGGTGTAATTTCGTCATGTACCTAGTTATCCACGTCAATTTGGCACTCTTGATCGCGATGAGCGTGTCAAGGCTGCTGAGTAGTTGGCAGCTCTAGACTCTTGATGAAACAACACAAATTACGAGATAATGGGGCGCGGGCTGGATTGCGCCAAGCTGCGGTGGTGCTAGGTGCTACAGTCTCGTATCAAGCATCTCCTGGACGCCGGTTGTCTGCGCCGAAGCGGCACCCATCTTCAGGCCTCGGAGCGGCCCGTTGGCCGGGATAATAGTAAAACTCGCTTCTGGGCCATGGAAACGCTCTGGCGGTTCATGCCCACTTGTCTCCGCTGTTGGTTGGAGTCTCCTTCCAAAGTCTCGCCGCAGGAGTCAGCAAGCCTCGAAATTGTCCAAGTGAGTAAAAACCATATCGCCGCTTCATTACTCCATGTGCTGGCCTGGAGATAAATGGTTCTGTCACCGTAGCCATCCGGCTTTCCTTTTGCGTTCCCTTTGCTAAGTCCTCCCGAAATGCAACTTGTCATCATGGCTTCTGGACTTGAGATTCAGTCCTCGCCGCCCTCGTGGATCAACCCTGCAGACTAACCCAGTTGACAAGAAAACACATGTGCCTCTTAGCAGAGCAACAGAGCCGTCAACTCATCCAGAAACACGGGCTGTTTTAAACATGTAACGCTAGTCAAGACTTCTAATCATGACCGTAGATGCGCTTCTTGGTCAGGTTTTTGTTCTACATCTCCGTTGTACGCCAGGCTGGTTCTGTGCTATCACGCCACGCATGCTCATCCCGTGAATTTTCATTCTCGACATGCTTACAAAATCTACATCTTGAACAGCACCATCTCGAAAATGTCTTCCGATCACAGAGCTTCATACCGACAGATTCATCTGTGGGTATTCACAGACCTCACATTCGACTAGCCCTGTCACGTATCCGACGGTAGCCGAATGGTACCAAAGGCAGGATGGCGCAAAGGGGTGAATTTATCGCCACTTCTGGCTGCCGACTTGGAGAACCCTCTCCGACTGTTGTCCTATTACTTTCATGTTTATTGGCTGCATGTATCCCTGCGTTATTACGGACAGCTAGCATTATAAGGATTGGGATATACCTGCTACTAGACTGTGTGCCCCGATGCGATCTTCAATGCAGTATTTTCGGGGGCACCACATATATCCATAATATAACGACACAAAAGGAGAATACGCTGGAAACTCCTGCTCATCGTTATTCTTTGGTGCCTGTGTGTGATGGCGCAGGCGCTTCATGCGGTATCTGTGTCCCAGTCACCTGAGGTGTCTTGTCTGGGTACGAGGGCGATGGTCAGAGGCTGCTGGTCACGAGGTTTGGGTTTTTTCTCATGGCCTCGACGAGGGCCAAGATGAAGTCCCGGTGTCGAGGCTCGACGAGTCGGCGACCAGATATAAGAAGGGTCAATTTGTAGGATTTTCTGGGAGAAAATTATTATACAGCCCTGAATCTTATCAGACGTTTCCGGCATCACAGACAACCAGATGCAGCAACCTCTTCCGTTTCCGAGACATGAGCCTGCCAGCCAGTGTATGATAGACGTCGTGAGTGCCAGACGTCGCCTGCGCCCGAGCGCACTTCCGGTGATGTGACATAAATCAGACCACCGTTATACTGCGGATGAACTTATCGGCTATAAGTAGGATCATATCGATATTACGTCCAGCGTCATATCCAGCAGAAGAAGGAGACTTTGCACTAACAATCTCTGGTCGTCTAGAGCCTGGGTTGCCAACTTGAAGCATGACAAACTGACGCCTTGCATACGTTGGAGCTATCGCAAAAGTCGTTATAATGACTACACTGCGATAGATGGGGAACCGATATCGAGTAGTGAGCTATATCTTTAGTTCCTCGAGTGCTTTCCGTTGTCGAGCACAAGAGTAGCATGGGACCAACCGCAAGAGCTGCCCTGGGAAGCGTGCGTAGAGTATATATAGCAGAAACACTGCAGCTTCTGCCCTCTTCTCGACAACGCCAAATGGCCAACATACAGTGAATAGTGACTTCTTCTGCTACATATCAAAGGCCCCATCATACGACATTGCACACCATGCAGCGATTATTGCTTGCCGTCGTGGCACTGGCAGCAGCAGCATTCGCCGCCGCCACGGCAGGACAGGAAATTCCTGGCACGTACCTTGTTGAGCTAAGTCCACAAGCCGTACGTTCCAATCCGACCAAGAAACACTGTGGCCGCATGTCTAACGACAGGATTTAGAATGTGACCGCCTTTGCAGGAAGAGTGAAGACGGAGGTCAATGCTCGAATTCGCCGTCAAATCAACTACATGCCTCCCAAGGCAAACGGCGTGCCTTTCAAGGCTGTCTCCATCGAGCTCAAGAATGCAAGCAAGATCAACGAGGTGGCGTCCACGGCTGACGTCCTCAAAGTACACCCAGTCAAGATGCTTGCCCTGGACGACGTGTCTTCCCCGGACGAGCGGGCCGAGAGCAACAAGAAACGTTCCGTTGGCAAAACCAGCGAGAGTCTGAAAATTCGACGTGCGTTGCCGGAAACAAATGCGACGGCAGATACTCACCCGTACATACCTCACTCCATGATGCAGGTTGACAAGCTGCACAGCAAAGGAATCACAGGAAAGGGCATCAAGATTGCCATGATTGGCACGGGTGTAAGTTTCTTTCCAACCCCCGGTTTGGGAAACGAGTCAACTAACACGCACAGGTCGACTATGAACACCCGGCGCTCGGTGGTTGTTTCGGCCCCGGATGCCTCTTTTCCTTTGGAGCCGACTTGGTCAACGGCGAACCGACGCCCAAGGACTGCCTCGGACACGGAACCAAGGTTGCTGGCATTATTGCCGCGCAGCGCAACGACTTGGGCGTCGTAAGCGCGGCTCCTGGGGCTCAGATGGGCGTGTTCCGTATAACCTGCGATGGCTTCTTTGCCAGCGACGTCATGGTCGATGCAATCTTTCGCGCCCTCGCCGAAGGCGTGGACATCATCACGTCGTCGGTCGTGCTTCCGGGCGGGTGGCCGGACAGTCTCCTGTCGTCGACGGCATCGCGGGTCGTGGACAGCGGCGTCGTCTTTGTCCAGGCCGCAGGGAAGGGCGGGCTCGGCCTCTTCTCGCTTTCTGACCCGGCCGCTGGCAACGGCGTTATCAGTGTCACGTCGATGCAAAGCCGTGTGGTTCTCATGAGGGCGGGTGTTGCCACGTATGCCGCGGACAACGGATCCCAAGTCAGCTTCCCTTTTCATCCGTCCTTCCCGTCGGAGAACTTCACCGGCACCCCCATGGAAGTCTACGCCCCGAACTTGCGCGACATTCACGCCTGTGCGCCGATCCCGGACAGCACGCCGGATCTGAGTGAAAAGCTGGTGCTGCTCCAGATACGGACTGACAAAGGGCACTGTTTCATCCGGGATAGGATCGAGTCGGTCCGTGAAAAGGGGGCCACGCGGATTCTTGTCTACGCGGCGCCAGAAGACAAGAATCCCGGTCTCATGTATCTCCCGAACTTGCCCGAGGAGGTCGTCGCTGTCGGGGCACTGGGGTTTGATGTCGCGACGTCAATTCTCGAGGCTCTCCAGGCTGGGCGCAAGGTCTCCGTCACGGCCTTCCCCTTTTTCAAGCCTCATGGCACACAGTCGCCAAGGACCTATGTCGAGGTTCCCTATGAGGAAAAAGCAGGAGCTATTTCCGTCTGCACTTCCTGGGGCCCGACCTGGAATCTGGGTCTCAAGCCTTCCCTGGCCGCCATCGGCCGACCCGTCCTCTCGACCGCTGCTAGGGATGTAGATCCTTCTGGCTATACGATAGCACGAGGATCTGGCTATGCGACGCCACTCATCGCTGGTATCGTTGCCCTGATTCTCGAGGCCCGCGGCTCCCTGGACCCGGCCACCGTAGAGAGCCTTCTCGTTTCACACTCTGATCCGCAGCTTTACCACAATGGAACCAACTTTCTCCCCTACTTGGCCCCAGTTGCCCAGCAGGGCGGTGGTCTGGCGCGTGCCTACGACTCTGCCTTTTCTACAACGCTTCTTGAGCCGGCGGGTCTCAACTTCAACGATACTGAACACATGCCCGCCTCGCTCAACTTGACACTCAGGAATGTGGGCGATGTGGATGTGACCTACCGGCTCTCCCACGTTCCCGCAATCACGGTGTACGCGTTTGCCCAAAATGGCCTCTTTCCTTTGTATCCCTCTACCCTTGACCACGTTGAGATTTCAGCCGCCATCACCATTAGCGAAACAAGTCTCACTCTGACCCCGGGGGAAAACGCCACCGTCAGCGTGTCAGCGTCAGTCCATGATGGTCTTGACGCTGCGCGTCTCCCAATATGGTCTGGATGGATCACGATAAACGGGACCGATGGAAGCTCCCTCTCCGTCCCTTACCAGGGCGTTGCGGGCTCCATCCGTCATCACCAGGTCCTGCCGCCCGATGGAATTTCTCTCTTCTACGGGAACGCCTCCGTCACTACCGGGGGGGCCGCCGTCAAGCTGCCAGCACCGGGCTCTGCCGAGACATCCGACCTTATCTTGAGTATCAACTCCACGCTGGGGATTCCTCTTGTGCGTGCTGAAGTTGTGCCCTTGACATCCCCCAGTAACGGCACAAACAACGCGACGACCACTGCTGTCGAGTCGGCTGGTCAGCTTCAATGGGTTCCCTTGCGATGGATCCCGGAGAACTTGGCAGACGGCGACGCTGACCTGCTCCAGTTCGTGCGGTTCAGTTGGAACGGTCAGCTCGAGTCAGGCGAGTTTGTTCCCGAGGGATCCTACAAACTCGTCGTGCGAGCTCTGAGGATCTTTGGCGACCCCAATAATCATGACGATTGGGATGTAAGTGAGTCCCCGCGACTCGACATCACATATCATAAAAAGAACAACACCCATGAAAAGTCAGTCGACTGAGATTGGCCGTCTAATCTCAAGGCTGCAACGATGCGAAATCTGCAGCGTGGAAAAGAAGACGCGCTTGGAATCCTGTTGCGACAGCCGCCGTGTGAGTGGTATCCCAGATCTGACAATCCATCTGGACTTATGTCATTACGTGCACGGTAGGTGATCCACTTGGATAGCAGGTAATGCTTAAAGCTAGATCAATTCACCTCCTTGTCGGTGTTTTTCATAGCCAAGGTGTAGAAGTGAAATGTCATTTGAACCAGGGACAGAGCCTCGTAACAACGACCCCAAATTTCGCCATTCCCGTCTACTTGGATACAGTAATAAAAGGCTCGCAACCCCTCCCCTTACACTTCTATCAAATCGTCGACCGAACTACGAGGCTGCTCCTCCGGATCTGGGTTGACAGCGGTTTGGAGAGCCGTATATTTGCTTCGACACCTGATTGCCTCCCCGTATCGACAAAACACAAAGGGAACCACAGCCAGGATGCTGGCGACACCTCCTATCAGCGACCCGCCGCTGCCAATACCCAGGGTATGAAACATGGAAGCCGTGAAGAGAGGTGCAGAGGCACTGCCGAGGGATCGGGCAAACGTATTTACAGCCATTGCCGAGGCAGCGTAGTGGGCGTACGAGTCAACAAGGTAGTTGAGATAGGAGACCATTGTAAGCACGAGAGCTGCAGAGAGAAATGCGCCAGCAATTGTGGGAACAGACCAGTGTACCCAGCTACAAACGTCATGTCAGTGTCTTTCACCATGCGCGTATGTGGACAGGGTAACTTGCTTGTACTGCGCCGTCCATGAGAACCAAAACATGGTGACGGCGAAGCCGACGCCTCCCACCATCCCCATGATCAGGCGGTCCTCAGGCTCAAGGCTATACCCGGCCTGAAGCTTGTTTTTCCGCCTCTCGGTGTCTAAACAGATGATGATGGCGCCGGCGACTGATCCGACAACAGTCCCAAGCAAGGGGAGCTGCCCGATTCCCTCGTTCCAGCCCCGCATCTCCTGAAAGACTATCGGATACATAGTAAAGAGCATGAACTGCAGTGTAAATACCATTGCCATGTATACCGCGCATAAGAATGAGATGGGGTCAAGCAGAAGCGCCCACGGTCGTGTCAGCGCTGTCTTGTAAATGCCGAATAGCGTCATATTGGCTCCCTCGTATTCAGTCCGGACGTTCTCATATCCCTGTATCTTTGCCTTTCTTATTCTCCTTGCCCGCTGTAGAAGAATCACGGCCCCATTCGTCTCGGGGACTGTGAGCATGAACAGCGTCGCGGCACCAGCAAGACATAGCGCGACGTAGAGACCCCAGCGCCAATTCCTGCCGAGGACTAGGAAGCCAGAAATAATCGGCCCAAGCGACGGCCCGGCCCAGACGGACGCGGAGAAGACGGCCATGGGGTTGCCTCTTTCCATGTCGTCCCATAGGTCTGCAAGCACCCCTGGCGCGTTGCAGAGAGCCGCAGACACGGACGTCCCTGCGAGAAATCTACCACCCAAAAGCGTTCCGAAATTCGTCGCAAAGGCACAAAGAAAGTTGAACAAAAGAAAGGTGGAAAAGGAAAGGCGGAAGATGGGCCTCCGGCCGTATAACTCCGAGAGTGGTGCGAACAAGAACGGACCCGTGCAGTAGCCAAGCAAATATAGAGTGATGGTGAGACCTGCTGCCTGTTGAGAGACTTGGAAGTCGTGAGAAATATATTTGAGACACCCCGATGGTATAGACGAGACAATGTTCCCGGTCGTGGCGAGGAACACGGTGCAGCAGGTGGTGTACCATTTCCGGCTCTTTGACCAGTTTCGTGGATTGCCAGGATCGCAAAGGCCAAAGTCTAAAAAGCCGTCGTCGTTGATGTGTAGTACGGTGACATTGTTCCGAGAGTCGGAACGCTCGGAAAACATTGTCTGCATGGTTTGATGAATGACCTCCGTGTCAAACAGCTGCTGTCCGTATACGTCGCCCTCTCTGGCGCCGTATCCCGAGACTGGGAGCAGAGGCCGAGCCCATACACCAAAGAGCTGCTAGCACCTTGTTGCCCACACGTATAGGCAGACTTTTCAACCCCTCTGCTGCTGCCTGCATAGAAGTATTCTTTCCAATCCGTCAGTTAGGCTCTGCTCAAAAGTCGGGTTAGGCTGACATGGGGAGTGCTCGAGTGGCGGCCGGAGAGGGCCTCTGGCTCCAGATATAACGCATCGACGTCAAAGACGGACGCGTGTTCTGTAATGGGACTGCTCAGGGCAGTTCGTAAGGGATGGAGGTCCACATCAAAGGTGGAAAGCTAAAAGCGCCATTGCCCAGCTCGGCCTGCAGAACGAGCTCATCATGATGTCGGTAGTGCCGCATCGCGGTTCACTGTGCCTATGGCTTGCCCGCTCGTCTCTGCATCTACTTTGCCCGAGATGAACGCGGTATTGCGACACTATTCTGCGCTTCAAACATGCGACTACCGGCAACTGGTTGGTAGCTAAAGAAATCCGAAATCCAAAACGGCGGGATTTCGTGTGACGGGCCCTATGCAAGTAACATCTTGATCAACTAATAGACGGACCTACTCGTAACTGCATCCTTCTCGTTTACTTGGGAAGCGATTCCTTGCCCATATGCTTTGATTACCGCCGAGCTGACATCTCCGCCAAACTCGGAGTTGCTTTGTGTATACAGCAGCTTTTCTTGAATCTCGGTGCGCATTGCCGAGACCTTGTGGTGAGGGCCGTGGTTTAACCTCTCAGATAGGGCTGGTTTCACTCCAGCGTGGCTCTCGTGGGACACGTTGGCCGGCCGCTGACGATGCAGAAAGCAGAGACTTGTCGTCGACGACAGCCCGGGATCTTGACCGTCCCAACGTTAGAGTCCAGACCCGGCCGGCTGACATCCATCACCGTGGAGAAAAGAAAAAAGCTCCGAGTCCAAGCCAAATGCGACCCTATCAGCTTTGCTATTCACCAAGGCTCTTTCCCAACGCCGGCGACTTTATCGGCGACTTTTGCAAGCCATTCCTCATCAAAGAGATCACAGCAATGACTGGAAGCACATGGGCGAAATGTCACCAGCCACCTTGTCATCCAGGTCGCCGTGCTGGGACACGGACATGGTGAAACGAATGGCATGCGCCATGTTCACGTCATAGAGACGTGGCTGTGTATTGCTCGTAGGGCCAAGAAGCTGTATTCCAAGCTTTAGCAGTACGTCAACGGCTGTGTAAGAATCTTTTCATTAGGCCAGTTGTATGACAACTATTTATAGCAGCTGGTAGCTACACCAAGCTTTATACCTCGAGTCTACATAACGCCAACACAAGCATCAAACCTGCTACAGCTCGCAAATGCATTTTCACTTAGCTCTCTGAGGAAATTCTGCTGAGCGGGAATTCTTATTTACGCATGTACACAAGCAAGACTCAAGTTACTATTGGTGAGACGAAATTCTGCTCCTGACCATGGAGCTTCATTACGTACCTAATATGCGGCTACGTTGACTAGTAATCGACGTCTCTACAAGCACAAATGGCATGTTTCGAACCTAGGCATAGTCAATGCATGTCACAGATGACAAGACTGATTTTGAGGACAGGTTTTGCTTCAGCCAGCCTCGTGACAACGACGCTGAACAGTAGTACGGACTAGGGCATACATATCCATCGCCCTGGCAGCTCTACGAAAATGAAGAGGGGAATAGTAAAGTACAAACGGCGCTTGGAAACAGCAGTTTGCGGTCCAACTGGTTGTGCCCGACCGCTCGTCCTTGGTACCACTCAATCCACCTTCACACCTTGGTCGAAACCTTGAACCTTGCGGCTGGAAAATACACGTGTTTTTATCGGCCACAGGCGCGTTCGCCCCGTGTATACATAAACGCGAAGATTTTTTGTTTATTCATTCAGTTTGGACATGGCAGCTTATCAAAGATACTCCAGAGCCAAGCTGCCAACTACGATGAACCTGGGACTCTTACAGATGACCCATTAACAACAGGTCATGTGCAAATTGGCCCGGGAATCTATCTAATAGCCGAATGTGGAACATGGACAGGGAATTCTGGAGAACAAGTAAGCAACTTGTTTTGTATCTCGGAGATTATATAGTTGCCGCTGACGCGAATCCGATGGGTCAAGTTCAAAAGATATTGACGACGAAATAGTGTCAAGCTCAGGCCATGAAAGTACAGACAAGCGTATTAGCAGTTTGCATCCGGACCCGCGGATAGCTTTGCGAATATCGCCTTTCGTGGGCTATAGCCCTGGCGGTATATTTCAAATGGTGATACCAAACGCGCTGCTGATTTTCGGGGCAGATCATGACCAGATCCAGGCGTTGCCGAGTATGTCCAAGAGAGCCAATGTCATGATTCATGGCGCGAGCGTGAGCATCCTCCCATGGTCGATGCTCTTGAGCTACAGGCCATAAACGCCATGTACACGGCCAGATAAGGGACTGGGAGGACTCGCCCTCGCCCAGTCTGCGGAACGCCAGGGGAGGGGAGTGGCAAAGTGACTAACCCTGCACGATTTGAAACGGCGTGTCGAGTCTTGACAAGATGATGCAAAGTTCTTAGTAAGAGCAGCGACAAATCTCTCGAGTTCATTCGCAGGTCTCTTGACGAAGAGCAAGACGATTGCACAAGGTCCAAGACAGCCCAGGACTAGAAAGAGAGGACTACTAGACTTGAGACAAGGTCATTGCTCAAAAGAAGAACTTTGAAAGCTTGAAAAAACCAAGGACCCCACAGTCATGCCTAGGAATAGCCCTGAATTGTTTGCCAGGGAACAGAGGCGGTTCAACGCTTGTTAATCGTTCTGGAGAAGGGGCTCCAGATTCGCTACATGACGCTGCAGCTTTCGAGACGAAGTAAATCCCGGCCGATGCATCTTCTAGGAGAAAGGACAAGTCCAGAATTCAAAGGTTCAAGCAATGGTTGGGAAGAACTGGGTACCCGGGTAAGGAATTGGAGGACGATGGTCAGCGGCCAACGATCCAGGCATTCCAGTAACAAGCTCCCGTCCAAGTAGTTGCCCATTCAGTTCTCATCCCACCTGCGTCGTGGCGTCCAGAGTCTGGAAGCGGCACAGCCGGGAGGTTTGAGATGTAGATGACGGACATGTTCTTGCGCCACGGCAATACACTTTATTAGCTAGAAGAAATAAGAAATACCTCAAGGGGTATCTCATTTATTTACAAGCTTAATCAAAGCTATATAACAAAGTCTGACAGCTTTTCAAGTTTCTACAAGTTAATATTGTTGCAAGACAAGTTGATCAAGCCCTGTGTCTGGGGTTAGCATGCAAGGAGCAGCGTGACGGAAGGATTGGTCTCACAGTCGAATCTCCGCTGCAGCAAGCAACTTGATTGGTGCATGCCTGGTGTAGAGGTATTCCGACACCTGCTAGGGTTAGAATTGTCTGTCTCGTATCATCAAGACATTGGCCCGTCTCTTACCTAGAATAGTGACATCAAGGGGTGAGCAGGCGCCGCCCAGCAAACCGTTCAAAAATCCGCTAGAGCTTCCCTGGTTACAGCAGGAAAGTTGCTGGTGATTGCCACACTGTGACGCGGCCTGGCCAAGGGTCGGATGGGAAGGTTTTGGGTGATGAACATGCTTCGTCGTGGTTGATTGTTGCCAGGTGGTCGGCGTTGGGGGGGAGGAGCTAGCCTCGGTCGTGGGGGAGGGCTTGGTCGAGGAAGACCAAGGTTTGGTGGAAGAGGGCCTGACAGGAGGGGGAGGGGGAGGATGCGTCGTCGACGACGTTGGCCCCCTGCTGGTGGTTGACGACGTCGGCCCTCTGCTGGTGGTTGACGACGTCGGCCCTCTGCTGGTAGTCCACGGGCTGGAGCTGGACGAAGGATGGACGATGGATGGGTTCTTGGCCGTGGTGGTCGTGGTTGTGGTGAAACGGCGCGACGAGGTGTGAACAGTAGACTTGCTGACCGTGGTCGTCTTCTCGTGGTACTCTGTCTTTGGCACATATACATAGACGGTTCCTTGGCAACTCTGGCACTCGGGATGCTTCGTATATACCGATGTAGTCACGCAGCTTTCCTCTGCAGGCAGGGTGTGGGTAGCATACGGAGGTGGTTTCTGCCACTCTTGCCATGCCTGGGTAGTCGTGCACGCATTGTAGCAGTGGCTGAGGTCAAGATACGTCGTGGCAAGGACTTCGACGGTCCTCACCTCGACATGGGAAGAAAGGGACTGCGTCGCAAAAAAGGCTGCAATCATCATCAGCCTCGCCAGAGAGGCTGTCCAGAAGCCACCAGGTGTAGGCATGTTTATCACCAGGGAAATGAAGAACGAGTGAAATGGCGACAGGAGGAAGAGAATGCTTGACCAGTGATGGAGAAGGGGAAATCAAAAAAAAAAAAAAGAAAGACGACTTGGGTTTGTCTCCCTTGGGAACACAACAATCCTTATGTATTTTTTTGAGTATTATTCTTTTTGCCTCTTGTCACAGCTTCAGGCATGGCCAGGGCAGCCCAGCCCAGCCAGGCTGTGCATTCCCGTCCGCGGTGTAACGAGTGGCATCTAGGCGCAGCTCAGTCTTGTAGCGTAGTGGTAGCATACTTGGTGCCGATCTTATTCAAATACGTATGTCAATATGATCTTGCTGTTGTGGACTGAGACAATATGCTTCCAGGGCGACGCAGGGCGAGCAGGCCAGGGCTCGTGAATTCGCAAGTTGGGTCTAAGCAGGGAGAATTCCTAGAGAAGGGTTGGCCGGTACGTTTTGAGACAATAGATACTAGAGACTAGTGCCTACCCATCGAGGCTAACAGCGGAACTCCCGTTTGCGGGAGCATCCCTTCAGAGACAGAGATGCAACAGTCTTGGATTCCGCCGAAATCAGCCACGACTGCTGTGCCAAAGGAGACGACCGGTACTTCGAGAGGACTCCGAGCACGACTGCCTAACGTGAGCCGTGCGGCTCGACCTGGGTTTGGTCTGTTACCTGCGTGCCAGCTCGGTGCTCAAGGGGGAGTGATGAGCCCTCACCTCAGCGCGGCGGTGGCACCAGTTAGCGTCAAACCTCTGGACAAGTCTGGTTCGTTCAGCCCAGGCGAGGTCAGGGCAAAAGCAAAGCAACTGGTTGTAGCGTATTTCTAGTCAGCTGCTCAATCGCCCTCCAAGCCATCGTGACATGATGATGGCCGAGGGAGGTGCTCGACGGTCATCAAGGTCGTCTCCCTAAGCATGTTCTGCCTGATGCGCAACTTGTTCAACATGGGACTTGGCGCGTAAGTTCTCCTTGGTACACGTGCTTTGCAATCATTTTGTCTCGTCAACCTCCATGGCTAAAGTAGCATGGCCAATACCGTCGTGGGCTCCGTCTATCCTGATTGCTCACCATGGCGGCCGTTGGTGCACGTCATGAAAACAGTTGCGCAACGAACCCTCACCGCAGCCTGTTCTCCCATGCTCCCGATTCTTGACCAGGCTGCACGTGGAAAACACGAATATTTCCAGTTCCCGTTGATGTCTTCATGATTTGATTTCAGCCACCGTCCACCAGACTACTGTCCAAGTCTCTGTTTGCTCCCACTCATCATTCTCGGCCCAGCTGCGGCGCTATTGTTATACGCTCGTGGTTGATTGTCACGGGTGAGACCAGTAATGCAATTTTATACACGCGACTCGGCGGTCTTGGGACTGGCACTACTAGTACCTCGACCGGAACTACCAGCTATAAATAACGTCTGCTTCGAGCAAGTGTTGGAGATGATACGTATTCAATAAGATCCCATACCAGCATATGTCTCCAAAACAATGTCGGCGACCAACATGGCGTTGGCGGACTTGCCGGCAACCGTATCTGCTGCCGACTTTGATCGATCTCGAGCTTCGCTAGACGGAAACCACGACGAAGCTACGCTCAATAGCTCGCGAACTCTGTCCGGTGCTATCGTTGACGAAGGGACTCACCAGCTTGGGGGTGATTTCCAGCACAGGGACCATCTTTGGCTTCATTCCTCAGCCCCATTGTTAGCCCTCTGCACCGAGCACCACTGCCGTGGGGATTTGTTCTGCCCGATGGCGGCTTGTATGCAGGTCGCGTCCGGCCGGGTTGCCGCCATCGACTACTCGGTGCTTGGGTGTGTATTTTCCCTAATAATTTTGCTTTTGGCCTCGTGACGGAATGCGTAGACAGCGTAGTCCTGCGAGTACTACCTTGCCAAACTCGGCCGGCTGATGCCGTGTCTCACCCGAACGCGCCATCGCGTTTTTCAGGGCCGACGACGTGCAGGGGAGGCTACAGCCCCAGCCCGCGAGTTGACAAGTCATTTCCGCGGTTGAGAAGGGCAAGACGCATTGTGAACGGCGGACTACCGGGAGGCCCCTGCTCCCGAGTCTGTACGCTACGTGTGCTTTTCCTCCTGAGAAAACGAAGATTGAAATCTTCCACATCGGCGGGTTTGTCTGTCTGGGCTGCTTCAGCATCAGGCCGGGTGAGTTTTGACCTTGAAGCAGGTCCTTCGTCACCATTGCGACTCTGCCCCAGAAAGGGGAATTCCTGCAGCACTTGATCTAGATAGACCTATGCGCAGAACATGCCAGACGAAACATGGTTGCAGCCGCTGGAAGCAGCAGGGTCGCCGTCGTGGCTCGTGACCAGGTCCAATGGACCTCGTTTACTGGTTTCCAGTCCTCTGTACAACTCGCGGTGACAAGACCACTCGCCTGCTATGAAGCCAAGCCGAAGCTATATGGTCCCGTTGCGCTGGAACCGGGCTGTTCTACAAAGAGGACGGATGCGGCTTTTTTGAACCGTCAACGGTAGTCCGTCGAGAAGCGACACTTATGTGGCGCTCAGTTGTGTGTAGAATTCGCCTTTGACGCGACAGAGCCGACGCGCGTGAATGATCAAGGAGCACTTGCTGTATCCGATGACCTGATGAGTCTGTCATGCGGTGAATTGCTATGGAAGGGGGGCTCAAAGGCGCCGTCCCCGGATCGCGCCTCGGAGCTCAAGACTCAAGAGTCAAGACGAAATTGGTCGGTTGGTTGGTGACTCAATCTTCGGCGTCAAAACCAGCTTCGGCGCGTTGTTCAGCACCCGGTTCCGCTCAGTCGAGACGCCCGCGGTCCAGTCACGGCCCAGTGACTTGCGGTCCCGGATGCTTTTGCATTATTCTACGAGGCTACATCTTTGCTGAGGAATTGGCGCCCATGTTCATAAACGCTGCCCCCATTTCCTTTCCATGCGCCGGTTCCATTTCAACTCTGCTTCGTCATCCGACGGTCTTGGCGCAGCGAAGAGACCTCGGCCGCCTCGCCATCGCGAACGGTGATAGAAGCTAAGACTTTTTAATCTTTTTTTCTATTTCTTTTACTTTGGGTCCTGTCAAGCATCGCATTTCAATACTACCCTCTTGATACGAACGTGCAAACAAATCCCTTCATCGTCTCCTGGTGGCCGTTGGCCTTTGGGGACCCTGCTCTTTTCCATGTCTCTCTTCAGACAGCATCTCTCGATGAAGAACTACGGGCCCAAGGAGGCTTTGCAGTGTCAGGTGCTCTCATGCTTGATTCCGTCTCCGAATTGAGAAAGAAGATTGAGTATCCATTTTCGGCGGCACAGGATGGCACAATAAACGCAGTCGTTACACTCGCAGCCATTGAGGTAACGCAGCTCTACACAATTTCACACAAGCCGATTCTGACGCTTCAACCCTGCAGCACGGAAAGGGAAACTATGAGTCGAGTGCTATGCACGTCAGCGGAGTCAAGGAAATGATCCGCATGAGAGGCGGTATCAGCCAGGTCAAACACACAAGTCCACTTACGGCTCGGATGGTCTTATGGTGAGCCGCTTCATTTCGGGGCAATTTCCGCCATGTAGATGGCTTCCTGCTGACTGCTACTTGCAGGGTCTCTATGCTCGTGACTCGCCAACCTCAATTTGGCATCAACGACCATGTCGAGGGCCACGGCATATCCCCCGACTTGCAGTGGCAGCTTGCCTCCGCCAACCTTGACCCGGGCAGCTTCGGAATATGCTGCCGAGAAATCGATCCTAGCGTGCGGGATGTGCTTGCTCGTCTCCGCCACATCTTTCATCATGGGAAAGTCACAATAACAACCGAGCTGCACGACCTGACTTGCTTTGTCATACACAAGCTGCTCTCGCCGCTAGAGTCCTCATGCGACGGCATTCAAGAGTATAACCATGCCGTGTCCCTGTCTCTCCGGCATGCTCTGGTACTGTATCTGCTCATCATCCGCCGCACAACCTATTACTCGCATGCTCACATGGCCGCTTTGCTGGCAAAGCGGCTGAGAGGACACCTCCAAGATTTACCGCCACATGATGGTGGTTTGGACTCGATGAAAATCTGGGCCATCTCCATGGGAATGGTGTCCTCACTCGACCTCATTGATCGCCAGTTTGCGTCAGAGGCCCGCTCTGCTCGTTCGTCCTCTGGCTTGAGCTGTTGGAACCATGTGCTGACGCACCTGGAAAGCATCCTCTGGTTGAACATACAGCAGGACAATCTTTTCTTGTCAGGGTGGCAGGAAATCTTAACAAACACGAACCGATAACGGTTGACAAGTCGCCACCATCATCCTACCTATCAACCACATCCCAACTCGCGAGCAGTATCAGCTCGACCGCTACGCTTCACTGCTTGGGCGCCCAAAGACAAAAGACGGCGAACCTTAACGCAGTGCTGGCGAGATTACGGATATTAGACAATGACGAAGCTCGAGTGGCTGTCACGGCACAAGTAGTATGCAAATCGGTCTGCAGGCCGCCTTGCCGCATATGCGAGTATAAGTTGTTGACCACATGGTCACATTATCAAACTGACAGGTCTTCTTTGATTCCGCCCATATTGCACAGATCAAAGACGATATCCAGAACTCTGGCAAATGGACAACCTATGACGTTGATCGCTCGCATCACAAGGCAATGTTGATACCTGTTTCTAGCTAATATGGCTCGTCTCGTGGGACCAAATTGGCCAGGATACCATGGTCTTGCACATCATATCCATACAATAACACAGAGAAAAGAATTCCTATTCCTTTCCTCTACGCTTCGTTGCCGCCCCTGAACCCGTGAATGATGTGCTTGGTGTAGCCGTCTCTGGTTTGGCGTGGCTGGATTGACTTGCATGCTCACTGGGAAGCGGAAGCAGGTCCCCATCCGACCGGATCAAATGATGGCTCTGCGAGTCCTGTGGGAATCCTGCTGGCGGCAATGAAAGGTCTAGCGGTAATTGGTCAATGGCTGAGCAGAGTCTCTTGAAATGGGCCGGTGCCCACAGCTCGTATAGGTTTTTTGTGAACCGATACGCGGTCCACCTTTCTTTACCATCCAATTCCGTGAAGTCAAATTTGCGAATTGAATGACGGTAGCACTTAGTACTGTCCCTTCCTTCTAGCACAGGGTAGTAGCCGTATATCCTTACAGAAGTGTGATCGTGAGAGATGGAAAAGGCCTGAATATGTCGGTGAACCTCATCTTCTCGGTTGACAGCACGGAAGAGCTTGGTAGTGGCTCGCACTGCTAAAGCAGTGCTATGAGCATTCTGCCGATCTGCGACGTCTAGCGCAGCAGCGCCGCACTTTACCTCGCATGTGAAGGACGGAAAATACATGTAGTAAGTTGCCATAAAAAGGGACTGATCTCCGCCAATAAAGTCGCCTATAAATAGCGATAGCTTAGCCAGCTGAAGGTCGCTAAAGGCTTTGCGTTTAAAGCCAACTGAGTAATCTGGTTGCGGGCGAGTCCCAGTCAGTGGCATCGAGTTATTCCAGCCCTCATTGACGCTCTCTATAAGGTGCAGGTGCCTAAGACTTTTGATACGAAGAGCTAGAGTTTCGGCAGAAGGGACAATAAGTCGAGATATATCCTGAATCACCCTAGCTTCATTTTTACTCTGTAAATTGCAGCATGCATGCGCAAAAATAGAGTCGTCGAAAACTGTGTCTTGAGGGACTAGTTGGTCTCCTTCTAGAAGGTCTTAAATCGCACGCTTGCTTAAGTCTGAAATACCTAGCTCAGAGCCATCCATATATATACCTTTAGTCTGGAGGAGCAGTTCATACCGTGCGTCTCTATATAGAGCGCTCTTCTCGTCTCTTGGTGCCTGATCGCTAGGCGTCGTGGAGGTAGCAGAATTTGACCGCTTGCGATTACGAGACACTGGATATAGTTTTTGGGCAAGTAACTGCTCTATATCTAGTTGAAAGTATTCTTGGGGCCACTTGTTTTCTTGAGTCCAAAACCCAACAACGTCGATCGGCTCAGCGGTATCAGCAGTGTAAGCGTGATGAATATCGGGTCTGCTGGTTGCATCCTCCGCACCGCATGACCTGGGAGATGGACGGGGACGCTTATGGATGGAGCCTGAAGTCTGGCTGAGTAGGTCGTTTCGTCGTTTCGTGCCGCGTTCGCCAGCCGCACTAGGTGCCTGAGATGATTAGCTCATTTGCTTGCGAAAATCATGAAAAAGACACTGTACCCGTTGGGATGATCTGTCATGGGCAGCAGGATTCAGTTGCTCCTGTTCGGTGGCCCGGGCAGCGAGTCGTCGCGACGTTTGTGCTTTCACAGCGCGGGAGCGTCTTCGCTTTTGAATACCGAGAGGTCCCTTGCCTGTTATCGTCAGTCAAATGGTTACCGGGAGCGCTTCATGAAACAAATACCTCGATCTTTTGCCGCCGACGATGCGCGGCCCTTCTGGGCAGCCTGCTGCCCTGGATTGTGGCCCATTGCGATGAGAAGAAGCCATGGGCGACGATGCAATCGTCGTCGTAATCCGCTTCTGAAACGAAGAGAGCAGACAAGGCAGAAGTGGTGACGGGACCCACCCCCGCACTCCTTGTCCTTTGCCTTTTCATCAATACAAGCCAATCATTTGACGCCCAGGCCTGGCCTGGTCTGGTCCTTCTCGCCATCCTTTTCATCAGTACGAGATTCTCTCACGTTGGTCGTTCCATCTTGAGCTTGTATCGGTAGAGCGATAGGGCAACAGGAAGTTTTACCTTTTCGCGCTCTCCAGGCTCTGTAGCATCTATACCCGCGACTGATTGCATTTGAGAGTCTCGATCGATTAAACCACGAAACAGAACACTGAGGGGAGCTTTTCTGGGACAGGGTAGCTGACGAGCTCGTGATGCAGCAGTCAGCCCCCGAAGGCAAGGACAGTGTAGCAATGCGGTTCGCCAATGCCACCGAGACCGAGGTTGAATATAAACATGCACGAGTACGAGTCATTGATCCCGCAACTACTCTTGCGTCAAATGGAAATGGTTTTCGACAAAGTTAAATATGTGAACCAGAGTTCACACTTGACCCCAGGCCACCAAGTGCCAAAGTTCACCTGTAGCGAGCGAGATGTATTAGGCCTCCTGCTTTGAGAAAAGAAACATAAACGGCCGTTGTCGGCTTCCTCGATGGACAGAATGGCTGGCTGGTCAGGTCAAGTTTCCATCTCCTTTGTGAATAAAGCCAACAAGAAAGTTCCGCCGTGCGTGACTGGTCAATCCGTCAACCGGTGACGACTTCAAAGAAGTTGACATTCACGCAGGTGGTATTATGGAGTACGCAACGTCTGGGAGGTTGGATCTGGTAACAAGATTGGCGAAGTTGGCCCCCGACATTGCATCATTCCTCATATCAGGTCAGTAGCAAAGCCGGAAAACATGAATTAGGGGCCATGTCGAACGGCAGGGCGCAGGTGGTACATTAAGACCCTTTCCTTTCAGTTCCGGTTCTTGTATATTTCTCTAGAACGCACTGCCTATCCCGACCGTCTCATGGTAGGCGAGTATCAGCCAGATGAGTAAAGACTTATCGGCGTGGTACAATTTGGACTCGACTTTGCCGCGCGAACCTTAGTACATGGAGCAGACAAGAAGGACGGCCAAAGGAGGGCTATCTCGTCACTCTGGATTCAACAAAGATTAAATTCCCACAAAAGACCACACGAAACGTCCAAATCCAAGGATGAGCTGCTAGTTCCTAATTCTATTCCACTGTAGTCATTTACAATTCCGCCCCAATCCACATACGCCGAGCATCAAGGCGAGGCATGTGCGTGTTGTGTTTTTTCCCCGACATCAACAGTCTCCATGTATCCTCTAGTTTCGTGGCAAGCAAATCAGGGAATCGAGTTCTTTGCGGCTTTCTTGGTGGCTCTGCCCCCGAATCCCCATCCAATCTGGTGAGCAACATTAATGGTTACTCCCAGCTCGTCTGCCCAGGACCACACCAAGCCCGGGTTTTTCTGGAACATGCGACCGGCGGCAATCAGGTCCAGGGGCGTGTCGTTCTCATCTTTGCCGCCTTGGATAATGTCCTGGGCAAGCTCTCCAGTCCTGATGCTTCCCACAGAACTCACCAACAGGGCATCACCGACGGCCGCCTTGATCGCCTTTGCCAACGCCGCCTGATAGCCCGGCCCACCGATGATTTTCTGGTGGCTGTGGTTGCCGCCGCTGGAGACGTCCAAGACGTCCACTCCACGCTGCGAAAAGAGCTTGGCCAATTTGACGCTCTCGTCAATTGTCCAGCTTGCGCCCCCGTCCCATTCCGGGTTCGTATCCAGCCAGTCCGTCGCGCTGATGCGCACGAATAACGGCATGTCCACTGGAATCGCGGCTCTGGTGGCGTCGACAAGCTCAAGGGCCAGCCTAGCGCGATTCTCAAAGCTTCCGCCGTATCGATCTGTACGTTTATTCACCGCCGGCGACAGGAAGCTGGCTACGAGATAGCCGTGGGCAAAGTGCAGCTCGACGATATCAAAGCCGGCGCCGACAGCCCGGCGCACGGCCGAGACAAAGTCACGCTTGAATTGCTCAATCTCTGGCAAAGTCATGGCCCGCGGGCACGGATAATGTTCTCCGAAAGGAACACTGCCTGGCCCGACGACGTCCGACGGCCAACCACCAACCTCCTCGGTGGCTGTCGCGCCGGAGCTCAGCCAAGGCGCAACTGTCGAGGCCTTTCGGCCGGCGTGCGCCAGCTGAATAGCAATGAGGGCGTTTTGGCTGTGGGCAAAGTCGACATGCTTCTTGAGAGTGTCGACGTGAGCGTCGAGCCAAATCCCGGAGTCTTCGGGAGTGATGCGACCGTTGGGCTGAACGGACGTTGCTTCCAGCATGACGAGGCCGGGCTACACAAGGACGTTTCAGCAAACCCCGGGCGAAGTGGCCACGAGGGGAAGGAAGGAAGGATTCAGACTTACGCCTCGCTGGACTATACCGCCGTAGTGGGTAATGTGCCAAGGAGTGTGGAAGCCCTCGTGGGCGCTGTACTGGCACATGGGGCTTACCCAGATTCGATTTGGCATTGTGATGCCCCGGATCTTGAGCGGCGTGAAAAGCTTGGGCACAGGCTTGCCAGATGGTTGGGGATCTACAGCACTGCCCGCGACCGGATCCTGCGCCGGCGTGAAGAACGGAACGCCTTTGGCGGCGACGTTGGGAATGGGCGCGAGGCATTTTACCGATTTCTCGGGTGCTGGGGTTTCGGACCGCGAGACTGGGATGCCATGGTGAGGGTGCGAGATGCGCTGGGTGAGATATGCTGCCATGGCGAGTACAAGGCAGACACTCGACACTCAAACGGACGACCTATCGTCTTGGGGTATGGGTATGCCAGAAAGGAGAGGCGGTGCTGTAGTTGTGGCTGTCGGGAGGGGACGGGTGTCATTCTGTTGACAAGGGACGGGAGTCAGGGGACAAGGTTTTACGTTTTATACATAAAGGGTCCTTCTGCATTGAGTTGGGTTGTAGGGAGCCAATGAGACGGTTGATGAATTAGCATGGTCATGATTGCGTCAACTGGTTCGACGCAAGTCTCACACCTTCCCGTCCCTGAAGGTTCCGAAGGTTGATTTCTCAGCAGCCAGTTCGGGCCGTATGATATGCAACAAGCAAGACGCCAGCGCTCCGTGCCATGGCCTTCATTGGTGAGGGTCGGTGGCGTCGAGACTCAAAAGGCGGGACAGTGGAGCCCATGGAGTAACTAGAATGCGAGTGTCTGCGGCATCTTCGGTGTTTTCTCGCTGGCGTGCCGCCAAAGTGCGGGATGAAGGTCCCATCGAGCGAGGTTTATTAGTGTAGAAGCCACCAGACATGTGAAGCAGCGGCAATGTTTGGGGACCAGTACTCTGTAAAACAACAAGTTTTCGTCAAGGCTTCTAAGATGTTGCCTCGGAAGAACCGACTGTTTTCGAGTCACGCAGGGATAAGGAGCACTGCCTTCTTGAACGGCTCAGATCTGCGCCTCCGGGTCATTATCCAAAACTGACACCAAACTCTCCTTGAACTTGCTGCTATCTATACTCGTCGCACCTCCGATACAGTCTCAAGTTCCTCGCCGGAGCAGTGCCCGTTCTCCTGCGCCAAGCTGCTGCGCATGTGCAGATCAGCCTTGCAGGTACACGGCAGAGACGTGAGGGCATCAAGGCTTTGTACCAGCCGGAGAGCGTACAGCGGGTGAGCATATCCCATCCAGAAATTATTGGCAGCTAGCACTCCGTGAGACTCCTTCCGCTCGCTTCCGCGATTTTGGCCGTCGTCCGAGACGGAGCGCGAGATCGATCCCGAGACGTCTGTTTGAGCAGAGCATAGTGAAGGTCAGGACTCAGGACACGGAGTTCGTACTATTTGATGACGGTCAGTGTCGACATTGCTGCCGAGGGGTCCGAGATTCGCCTTCAATTGACTGGTGTCGACTGGCTCATGGTGGTTGGTAGACCGTGCCGTCAGTTGATGTGGCAGCCAGTACTCCGTATGTCGCAAGCTCTTTCTTCACAATCTACTCAGCATGACCCTGTCGGGATGCGGCGGCGAAGGCACAGCCAGGAACTCCAAGACTGAGCTGAGCTATCGAGGAAAACAGGCCTGTCAGGACTCAGAACAAATCTCCGCAAGAAGCTGTGGGAACACATCTTGACCAGCAACGCCACGGACGGCATTCGTAGATGCCACCTCAACCTCTTCAACGCGCGCGACGACCATAACGACAGGACGGCGATGCCATGCCCGCCGGGACCAACTGGCAACTGCCATGTGGCCACGAGTTGCGGCCGAGACACGCGTCAGGGCCCAGCCGACCAAGATCTGGATTCAGGGGGCCCACGTCCACGTCCAAGGCCCGGTCTGTATGCCCATGGCCCATGGGCCACAAGCATGTTTTCTGGTTGGACAGGTTCCACGTCGTCGTCCTCTTCGCATTGATATCCCAAAGTTTGCCTATCGCGCTCTGTCTGCCTGGGATTCTCCGTTGCTCCATTACGCATTGCGACCATTGACCCCGTCGCCTCGTTTCGTCTCTGTGCGAGTCATGTCAACGTCTTGCTCGTCCATAGCAAGATGTCCAGGAACAGGACGAAGTTGGTCCACACTCTAGAGCTCTATAAGCTTCTTTGTCTTAAGACCAGTACTCTGTACATGTAAAGACTGGTAATTAGACCTGCTGTACGTCTGCAGCTAAAGACGTCATATACTGCCTGGCATCTTGGTACACTTTTTAAGCTTAAACTAGCCGCTTGCTATAATACTAATACTGTAATCTAACGATTTGAAGTACTGAAGTATGACTTATACTATTAAGTTCTAGTAGATTTTTCTACTATTTTCCTTGTCGCTACACTGCGTTGACACAGATTGCTTTTATTGTTTCCATGCATGCATGCTGTACTCGATCGTCCGGCATCTAGTTACGACTGCAGGTCTACCCCTGGCTGTTAATACCGATCCCTCCGTCAAACTCCACAGAGAGGCGTCAAGGGCTAGCCACGGCAGCGGTGCCATGCATGCACTTTGGTTTCACAAGTCTAGCATGAAATATCCCACAAAATTCGAGCCCAGGAAAATCCATTTACGGAGCAACCCGTGTCCGCTGCATTACAGTGCACTATACATTTTCATGCTCTTTCATGAACAAAACCTAAAGTCATCTGATGCTGCCTGTGTAGTCCCAGCCAGCAGGGGAGGTCAAGAAAGACTTGGACGGAGAAGAGTTACGTGGCATTTTTATCCACCTCAACTTTCCACAGAATGGGTAGATTTATGGCGTATGAAATTCGTGCTGCTGGAACTTGCGCGGCACCCTCTGGCCAACGGACCAGGCATACACCATGTCGAGGTTTGATTAGCTACAATGCAGAGCCGGATGGGATACGGTACGTCTTCCTGGTGCTCTCGGCTTCTACGGCACACTGAGCTTGCTTGGTTCTGCTTTTTATAAAGCAGCAGCGCCGACACGTAGATTTCATGTTTGTTCTTTAGCACTCTCCCCTTCACTCCGCTAGCCGCGTCTGATTTGATACGCAGTGCCTTGCCCTCTAATAATGCGCTCTCTTTTTGCTGTCAGTCTCCTTACAGTCGCCTCAAGTTGGCATGTTCTTGGGGCGACGGTTGCGAAGCCGAATATCCCCCACCATGAACTCGCAACCGCAGTGAACAGGAGTATCACATGCTCTCGAGTCATCTTGAAAGATCCTCGTCCGGTACTAGAGGACCCTGAAAGCTTTACTTCATGCACAATTCTTATTTCGCTCGTCAAAAATACGATGGCCAACATGAGGGAAACGGGCAAATCCATCCAATTCTCTGAATTCACGGAAGCAACTGAAGTAGTCAATTTGGCCAAAAATTTTCGGCGCTACTTTGTTCAGGTCACATCCTTCCTCAAGTCGCTAGACAAGGCTGAGGAAAAATGCCAACACCTGACGTGGGACAATGGGGAATGTCCCGAGGCCATCGCCAACATGGAGGAGAAATACAAAGCGGCGGTAGAGATTAAAGGGCCTGAGATCCCGAAGGGAGAAGACCTCTCAAGGTTCAAGTTGCTAAATTTGAAGGGAACCGATGCTGAGACGAAAGCTGTATTGAAGAGAGTGAAATCTTTACAAGACACAAAGAAAGAATTGGAAGATAACATAAAGTCAATGAATCGAAGAAATTCTCCCCGGAATAGTGCTGAGGTTAATGCAGAGATAACCACGGATCAGAGAACGCTAGTCTACTTGGTACGTCTAGCGAAAGATTTTTACGAAACGTGTCAACCCATCCAGACAAATCCGACCATTGCACTGGACCAAGTGAAAAATCTCTATTGCCAGCACCTTTACAATACGTACGACCAACATCGAAATGCGATTAAAGAAATCCCAGACTATGAATCGGTGAGGAAACTGGATGACTCCGTGCGAAAACTCTGGGGAAAAGTAGAGAACATCCTCTTTCAGGCCAACAACATATCTTACTTTTCTTCGGTGATTAAAGACCTAAGGCGGCTTATATCAAAGGCTTTCGACTCTTGCATGCCGGGGAACAGCTACTTTGATTGCCAGGGCAACGTCACTGAGGTCACAAAAGAATATGACCTCGCCAAAGGGCTGGTAAGCGTGAAGGGCGGGCGGATAACACCAGAACTCGTGGAAAAGTTCGGGCTGCCTAACTTGAACACGAGTCTATCCAGCCCCGGCCCCGAGGCGGAAGAAATTAAAGAGCAAGTAAAATCTCTGAAAAAGAAATTGACTGAGCTCGCAAATGCAAGCAACTGAATTCTTCCACCAGAATGTGACAGTAGGGAAGAAAGCCTCCGGCAAGCTTGTGACTCGGGTGTAGCGGCTGGAGTGCGCACAACATAGGGGGAAACGCTGGAAGACCTTGGACGCTGTATTGATTATGCAATTTTTGCTCGTAGAAATAGACAAAAAAAACCTTCATTGTTTAATTCAAATGAACTCTTTTATCACTACTTTTGTATATATTTTTAACTACCACGTATCGTGCGGAAGCTGCAGTGCATCTATAGACAGGAGAGAATAAAAAATCTTTAAATGCCGTATTAGTAATGTAAGTCTATATAGATGCCTAGGGGCACTTTTGCTTATTCATCTTGTAGCCTAGAGCGCTGCCCACCAGCATTAATATCCCAAAGTTTTACCTACACGTTCTGTCCGCCCGCAATTCTCTATTCCCATTATTCCGTATTGTGTCTATTGACCCCGTCAGAAAGAGTGAGCTTCCCCTTAGCCCAGCCCGCCCTCACCTCCATTCGTGTCTCTGCAGGTCATGTGAACGTCTTGCTCATCTACAGCAACATGTGCAGGAGGAACAGGACAAACTTAGTCTAGAGCCCTACAAGCTTTCTCATCGTAGGATTTACTGCTAAGTACTCTGTATATACAAAGACCATCTGCTGTACGCCTGCAGCTGAAGATTTTATATAATGCCAAGTATTATAGTATACGTCTTGTAATAGACTCAAGCTTGCATAGACTCAAGCTGTAAGGCACTGTAGCGGACCTTGTCGGATACTCTTCGGATGCACGTTGGAGGCAGAAGGTATAGCTGTACAAAAAGAGAGGGGAGAGGAACCTCTCCTCTTTCTCTTTTCTCTCTAAGTTTATAATTAATTCTAGTAATGCTTACATGCAGTTGCCTGTAGGGCGAGTCTTCAATACTTCTAAAGCTTCAAGTAGCTACTTATTAATATCTAACTATTAAGAGTACTAGAATGCTAGTTATAATACTAGTTTCTAGTAAGTTCTAGTATTTCTAAATCTTTTTATACGATATAAATATAATAGGAATTACTTTATCTAGATCTAAGCAAATTAATTGCCTGCTTACTACTATACTGTAGCTACACTATATCTACAAATTGCTTCTATTATTTTTATGCGCTTTTATAATTAAACCTAAAGTCGTCTGATGCTGCCCGTGTAGTCCCAGTCAGCATTGAAAAAAAAAAACTTGCTCGATAACAGCCAAGCCTCTAATAAGCTTAGCACAGGAGGAAAATCGTCAGGGGAGGCCAAGAAGAAACTTGGACGGAGAAGAGAATTACGTGACAGTTTTATCCACTTCAATTTCCTTAGGAACGGATAGAATTTGTGCTTCCAGGCTTGTGCGGCACATTAAGCCCACTTGTTTCTGCCTATATAAAGCAGCAGAGCTGACACCTAGATTTAATGTACACTTATTCTTTAGCATACTTATCTTGACTTCTCTAGCCACATCCAATTTAGTACGCAGTACTTTCCATTCACTATGCATCCTATTCTTGCTGTCAATCTCTTTACAGTCGCCCTAAGTTGGCATGTTCTAGGGGCGGCCGTTGGCGCAGAGTTAACAACAAAGCACAAAACAGTTGGTGACCTGGTCTCTGCAGCGGCAGCGGTTACCGCAAATTGTCAACGCTTTTTGAACAATTGGCCTTTGGTACTAAAGAGCCGCAGGAAAGTTTTCGCAAATAAAGGTTTCGCTTGCCGAGACGCTGTCAGTATATACAAAAGCGCCCGAAAACTCGCTGGGAAAATGGACAAGGCTGAGAGGTGGAAGCCGCTTCGAAAGGCAGAGGAAGATGCGAACGAAATACTTAAAGTGCTCGAATGGACCGAGGCCTTGCGCAATGCCCGTAATGTATACAAAGAGCTTATTGACTTGTTAGCAGCTGCTTTCGGTTCCTGCTACACGAAGGTATCGTGGTCACACTACGAGGATTGCATCATATACAACGATGAGGTCCAATCGAAATTCGCAGAAGTTGAAAAACTCTGGGGCGAGCCTGAGTTTCCTCCGGGAGAAATCGTGTCAAAGGTCGGGTTGCCCAATTTCAACAAGAACCTGACCAGCCCCGACCCCGAGGCGCAAAAAGTTAGAGCGAAAGTGGAGTATCTGGAAGACGCGGTGAAAGAATTAAAAGATGGTATAGCCTCAATGCACTGAAGAAGTTTTCCGTGCCACAAATGAAGCTATCATGCACACGTTAGGCAAGTGGGCTAGATTCGGGGTGCTTCGTCTGGCCAAGGACGGGGCAACAGATGAAGCCGGAGTGAGCTGGGACAAAACAGGCTCGAAAGTTCATCCATGATCTGTTAAGAGCTATCATGTCACCATCATGTCGAGACACGGGAATGTCTGCTTCAAAACAGGATCTAGTCCAATTGGCATAACATTGATTCACAGATGAAGCTCCTCGAAGTGAAAGTCCGCCGTTGCGCAGAACTTTTCGTATTAAGTGGTAAGAAACCTGCAGTTGATTTATGTCTACATCTATATAAACCTTCATAGTCTGGGAGGTTTTGTTCCTTCGCCATGCAGCCTCGTCAAGCAATCTCACGGGCCTGATGAAGCATGTCCATGTACGACTAGCCTGGATCTTATTTCCCTCATCTGTGTGCCTCGGAGGTCTATGGATGAGGATTATATATGGTTTTAGGCTGGTCTGGCCCTAGTAGCGCTTGCAGTCATTGCTAGATAATCTTTGATCATGCTTTTTGTATTTGGTCCTGCTGGTAGGATCCTTTCTTGTCTTTCTTTTTCACGCTGCTGTCTATGGCGGTTATCGTCCAATGCGTAATGGCGCCGAAACCGTCCCGGCTTTCGACAGCAGATCCTAGGCAGCACCAAAAATCCAATATTGTATTGGAAGTCTCCTGCAAAGTTCGACTTACATCTCAGGGTGGTCGGGAGCGGGTTGGCTGCGTAGTGGCATCTAAACAAACAACTTCCCTACAGCAAATGGCTAGCCCTTTGCGACGCAACTTAACAGCACTCGTGACGCAAATTGGCCAGTCTGTGCTAAATTTGCCATGCTTCAGCAGAGCTTTGAGCGAACGAAAGCGACAATTGCAGACAAGTGCAACCAGTGCTTCTTCACCTCGTACTGATGGAACGGTACTATAGATGAACGGCCCGTTGCCAACATGTGTGAGCCCGAATTGTATGGCACTATAGTCGATGTAAAGGGAAATAGGGACTTCAGTTGCTTTTGCGGCGACGGCCGCCGGTGTAGCTTTCACGTCGTGAGCGGGTTCCAATGCCATGTGTATGAGCTTGGAAAAAACCTGGCGTTTTATTGACGCAGACCATTGCTAAGCACGTTGCTGGAGTGGCCATGTGTCGCTGCGCCAAGCTAGATACAAGACCTGAGGCTTCATGACTTGTGGACCTCCTCTCGCTCATACAAGGCCTTTCCTGGTGGCAAGTCATGTCTGAGTGTTGACGGTGGGTGCTTAGATAAAGAGGAACTACTGGTGGCAATGATACCCAAAGGTATTTACTTCTGATTTTCCATCTTTTTCCTCCTTTTTTGTATCTTCTTCTTTAGAATACTACACAACCTAAAGAACTTAGTTATTAGGGAACAAGTAGCAAAGCTGTCGGTATGAGATCCTCCCTTTACTTAAGTTGTTACAGTTCCCTCTTATTTGTGCAATGCATCAACAGCTTCTATAGTCGACTAAACGCAAAAGTTTGCACTCTGCGAGCTTTCAATGACTGCCGCAACGCTAATATCAACTGTCATACTGGCGTTACTCGACGCTGACGCCAACCAGAGGATATCCTGGCCGTGATTCTGAACCTTTCTTCCCTGGAGCTGGAAAGGAATGACGCCGGTCTCACAGTAGGCGACAATTTGGGCGACTCTCGTCTGATTGATACGCGCCTCGATGGGAAAGGTATTCCTGCCTGGGCGGAGCAGCAGGTTTGCAGTAGCAACATTCCCGACAAGTTGGTTGTCTGCAAGGCTCTCGAATGTTGCGTTAACCTGACAGAATATGCTTAGTAGCTGTCTACATTACATCTCAGCACCACAGACACGCGAGGGTGACAAAGGGTCGAGTAGTTGGTGTCTTTGACATACAATTTCAAGGGTAGAGTGGGATGGGTTCCTGACAACTGCTGTGGCGTTGAAGTTGGGTACGTCTTTATCGAATGAGATGCTAGTATTCCCAAGCTTTACTCCGTTCAACAGGTTCAGCCCATTGAATTCTATGACCTTGTTGACATGAACCGGATACTTTTTGGTCATGCCAGCGGGCTTTACGTAAGTCTTGCCATATATCTTGATCCGAAGTGTCTGGTTTGCAAGGAAAGCGTGACTAAACCGTTCCAGAGCATCTTTGTTTGTAACGTGAACAGTCTGACTAATATTCACGACCTGAAATTTGTTGGCACTGGTCGGCGGGAACTGGAGGGTTGTAAAAGGCTGCACATCTGGGACATCAGCTAGCGCGATATTTCATTGGAAGGAGTCGACTTCTGCATTGACTTGGCCGTCCGTCTTGATAGTTGAGTAGATTTGGATGAAAAGCGAATTCAGTTCGGCGTCGAGGATGTGGATGCCCTGAATCTCAACTGTGGCCTCGTCAACCTTTTCCCGGGCAATGATCGGTACGACGACGAAGATTCTACCAGAGCAAAACATCGCAGTCAACACACTGCTACTGCATTCGGACTGTGAAGAGATCTGCGCACAGCTGATATCCAGCGTCGCTCAAAGACGGTTTGTTTAACTTTGTTATATGGGATGACTCACGCTAGACACACAACCAAAACAGTAATGCATATCCACAAGACAAGATGAAGTGCCCAAAATCGTCGAAAATGACCAAGTATACGTTGCTTCCCGTGCGGTCTCGTTGACTGGCAAGACGCTCGGCAGCTCTGCTTGGAAATTGACGATGCAGGTGCGGGTCGTTTTTTCGTCCTCCGAGTATTCGCAAGATCCGGGTCAGAATCGAAATGCCCGAGATACATGAACGATGGCATTTAGGCGTGAAGACTTAAGGAGAGTCTGGCAACTCCTAGATTCATTGTGTGATGTGCATTTGTGCCATTTGTGCTGAGCACGGTGAATCCAGCGGCAAAGGCGATACCACAAGTTCAGTCAATGGAACCAAGTCGCATTATAAACAGCCCGCTAATGTGCATTATCTTGTGCTTCGGTTTACTGGAAATGAAGGAACCAACTAGTCTGCGAGGCCATCTATCGCTGGTAATGAGGGGTGGAGCAGAATACCGTGACCCCTAACATGGTCATCGATTGATCTGGAGTGCAAATCCTCGGCTCCTTGTGACAGCACCCTGGCATGTGCTCCCCAGTAACACACCTTGGTATCTACATGATCGAGCGAATCCGAGCGTCTCGCATACAAAGTGATGGCTATAACCAGTCTCCATGTGCCCCTTGGTGTCGGAAACATGGCTAAAATTCGTTTCTACCATAGTGACTCTTTTGTCCTTGGCCGGTCAATTTTGCGCCGAGTAGTTATTACGTGTTGATGTCACTCGGCTAAGGACCAATGCTATCCCACTCCTCGGCCTCCCTGTTGCTTGGAATGTGCAGTCAGCCAGGCTTGGGCAGGACGTTGGAGTCCCTGGCCATAAGAATAGATTTGTAAACTTAGCAAGGACGGCATTCTCATGACTTCGTGTCACGCTACGGAGCATCCACGCCTTGTCCCGTCCCTGGTTTCGGTATTTCTTTGCCGCTCTCCACCTTCGACCCTGAAAATAAGACTGACGAAATACGAAAAACCCGCCGGGGGGGCTTCGACGAGGAACTACGGAGTACAAGGAAATAGAAAGGTTGTGTCTCAGAAGTAGTACCATGACCCTTCTCGCCCGAGTAACCAAGCCCCGTCACAAACTCGGATCTATGGTTTAATGATGGTAGATAGGTTATGGTTGTGCTCATGTCTGCATGATTTGTGAGTTATGGTCATACGACTTGACTCTCATGGCCCTCAATATAGCCTAAACACGGGCATCATTTGTTCAGGAATACCTGTGACTAGGCCTAGCCAAGGTTGCAGAGCAGGGAGCATAAGCACTAACGAGCGTCGGTGACGTTGTCGCACAGGAAACATGCAGCTGACGGTTGAGCGGTTACTAAACTAGACGATAACAACAGCATCGTGGCTGGCAAAAGCCATTGCTCTTTCCAATCACAGTTGCAGCCTTCTTTAGCTGAACTTGGCAAGGAAGATTGTCGGGAATCATGCCAACTACAGTACAATGAATGGACCCTACGGAGTATGCTACGCTAGCAGTAGCTCCTATCTGTAAAGGCCGGCAATGGATAGTCACTCCCTGTATCGCTTCCCTATACGAAGGCCTAGAGACTAGGAGATTACACGAGGCAAGAAAAGGACATCTATTGCCCTGTATCTCGGTATAGTACTTGCCTTCCACCTTTCATTGGCTCTCGATCCTCCCGTCAACATTTATACCCCAACATGTGCCGGTCACTTGTCATATATGAATTGGAAAATGGGTTTCGTATCCGTCGCCGCGACTCCGCGCCGGCGACCGCATTCGTCTAGGGTCGCCAATTGGCCGCCTCGCATGCTCAGGGAGAAAGGCCCTTACTTGCCTCGTACTTTGGCTTGTGCCCGGGCTGCCTCGTATCTACCCCCGCAAACAACAAGGAGATGGATGCGGGGAGCGGAGCGTGCTTGTAGTCGGGGCGCACTACGTCAGATATCGTCATGACTTGGAGTCATCTGGAGGGCCGACATTGAATGTTCGACCGACAGAAGGCCGTGAACTGTTTCATATATATATATATATATGTAGGCCTTTTCGGCTGGAATCTGTTCTTGACCCTACATCAGCGTTTCCACCAACACCGTTACTAGCTGCAAGCCTGTCTGCACAGGGAAGCAACCGAAAACAAGGCCAGAACACGATCGTCGGGCCGAAATGAAGTCTGCGGTCGTCTTTGGTTTCGTCACCTTTGGTGCACTGGTGACCACTCAAGCCGTCCAGTCAAAGCCATTCAATTTGGTCCTACAGTCCGACAAGGAGGATCTCAACGGCCGTGCCTTGGCTACGTGTCACACGGGCGCCGCTGTTGAATCAATTTGCGTGCTCCAGGACAGAAGAGCCGTTTTCCACCTCAACACCACCCAAGGTGGCCAGGCCGGCCCCGGCGGTATTCCCGGTATTCTGACTTGGACTTTGCCAACCCGTATGTATCATCTGACGGGCCAGCCTGCTGCGCAAAGGTATCAACTCGCTGACGAGCACGTTCTGTAGAGCCACCGACCCCTTCCAGCATGTCCTTCTACACGGATCCGTCTACCAATGTCGCCCTTCCCCTATTCTATCCTGGAGCCAGCAACGTTCGGTACGTCGGCTTCGATGACGACAACCTCATGAACATTGTCAGCTACCTCGACGATACGAAATCACCACCCGACGGCCAGACACCGCACGTTCTAAAGCGATGGTACGTTTGCACCACGTACAACATGGGCTACACCTACCAGACTCTTACCTGGGTCTTGGGCAACGCAAATCCACAGAATCCCAGCTGTGCAAGTGTCAATGTCAAGAGAAAGTTTGTTTAGGGCCCGGCCTAGGCGACGAGGATAGAACTTAGCTGCCGTAGCTCACAGTAACGCTCGAATCATGATGTAATCGAATTCATCGCGCCATCTGACAGCCGCTCAAGTACCCACGCAGACAACTCGTCGCTCGCCGAGCGTGCCGCTGGCTATCAACATGCGGCACCAACTGCACTGCATACAACGAATTTACTGATGTCATATCCGAGACCCTGACTCTTACAATCGTTAGTAATTATACACTTGGTGCCTCTCTCTCTTCATTACATATCCGTTCCTTGATCCTGTCGGCCTTTTTCCTCCGTGGCACAGTGGGCGAGCTCGGTTTGGGCATGTTTCAGGATTTCCCATTCCATCGCTGAATACGCTCACAACCTCGGCAGTTGCACATGGAGGCGGAAAAGGCGACGCAGGACACTGTCTGTCATGAAACGTGGCGAGTTATTAAGGCACTTTGTTCCTGAACCAGGCCGTTCTCCATGGGGGCCGTCGATGCTAGTCCTTTGCCTCGTACAATGCCACCGGCACGCCCTGTCCCGGACACCCAACCAGCTCGGCCTTGTGGAACTGAGCATTCCAATCGCCGCGGTACTCTACACGGTCATACTTTTGTAAAAGACGCACCACTGCTCGCGGGAGTCAGAACCGTGTCCAAAATTTGCCTGCAACGGGTAGCTCACGTGTGAAGGCCATTTCAGTGACGGCAAAGTTTTGGCCAATGCAGATTCTTGGACCACCGTTGAAGGGCACATACTGCCATGGCTTCGGCGTCCAGTGCTCCCAGCGGTCAGGACTGAAGATTGCAGGGTCGGCGAAGGAGTCCGAAACGGACGGGTAGAGATCAGGTCGACGCTGCATGGCCATGGTGCTGTAAATCACAATGTCGTTTGTCGACGTCGCGATTTCCGAGCGGCCCTCTGGCGTGGGCAGAGTAGAGTCCTCGACTGGTCACGGATGGTCAGTGCCTGCTGCCAGCAAAACGTGAATACTGCATGGTATGGCGGTGCGAGTGGACATACGACAACCGCGGATGTTATAAGGGACCGCAGGGTACAGCCGCAGAGTCTCGTTGATTGTGTGAGTCAGGTACATCAGGTTTTTGAGGTCCTCGTATGAGGGAGCCCGAGTTGGTCCCACGCGCTCTAGTACTTGTTTCCGAAGCTTCTGCCACACCTCGGGGTGATTGGCAAGTTCGTAAATGGCCCAGGAGAGCGTTGCTGCAGTCGTGTCTCGGCCGGCAATCAGGACGGCAAAGACCTGGTCCCGGATCACTTGAGGGTCTCGCGAAAACAAGGCAATGTTGTGAAGAAAGGTGAAGCCTTTGTCTGACTTTGACAGGTGTTCCAGCTCTTCAATGGAAAGCCGCAATGTCGACTCGATATACGGCGTGATGAATCGCTCAATGACTTTGATTCCGTCATAGTATTGGCGCAGTGGTAGTACGTGGCGGAATGAGCTGCGCACGAGTGGTAGTTAGCACAAGGGACGGATGACTCGTGACTCTGCCAACATCAATGGTGTGCTGGTAGGAAAGCTTGCTTCATGCCACCTACTACAAGATAACTCGAATCATCTGCATGCGCTGGACATTGGTGAACGCTCGGCTAAATTCACCGTTGGGGTGGTCCAATGCACCAACACTCTGCCCCAAGAGGAAGTCGGTTGAAGCATCCAGCGTCATCCTGTAAAACAAGTCGCAGATATCAACGGTGCTTCCGGAGGGCGGAAGCTTGGAAATGAACACGTCGGTCCAACGGGAGAAAATCTCAATATCCCGGACGCGCTCTCTCTTGAACATGGGCCTGATGAGAGCGCGGCTCTTCTGCCACAGCTGTCCGTCGGTCGTGAAAATCGAGTCTCCGAGAAACGGGCTGGCCGCAGAGTGAACCAGTCGGCCCTTTCCGTAATGGGTAAATTTACTCGTCAGGACGGTTTTGATGTGTTCTGGATCCCGAGTAACGATGACGCGCCGGCGCCCGAGTTGTAGCTCAACGACATTCGGGCATTTAGGATCCTGCTTGCTGAAGATGGAATCGAAGTGCTCCAGCATGCGATTGTTTGCCTGCATATATGCTGTCCTGGCAAGAAAGAACAATACTGCGAGAAACGTGAGCGTGCGTGGGCATAGGCGCAAGTCTGGTGCTTGCCGTTACCTGCAAAGGGGTTGCTGTGCAAGATTGGCGCCCTGACGCCAGAACTCTTGCGCAGCCGAATTGGCATATAAATCAACTGGAAAATCCATAGTGCCACGAGAAGTCTCGGTAGCGCAAGCACGGCAGTCAGTGGGCTAACTGTAACCTTGAGCATCGTTATTGCGAGCAACTTGCTGCGATCAAGTAGTTTGTGCCGCGTTTCCAGTCAGCGCCGCGCGTTTGGAGACCCGAAGCCTTGCCCCCGAGCAAATCCACTCGGGTGCTGGTAGACCTGTATAAGTCATACACAGGCTTGGGAGTCGGGACAAGGTCGAGAAGGGAAGAGGGGGCAAATGGAAACGAAGGAGCTACAGCGGGAGATCGGACAAAGTAGCTGCTCCTGGCAGCTCTAATTGACCATCGGATCACTACTCCGTCCAATGACTCGAAAGGAATTTCCAGCATTTGATGGACCGGGCGGAGACAAAGTCGACAGATGTGTGCCATGTCGCGTGGCCAAGTCCGGACCTGCGGAGGAACTTGAAGACACGAGCCATGTTTGAAAGCGTCTCAAAAGACCCCACCACCACAATCTTTGACCACTGGATTCAATCTACCTGACGAACATGTTTGCTTCGAAATGGTCAAGTGATGATGAAGGGCAGGAGGCGGAGCCGAGGCGTGCCATTCTCCTCTCGGGGCAAAAGCCCAGCGTTCAGACGGTTAGGGCTAGTTGGTTGGAAAGTTATCCGTCAAGCCATTCTTCCTGAAAGGCGGCCAAAGTCAAATACAATGTAACATGTAATGACCTGTATCCCGGCTATTCACTTGGCCACATGCACGTTGGGAAGTTGCCGCGAAACAAAGAGCCGCACGTGTGACGTGATTCTGAACATCCCTAAGAAAACGCAACTACGGATTCAGCAAGAGGATGGCGGCATCTGCCGCCTGGCTTTTTACCAAAGCTGAGTTTATTTTTGCCTATTCCAGGACAGAGAAGGAAGACAACGAGCGGCCCTGCACTCGAACAAATAATCATTTCGTACGTTGCATGACTAACGGAGTCGACTGTTTCCTGATTTCTTTGTTGTATTTTCACAAAATAGATACCCCAATACATGCAACACTGCATCAGATTCAATTATTCAAAGATTATCATGAGGGCATAGAGACGTCCGTGACTTGGACCAGTTCACAAAACCAGATTCTGTGGTCCACTTTTCCCCCGGCATCCATACTCATGTGCACGTTGGTGGTGTGCTAGCAGGCTTATTTCGCTTCAACTTCCAGAGTTGCTAGATTCTGAAGCACAAGACGACGGGCCTTCTCGTCATCTCCCCCTGTTCGATGCTTTGCCTCGGCCAGCGTTCTCTGGAACTTCTTGTTCGTGGAGTGAAGGCGATCAAGCAGCCCCAAGGGGCCGAAGTTTTCGTCAAAGGCAAAGTGGTGAAAGTCATGCTGCAGGTTAGGGTGCAGCCAGGGAATGTTGTATCCTGAGTGGGCGCAAATGGTCCCAAACTCGAGGAATAGAAACGTGAAGACGGCTTGTGACCAATGGTGCCTTACCAGAAGGATACCGATGGTGTTCGGGAGCAGGTTGGAGAAGACGTGCTCCGTTATGGTGCAGTACGTAGATGCGAGGCCCACAGGCGCAGTGAACTCGTGGTGCTGTTTATGGAACAATGGGTAGAGTGTTTTCGAATGAAACAACCGGTGTACGTAGTAAAACCCAACTTCGGTGCACAGGATGTCGAATGCCACGGTCGCAATCGTTTCCAGTTTGCCCGGCAACGCCGACGAGCTCACAGGCTTCAGGGGGGCGACGTAGGTGTTGGCAAGAGCCAAAGGCCCTGCAACCAGCAACTGGTTTCTCAGCGAGATGAGGGCAATATTGGCATACTGTCGCAGGTCGACACGAACGAAGGGTTGCGTCTTGTACTTAAACAGCCACGACGGACGGCCGGTTAGATCGGGTATCGCAAACACGGCTCCCCAAACCCAGAAGAAGACGGAGGTGATGAGAAAGGTCCCCCAAAAATTAATGTTCCATTCGCCGTACTTGGTTTCGAGGGCGTCGTAAAAGTTGCGACCAAACTCTGAGGCATTGAAGGCAACGAAGCCGCACACTAGGACGATGTCCGAGGTGAAGGACAGCAGCTGTCCTTTTTCCAAGGCGGGTGTTGAGTAAAGCCATCTGTTACTGTGTGGGATCGGCTTGCCGGAAAGGTCCTTTGGTACAAATCGCTTGGAGCTTCGCGAGATTGCGGCCTGGTCCGTCGTCTCATACTGCGTGGTTGTGCTTTGGGCCATCTCAGAGAACTGACTGCCTTTGTGTCGCTTCGTGACGGTAGTTGGGCAATGGACAATACAATAGACGCCTTGCTGAAGTAAAAACGAAAGGGGTTGAGGGAGGTCTCGAGGTACGCGGGCGACACAGACAGGATATGGCGACTAGATGGATTTCCGCAACCCCCATTCGCCACTTCGTAGGACACTGACGCAGTGGGGATCTGGGGCTCGGGACCGGTCCGCTTGTTAGGATTCGTGCCTCGGCACGGCCTTGGCCACCTTTGTAGCGCGACTAATATGCAACAAGCAGGTTTTTCGAATCCAGTCTCAAGGCCAATATCACAAGACGGCAAGTGCGGTTTCATACTGCCAAACTGGTAGTCGAGCCCCCCCAACAGACCTGGTTGAGGTGAGGTGAGTTGATATCGCCACCTTGTCTTTTGCTTTCTGTTGGAGTCATTTTTGCCTTTTCGCAGTCCAGAGACACTTTCCATTAAGGAAAGGGACAGTAGAGGTTGTGCCCATTGCTTGCCTTGCGCTCTTCAGCTCTTGTTTCTCACCTCGTTTTTCTTGAGTTGTCGTGGGAATGCGGACCGGTTTCATCATGTACACGTCATTTTTCAGGTCACAACAACGCCACCATCATTTTGGGTTGAATTTCCAAGTATACAAGTCGAGTGGAGCTTGGAAGCCAACTGCGACTGTGCTAACAACGACTATCTTGCGGCACTAGTTGGGCAAACTTAAAAAGACTGTCTGAGGCACAATATTTATAAGTTTCATGCTTATAGGACGGCGACCATCAACAAGGTATTTAGTTTTGTCTCCCAGAATCAACTGCCACGCCTGCCAAAAACAACTGGAGCCTATCCCTCGTCAGCCCAGCCTGAAGCCCACACCAGCACGAAGCTTCGCTTAGAGGTTGAGGTTAGTACATGCGAGGTTAAGGAGACCCTTGATACTATTATTAGTAAGGCGCCACGACACAGCAGGTCTAGTTGACTAGTCTTACGTTCTGGTCGCCAGTGCAGCAAGCAACCTGGTTACTGCAAGCCGTGCTAATAGGAACTGTAATAGCTATATGTCATTAGTTGACAAGCCAATCATGCGGCAAAACGTCTGCTCACCAAGAACACTAAGATCAATAGGACTGCAGTTTCCTCCCAGGAGTCCATCCAGCAAGGTACCAGCGCTATTTCCCTTGTTGCAGCAAGAAATTTGCTGGTGGTTACCGCACTGCGCAGCGGCATCACCGAGGGTTCGAACATGCAACCCCACGTATCCGTCGGGTTGGTGGTCGTAGGGAGCAGGAAGTGCAGTCGCAGTGACTAGAGCAGAAGCAGAAATGAAAATTTTAAACAAGGCCATTGTGGTGGAATGCGGATGAGGATGAAGCACAGAGGTAGTCAGATTAGACATGTACTAGAACCTTGGAGACCTTGTGTAAGAACTGAACGGCTGCCAGCTTACGCGTTGGGACCAAGAAGATTATATATCAGAAATCGGACAGCCTCGGTTATGACGCGACTCAGGTGAGGGAATCGCTCGACGTGGCGTACATTTTCACCCCGATTGGGACTTCCACTTGCAAGGCAACCAACTTGCGGCATACAGTAAGACATTATTTTTTCAGGCTCACGTAATTAAAAAAAAAAAAAAAAGGTAACCTCCTAATATCAAAGTCTACCTAGTCGTAACAAGTAATTGTGACGGCCAGGGTTCGCAAGGGTTAGGTTGGTGAGGTTTAAGCGGCTGGGCGTGGTGTTGGAGATCGGCAAGAGACTTTAGCCAAGCGATCTTTGCTTCACACCACGTTCGAGTGAAGTCTCCCCAGTGGCCACGGCCCGGCAAAATCGGCACTGTTGTTCAGCCCGGCTCGAGTCTCCGTCTTTCCACGTATTTAATATGTATCCGAAACACTGCGCACCTGGAAAAGAAGCGGACAGTGCCGAGTAATCCCAAGTGCTACTCGACAGGGCAGCGATGACAACAGCAGCAGCAGCAGCAAATAGCCCAATATGCCATCTGTATTTTTACGTGGCCAGAGACCTTGGGGTTCTTCGACACTGTCACTGAGTCTGGGACATGTCAGGCGGCAAATCACAGGGATTCCAGGCGATGTAACTTTGGCTTGGGGCTTACAAAACAAGGCCTATCGAATCACTTGGCGAAATCTAACAAGGTTATATGATGATACAAAAAGAGGTTACAGAACGAGGATGATATGGACATCCTCATGCCAGCCATGAGTCTATGACGTTCACATGATTAATAAGTCTCTCCCGTTTTCGACGTGCTTTGATATGTATGGATGCCGCATCATATCAGTCATGGGACCATAACTCTACGGAGTAGTGCCTGGTATAAAAGAAAGAAAAATGGGAGAGAGAGAGGGGGTGGGGGCTGGCAAGGGTAGAGGACGACCCAGAGACATTACAGACGTTGTGTTGCTCGGCTCTCTAGTGGCGATTTGCGCCAGCGGGATACGTCGGTCATGATGTTGATCACGAAGCTCACTAGAAATTTAGGAGCATCTATTTAGTAGATTGAAAAGTCCCAGTGCAAGGGCGAGAGCGACAGTGAGTTTCAAAGCCGCCGGTCAAGATCGCAACACATGGGAGCAATGTCATTGGTGACAGAGATGAGTCTCTTGCGCCGGAACGCCTGGCAGCCCGGGTTACGGACCAACTCCTAGCATGCTCGGAGATGCGGACCACCCCAGTCTCACGAGTTGCTATTAGTCGATAGTTGGTTTGACAGCATAGCAAGTTAATAAGACAGGTGGGCAGCGTTTAGGCCAGTGAGGGCCAATATGGTTTCTTTTGCACAGCTCAATCCAATGCTGGGCCTGGGCTGGGGCGGCCGGCACAGCGTCCTGGCCGCCGAACAAAACACACATGCGCTGACGGGGAAAAAGAGTTTTTTACCACACCCCCTCACCTCCAAAAGAGAAGTGATACGGAATGCTACACGTTACATAGCATAGCGTTAGCACGCCTGATGCTCCGACCGGAGCGGGGAATCACACCCACCAAAGGCGATTACACACACACACTACACACATGGGCATCTCCTTGTATTAATGTATAGCCCCCCGTCGGTGGGGAAACTTCGGATGGATGAAACAGGGACCTTCGAGACCGGATGGCACTGGTGAATCGCGTCTTGTGGTCCAAGCCTACGGTCGCACATTAGCTCGCATCCGCAAACGCTGCCACTACGATTTTCCTGATTTGCAGCGCTGCACACGTCTTTGCAATTATGGTCAATTGCTGCGTATGTCTTGCATTATTGTTGACTCTAATATTGCATAAGATACTTATTTAAACTTATCTACTTCTATTTCTTGTTAAATTAATTCTAAACTAGTTTATACTGCCTAAAAAAAAATATCTTGTGGATACAAGTCATTGCCGTAATACTAGCAATACTTAAACTTAGGGGAGCAACTTGCCGACAAGCTTGTCCCTAAGTTAAAATAATTATAGTGTAAAGTTCAATTTATATATTAAGGTAAGAGGAATTTTTTAATGTGACCCTACACTTTTAAAAATCTAAAATTCAGAAAATCCAAAAATCGTAGTGGCAGCGTTTGCGGATGCGAGCTAATGTGCGACCGTACCAAGCCCTCTCATCACCATCGTGATCCAGCGCTTGTCACACCATTCACGTTGGCCAGGTCCTCAACGGCAGGCGGATGGCGGCGAAATAAGCAAAAGCGAGGGCAGATTTTGTGCAAAATTTTTGGCAAGGAGTGCCAGAATCGATTCAGAGAGGGTTCAAAATTGTTGGTGAAGCCTCTCGAGCCTAGTTATATAGGCTTGTGCCGAGTGGTTCCCACACTACACAAGCAGACTCCTGCGAGGTGAGTGACGAACTTTATGGATGCTCTCTCGGGTGGCAGTGGCACGTGGCCACAAAATGCTGCTAGACTCGGCTGAATCAAGTCTTAAAAAGCGCTGGCACGAGGAAGCCAGCGTTCCATGGCCCGTGGCGTTCCATGGCTGAGGTCGGGGAGCCCCGTAGGCCAAAAGTCTTTGCGCCTGCATCGTCCGGCCTTGAGGGATGTTCCTAAGGATGGTGACAGCTAGGCTGCTTATATGTAGTTATCACGCAGGCTGGCAGAGTGTCGTGTCGGAGAGGGGCAATCAACTGACGCGCAATAGCGACTGCTATGTTTGGCCGAGAAGCTGCCTGCCCGGTGTGCTTTGATGAATTCATGGCGGCGTCGAGTGGTCAAACTACTGACACGCCAGACCAGCATCGCACTTATAACTACATATCTATATACTAACAACTTGTCGACGGCCGAGGGCCGGCTAGGCCCTGCACATCAGGTCGTCGGGCTTGACAATGACCCAGTTCTCTTGGGCCCAGACAGGCAGACCCTCGCGTTTCTGGTCGGCCGCAAAGCGCGTCCTCATGTCGTTGAGCTGCTCCATGTACTCGTCCTTGCGGTTCACCCATAGGTGAATGCCACCACGGCCCACGTCGACTCCCTGGAACAGCATGGGGCCGTCACTATCGGGAGTATCGCCGCCAACCAGGATGGGACGCTTCCAGGGGTCAATGTAGGCCAAGATGGCCGCCCACTTGCCCTCTTTCCAGGTGGCCGGAGCCCAGAGGAAAGGGGTCATGACCAGGTCCATGTTGTCCCGCTCGTTGTAGTGGCCCTCCTTGATCTGCTTCCGCGCAGAGGTGACGCTTCCGCTCTTGGGATCCTTCATGAGGAGAGTGACGCCAATGACGTTCTGGGGCTTCACGTTGTATCCGTACTTGGGGTCCGAGGCCACCATGCGCACGAGTTCTTCGGAAGCAGCACTGACGACGTAGACGTCGATGCCGTTGTGCATGAGCTTTTGGTACAGCTCGACCTGGCCGCAGAAGACGGTGGGCGGGCTCACGGTAGAGTTGGTCAGGACACCATGCTCATAGTACTGCACGTCAATGGCGTTGTCGAGGGCCATGAGCTCGTCCACGTAGACTTTGAGCTGGCGCAACGGCACGTCACTAAACACCTGGGCGGCAAAAGCGTAGCAGACGGTGTCGTCGATTGCACACAGGCGCTGGTAGTAGCTGTAGAGGCTCTCATTGTGGGACGCGGTGTCGTTGAAGGGAATGATTCTCAGCGAAGGATCAAGCGCCTCGCGCGACAGGACGCCCTTGGCTTCGAGGAAGGCTAGCAGGGACTCCTCGAGATCGCCGCGGTAACTGGTGTTGTCCATGTCAAAGACGGCGTAGCGACCCTTGTGGGCATTGCGCGCGATCATGGCATCGAGTGCCCCGGCAGCGCTGGGCGGCCAATGGGCCAGCTGAGGGTCGGCGGAAGGGTTGCTGACGTTGCAGGCCGGCTTGGCGTCGACGAAGCCGACAATGGCAGCGAGGCCAAAAGCTGCGCACATGCAGGCGTTTCTGATCATGGTGGCGATGGCTGGCTGGTAGGTGGCTGCTCCGACGAGGTGCAACTCTCACGACGTTGGACAGGTCGTCTCTGACGACGTGCAATGTTTTGGCTCAATGGTACCAGGGGGCTTGAGAGCATGTGCAGTCCATGGGACGGGAGCAGTGCCGAGCTGTTTAAATATCGCGAGCGCATGCGCATGGGAGTACTCCGTACATGTATCATGTATCATGGGCATGTCGGCGACTCGGCGTCGACCAAACTACGCGGCAAAATAGCAACTAGCAACGCACGTCCACCACGGCCGACATGGATGCACGCAGCACGATGATGAGCAAGGCGGAGTCAATCCAGTAGTCGGCCGGGCAATGGAGAAGGCCCTGTCTCTTGGTTCGGGCCAATTTGAAGCTGCTCGCAGCGCGCAAACAGCAAATACCGCTCAGCCTGCGAATCGTGTTGGAGGAGGCGCAGAGCCCGAAGGGTGGGTGGGGGAGCCGCGGGCAGGCAGGCATTGCCGGTGAACAAGCTCGTCTCCGGCACTGCCGCATAGCTTCGGCCGTTTCTGGGCGATGCGTGCTGTCGGTGTGAGTGGCGGATGGGTAGGTGTAGCCGAGATGCGCGTCCATTACGGAGTAAACTCGCGCAGTTTTCCACCAGTTCCGGCTGTACGGACGGAGGAGGCTGGACGGCGTGCCGGGGTTGGGCAGAGCGCACTTGACTAGTCGAGTACGGAGTAATGCTAAGTAGTAACCCCAAGCGGCCTACGACAATTACGCAGCCAAAACTGCCAGGTCAAGCTCTGATCAACACGCACTACTCCGTACAATCTCGTGACTTGATCCGCACCCTTGGGCTTGGATGTGCCGACGACATGACCAACCCCCGTGTCCTCGGCCTTGGGTTTCCCAACAACCCCGACTCATCCACACATGCCCGGTGCCATGAAACGACTTCCTAGGCAGCCGGGTGAGCGTTCTTTCCGCTAGCGTAGGCGCCGACAATGTCCACGGCCAAGCCTGTCCGTGACCGCATCGTTTCCGACCATGCCCAACCACCCCATGGACACCGGACTGCCTCGCCTGGACCCGAGGCCGGCACCAATCTGTAGTTATTCCCTCTCTGTATACGGCGGCGACCCGGGCGTTGACAGCGAGGCCGCCACAGGGGCCACGGCGTCATCCTCACGACCGCACAAGAGTCACGTGCCACGGCCGAGAGCCGGACGGAGGGGAACGGGCGGGATATTCTCTATTAACAGCATCACGATGGCTAGATTCCACGGCAAGTTCATTCACTGTCGTCATCTTGCCAGTGGGTTTCTCCTGCCGACCTGTACGCCGTCCTGGGTCCTGTAGCCACATCTTGCATGCTCGGGGAGGCGGGCCTGGCCGAGTCCAAGTCTCGCATCTGCGTCGTCGCCACACCACCTCACTGGGCGAAATGGAGACGAAGCTTGACCCCATCAGCCGGGCAGTCGGTCAGCGTCAAGCCGTGCTTGACGGGACCCGCGGCCGAGCCGTCGAGGGCGTCGACGCGCTGGAGCACGCGGACAAGAACGTAGGCGATTTCAGTGAGGGCGAACTGCTGTCCAATGCAGATGCGAGGGCCGCCGTTGAAGGGAAGGAAATCCCAACCGGGCTTCCGCGATTCCCAACGCTCCGGCCGGAAAACGTCACAATCCTCCCCCCACAGGTCCTTGCGTCGGTGCATGAGGAAAACCTAGAGACGGAACGTGTGAGGACAGGGGACAGAAATGGGAGACGGGAGACGGAAATGCACGCCCAAGAAGCGCAGCGGGACATGGACTTACAGAGTAGCCCACGTCGGTCCCCTTGGCCACAAAGACGGGAGAGCGGCCGTCCTGGCCTCCACCGACGGGGAGAGTGGTGTCGGTCAAGGCTGTGCGCACGTTCATGGGGACGACGGGATACAATCTCAGGGCCTCGTTGATGCACCACTGCAAGTACTGGCAGCCCTTCATGCGCTCAAACGTGATGTCGCGCGGGCCATGGTAGGGGCCGAACTCGTCGACGACGAGCTGGCGGAGTCTCTTGTAAATGTGCTCGTAGCGCTTCTCTGCCAAGGTGTGGAAGAACCAGCCCAGGAGAGAGGCGGTGGTATCGCGACCGGCCAGCAGGATATTGAGGAGTTGCGACCGCAGCTCCGTGGGGTCCTGGGTCTGCTCGGCAAGCGCATGCAGGAAGACGTAGTGGTCCGATTTCTGCTTCTCGCCGGGGTCGCTCATGGCCTTTTGCACAAAGTAGTCGACGAAGCCGTGGACTCTGTCCACCATTCGACGGAACTCGGGCGTGTGCATCAGCCAGTAGTAGTTGCCCAGCCGCGCGGCCATGGCTAGGATGAATTGCGAGCGATCAAAGGCGTAGGCGAAGCTGTCATCGTCGGCGCCGCTGTTGGTGATGTCGTTTTGCAGATCAATCTGGCTGTTGACGCTCTCTCCGAACAAGAACTCGGTGGCCGAGTCGAGGGTGAGACGGAACAACAGGACCTGGAGATCGACCGTGTCGGTCCAGCCGTCGCTTCCGAGATGACGGTCCAGCACCGCCATCATGTTCTTGACGTGCGCCTCCTCAAGGTCCAAGTCGCTGACCTGGCTGCGGACGAACTGGGGGCGGAGGAGGGCTCGCGAATGTTCCCACTGCTTGCCGTTGGCAGCAAACTAGGCGAGAGTGAGTTGACTGCGGGCCGTGGTCGCGAGGTTTTCCGGTCTTGGGTCCTGCGACGATGGGGGAGAATAAAAAAGATTCACTTACGATGCCGTTGCCGAGAAGCGGTCTGAAATTGTCGGTGCGATTCACCCCCAAGCCAAAATCTTTGAACTTCAACGCCAGCATGGCCTGTATGTTCTGAGGATCCGACGTGAACATCATCTTCTTGAAAAAGGGCATGACCAAGGTTGCTGTGCCGACAGGCCGGCCCTCACGGTCACTGAGCTTCTCGAAGTGCTCCTGCATGAACTGGGGAAACCTCCGTTCCTTGGACGCCTGCGCGCCGCGGTACAGGGCCACGATACCGCTAGGCTCTGTCGTCGGAACTTGAACGGCCGGTTTGCACCCAAGCCTCTGCGCCATGGCTCTGTGACGCCGCCTCGTCTGCACGGTGTTGATGAGCACGACGATGACGGCGGCCCCGAGGGCGATGCCGGCCAGAACAGTTGTTTGCATGGCTGCGAGTTGTGAAGGCGGAATGGTTTTTTTTTTCGGCCAACGGTCTGTCGCGTGTGTACGAGAAACCAAGACCACGAGGGAAGAGCGGCGATGCGACAGCAGGTGGTTCTCTCAATAATGCATGTGTTTGTCGTGCGGACCGTCGGGAGAACAGACGGTCCCAGACTCCCACTCCCAGCATCCACCCCGACGGATGCCTCGGGCGTCTGGCCGCCGGGTTTTTCGGACTTGTCCGCAGGGGCACTTGCTCTACAACCGAGTCTGGTCTGGTCCCCAAGAGTCAAGGCCCCTCGTGGACTCGACGGTGCATTTGGCATTTGTCGGTCGCGGCCCGATGACACCCCGGGAACGGCGGGCGGCGGGGACGGGACAACTTGAGGAATGTCGAGTTACAACCGACTGCGTGGTCAAACTCGGCGATTTGCCAGGTGGCCGGAGCCCGCGCTCTGTCTGTTGTCTGTTGTTTTCATTCATGAATTGCCAGCCAAGTCGTAAAAGTTTATTCATTATTCGTGTCACGGCCATCCACGGCTCTGTGATTGGCGGTTGGCGCAGGTCGAACAGGGCCGTGGCTATGCGACACGAAGCCAGCTGTCTTCTCTTGTCTGACAGAGTGCGAGTAGGGCCATGTGTTCCTCAAAACGTCGGATAGGACTGCGAGTAGACGACTCCAGTGAAACGAGCGCATTTGGTCCATGACAAAAAAATGAAGAACAAATCAAGTGGCGGATACAACAAGCACATCGCTCCCGGCGTAAGCTGGAGCATGATCAATTCGACAGGTCTATTGGCCAAGGTTGATATATATAAACGCTGGGAGATATTGACAACTCCGTGGTGCAAACGCTGAGCTTGATGTACCCTGACAAAACAAAAAAACAGGGGGGCTTACAGATTTCTGGCTTTTCGAAGAGGCTATCATTCAATCAGCATGTCAATTGCCTCATGACCTGTGCTTCTGCTGTCTGAATGGCCAAGGTCGGATCCCAACCGATAGGGGGGGACTTTGGCTTCGTCTATCCACTCAAGTAAGTTACCTTCTCATTAGATGCATCAGACATGCGATTATGCCATGCCACGCCCACATGAAATGTCACTGCGGCAAACCCGCAACGTCATCAGACGATGACGTGCTCCCTCGATGCAGTTCGCCGCACGCCAGCTCTGCATCTTCGAATTGCTTGTAGACCATTTTTGTAATCATGGATAAAGACCAAATTGTGCCTTGAGCTTGTCTGAGCCACAGACACGGCAGCCACTTGAACATGTTCCTTTTTGCCGTGCCGCCCGTCATGGCCGTGGGGAAACCTGCCTTGCATCGTCTGCTCCGTACTTAGCACCCAATGACGTGGACCAATTGACCTACTTCGAAGCCAATCATGACAATGAGCCCCTGAGGGTCTGCTTGCCTCATGTCAAGTAGCAGCAGCGCAGAGCCTATCAGGAGGGTTGGCTTACATGCCTTGACATGGCTGGACGCCACCGAGCTACCATCCCACCACGACGCGGCCGGCGCGTGTCGATTGAAGTGGGTCAGGAAAAGAGACAGAGGAGAGGAGAAGAAGGGTACTGACTGTGCATGCTTGGAAAAGAGAATCTTGTTCACGAGACTGTGGCACATGTTGGCGCTTTGCTAGATGTCAAAGCAGAGTCTTGTATACAAGTTGTGCTGCATCTGCCCCCAGAAGCATCCTCCAAGTCCCCGACTTGGGGACAATGCAACGATACATCATGTGAACCGGCACTTTCGAGGAGAATTCCACTCCTAGTGTGGGCGCATGGTCAGTTGCTATGCAGAACTCATGATCGAACAAGGTTGCACGCAAGACGCACGAGTCTATCAAGATCTAACCCGTCCGGTAAGGTGCTTCACATTCATATTGCGCAATTCAACGTGGCGGGGTTGCACGGCGTTCATCCTAGCAGCACCAGCGCGATGCAAGAACAAGATTGCAGCCAGTTCCTGGCGGCAAGGGTGGACGCATTCAAGACATTTTGGTCGTAAACAAGGCCGTCGCGGCATGTCCTCTAAGACGAGAAGCCGCCGGGCCGCCTTTTGCATTCTCTAGCACAATGCCAAACAAAGTATCATGGCAAATACCTCCGAATATATAGCATGAGTTCATCGACTTGCACCCCCATCCTTCGCCGGGCTCAACCTGTTGCGTCGGAACCATCACCCCATCCCCACGACCCTCTCCTACTCGAGGCCAAGAACAAACCACCGTACCATGGTGCAGTCGCAGACCCTCAATTGGCTCTCCGCCGCTCTGCTTGCCCTATTCCCGCTGGCCAATGGCCAACATGTCGGGTATATGGACCCTCTTCAGTACGTTGACCAACTTATCGGTGCGAGCAACGGCGGCAACGTATTCCCCGGCGCAACTGTGCCTTATGGCATGGCCAAAGCAGTTGCAGACACCAGCAGTGGTAGCAACCAAGGTGGGTTTACTCTCGACGGTGCTCCAGTATCTGGGTTTAGTCTTCTTCACGATTCTGGAACCGGTGGTGCGCCGTCGTTGGGCAACTTTCCGCTCTTCCCATATAACAAATGCCAGGCCGGTGATGTGAACAACTGCGCCTTTCCCAAGAAGGCTCGCGTCAAGTTTGGCAAGTTTGCCAACGACAGCGTTCAAGCGAGACCAGGATACTTTGGCATCACTCTTCAAAGCGGGCCACAGGTTGAAATGACCACAACAAAACATGCAGCATTGTTCCGATTCACGTTCAAGGGCGCCGTTGCGGGCGACAAACCGCTTATACTTCAGGATCTCAGCGATCTTTCCGACTCGCGACAGGATAACGGTACCGTGACGGTCGATCCCGCGACTGGTCGCATTACGGGCAATGCCCTATTTGTCGCCAGCTTCGGCCAAGGCAAATACCGGCCGTTTTTCTGCACCGACTTTGACGGCGCCGACATTGAAGACAGCGGCATCTACGTCGACAGCCGAGCCAGTACTGACGTCCACGCTCTCAAGATTTCTCGCTCCATCAACGGCTACCCCCTGCCCGGCGGTGCCTTTGTTCGCTTCGTCGACGGCAACAATCCCGTCTACGCCCGTGTTGGCCTTAGTTTCATTAGCAGCGAACAAGCCTGCGCTAATGCCGAGCGCGAAATGCCCGACTTTGACTTCAACAAGCATGCCCAGGACGCAAGGGACGCTTGGCGGCAAAAGCTGTCTCCCATTACCGTGGATCCCAACGGAGTAGACGAGAGTTTCGTAAAGAACTTTTACTCGGGCATCTACCGAACAATGGTGAATCCGCAAAACTATACGGGGGAAAATCCGCTCTGGCAGGACGGCGAGCCCTACTTCGACTCGTTTTATTGTATATGGGATCTCTTTCGCTCGCAGTTCCCGTTCTTGACCATTATCGATCCCGAGGCTGTTGCCGAAATGATCCGCTCGCTCATTTCCACTTATGAACACGACGGCTGGCTGCCAGACTGCCGCATGAGCTTCAGCAGAGGCTACACGCAAGGCGGTTCCAATGCTGACAATGTCCTGGCTGATGCTTTCATCAAAGGCATAACAGCCGGCATTGATTGGGACAAGGGCTACGAAGCGGTCAAAAGGGATGCTGAAGAGGAGCCTTACGATTGGTGCTGCCGAGGCCGCGGAGGCATCGCCTCATGGAAGCGGCTGGGATACGTGCCAGTTCAAGACTTTGACTACCACGGGTTCGGGACCCTGACACGGTCCATTAGTCGTACCATGGAGTATGCCTACAACGACTTCTGCATATCGCAAATGGCAAAGAGTCTCGGCAACAAGGATGAGTCGGAAAAGTACATCGCCAGCAGTGGTAATTGGCGGAACCTGTACAAATCAGACCAGCCCTCCTCACTGCCAAACGGCACAAACACTGGCTTTGCAGGATTCTTCCAGCCAAGGTATATGAACAAGACGTGGGGATACCAGGACCCCCTCAAGTGCAGCAACGCAGACTCGCAGAGTGTTTGCTCTCTTCAGAACAGCGGTCCCGAGACGTTTGAGAGCAGCATTTGGGAATATGGCTTGTAAGCATCTTGGCCCAAGTCAAACACCACATGGCATCTACTAACTACCGCTCAGTTTTGTCCCCCACGACCAAGCGCAGCTCATCAACCTCTATGGGGGACCAGAACGCTTCGTCAACCGTCTAAACTACCTGCACGACCAACAAATCACAAACATTGGCAACGAGCCGGCATTCTTGACCGTCTTTCAATATCACTACGCCGGGCGCCCCGCCGAATCCGCCCGTCGCAGTCATTTCTACATACCAAGATACTTCTCAACAAAACCCGACGGTCTACCCGGAAATGACGACAGCGGTGCCATGGGCTCCTTTCTCGCATTCTCGATGATGGGGCTGTTCCCGAACCCAGGGCAGAATGTCTACCTAATTATACCCCCGTATTTTGAGAGCGTCAAGATCAAGCACCCTCTTACCAAGAAGACGGCTACAATTAGAAACATCAACTTTGACCCGACATACCAGAACATTTATATCCAGAATGCCACTCTTGATGGCAGGGTCTATACAAAGAACTGGATTGACCATTCATTCTTTACTGAAGGCAAAGAGCTTGTTCTCACTCTAGGCGCCGCGGAAAGTTCATGGGGAACTGCTGCCAAGGACTTACCTCCTAGCCTTAGCTCATACGACGTATTCGACAAGCCAAATTGCGGCAATTCTGGACGGGGACTAGCAGAAGATGGAAGCTACTGCGGGCAATTCCGAAGCGGTCCTTTGGGTTTTTGATGGAATGGTTGGGTCAGGCGTGTATCTGTATTGCATTCAGCATTGTGAAGCCAGTTGATTACGTTCGCTCCCACTCCCAATTGCCTCTCCGCGGTACATTACGCAGCGTTCAAGTCCCAGGCCCTCTTGCATCTATGTATCCATATGGAATCTAAAATGCCGAGTTGCCGTGGCGCTGGTCTTGGAGCAAAAACCTTGCCACGAGAATATGCCTAAGCGCTCCCTTTTCAAGGTGAGACCACCGAGTCACCAAAACGAACCAACAATAGTAATAGTGCCCCTTGTCAAATGTCTTCAATATCCGACTTGTGAGTGTACCCTTTTGACTCATGGCATCCATCCACTGGCTTGGCCTGGCATGACCCTGCCATGGCCGCCGCATATACATCATCTTACGTTCTGTAGTCTGGGAGGCGCTGTTTTCCCCCGCCGGGTTAGGCGGCACCCCCGATCGGGCAAGGCGCCCTTGCCGCTATTCGCCCGTCCCATGGCAACGCCCCACCTTCCAGAGCCAACGGTATAAATACGTCGAACCTCCCACCACTTCGTAGACTTGTACTCTTGACTTCAGTCTCCTCTTCAACCGATGCTTTTTTTTTTTCGCCTGCTTACCATCCTGGCTTCACATTCCATGAACCCACGCCTATTCAGGTCCTTTTCATCTCGCCTCCCGGTCAATACGCTCCATCGAGTCGGCTCGCCCGAGGCACGCCTGCTCCAACCAGCCGGCCGCCCACCGACCTACCCAGCAGCCAGCTTGACGGAATAGCTCTTGAAACTCTGTTCTTTTTTATTTACGATTGACGATATATGAGTGCACAGCCGCGTCTTTGCACTTTTCGTTTTGGCTTTGTCCACATGTAATGAAAATGACCTCCGGAGACAAAGGCTCTTCCGTTGAGCATGGAGCTTGAACCATCCCCGTGACAACTCAACCAATGGCAAAAATGCCTCAGCCTTGGTCCTGCCACGTCATCATCTTTGCCTCGACGACCTGAGACGCATGCCGTACATGAATTCGGCCCGATGTTACATACACGAGGCAGCAACAGAGGAACTTTTGGAAATGAGGATGATACAGAAATAACTCACGATAGCGACTCTGGTTGGTCTGTGTTTAGCTTGTGGCACCTGCTCTTCGCGTCAAGGTGGAACGATTTCATCGGATCGGCATCCACAGTCTCACGCACAAACAAGGCTTGCGCACATCTAAGCGAATCATGTACGTGTCCGAACCAACACCCCCCCGGGGCGGGGGGAGAGAGCATTGGGCATGCATGAAATTAGTGGAGTGTTAGGCTGATTGCGAGATTTCAGCCTGGTCAACGAAGGCTGAATTTGCGGCGATATTGCCTGAGTGAGAGATACATCCGGGAGGAGGTGCGGCAAATATGGTCCGACATCATCATGATTGGTGCTCAGAAGGACTTGACGAGACGGCCCATAGTCATTCACTTACGGCTCAAGCAAATGGGAGGCTAGGATTTGGTTGATGAACGAGCAGGCACGAGAGCATAATGGCATCATTCGAAAGTACTGAGTCCTTCTCAAGTACTTAAGGCGGATGTCTTTCACTCCGAATTCGTGATCACGTACTTTTCATCTCTCTCTATTCAACGTCTCAATTTAACAGTCACATACGCTCATGATGGCGGCTCTTATTTCTCTTGATAATCAAAGTATTTGGGTGCCACCATCGCACATGTCTGCCAGCGAATCTTTCAGCAAACTGTCACCCGGCAAGCAGCAGGAGCCATCGCAACAAGACAGAACTGCCAGATCTTGTCAGGACGGATATGTGCTGCCCAAAAGCGCACTATCGCATCGCCAAACGACCAGCAGCGAGGTCATCACCATCTCGTCGGATGAGAAATCTGATACGGACGATGGAGATAGTGGTGTCGATGGCACGCTGCAGAGTTCTCGGCCTCGTGGATCGCCGTTGTCTGTTGCGGGCGATGCGCCCGGGGAGTGGGAAGAATCTTACCACGGAAAAATGGACCGTTAGTGGGCCCAAGGCAAACGAGTGCCAAAAGCTCATTCGTACTGATAATTAGTTCCTAGAACACTCTCCTCGACTTCTCGGCACTGCAGATGATCATAGTATCGCTTCTCTACCACTAGATGAACAAGATCCAGTTTGCACGGAAATAAGAAGTCCAACACCACCTAGCCCTGCAGCCGGCCACTCTATGGAGACCCCATTCAGCCAATTTGTATCCGCGCCACAAATTCCAGGTTGCTCCGACGAAATGGCACCTGAACCGACAGACTCCTTCGAGGCTGTTCAAGAGTCTGGCGATGAACTCTGCCCTTCTCACCAGCCTGAAACTCGAGGCGCCACCCGGCCCAATGCTAATGATATCGACGGTAGTGATAACGACACCTCCACAAATGTCCAGCAGACGCGTCAAAGTTCTCCTGTGCCTGTCCAACCAAGCACTAGGCCGTTTGACGATGCGGCTGGCCGAAGTTCAATGCCAAATGGCAAGCACCCGAACGAAAGCAACGAGGCAGAAGGCTCCTTGGGCTGCAGTCGTCATGGGTGCCAGCCCGTGGAATCTGAGACCCAATCTCTCGGGGAAACGGGTTTCCAATCCGGTGCCGCCACCGTTCATAACACGGAGGGAAGGACTGGAATACCCAACTCCTGTGATGGTAGCAACAAGCGCCGGCGTTGCAAAGCCCGCGAACCCCAGGCGAAGGAAGCGACAGCGATGATGAATTTATCCCAACACGCAAGCTTCGAAAAGCAAGACCGCACCGTCATAGAAAAAACCTAACCCCTGATCATAAGTCCAAAAGATCCGTCACTAAACCGCAAGCAAGGAACCACGGAAAAAAATTATCGGCGAGCGGAGATCAACATCTAGATGCTACCATTGCAAGCTACGAGGAATGGCTTCTTTCAGATGCCGTGCTCAAGTGCATACGCGATAACGGTACCATGACTTTTCAAATGCAATTCACGCACACGCTCTCACCCTGTGGTATGCGCACTGGACATCCACCAAAGACGACAAATGAGTCACCCAAATACACGGACCAGCCGCAGTGCCACGCAGGAAAGCCCAAAGACCGTGGGTTGCTCAACATGAATTCTTTGACATCAGACAAAGGCGGTACCACCCATCAAGCATCGCCGAACGACTCTGACGATACTGATATCTACAAAGCGGAATTACTAGCACGATGGGGTAAGAACATCTTCTTCCTAAGATGGGACATTGACGGCAGTACCGGTTGGGAACCACGAAGAAACACTCTGGACCAGAAAATGCTACACAGCTTTGAGTCGACTTATGCTGGATTTGATGAGGGAGTCGACGTGCTGAGCACACGGGAAAGCAAACGCGGTAAGCGACAGTGTCTCTTGCATTTCCACGGTCGCCCGCAAGCCGAGGACTCTTGGGTAAAGGAGGAACTGTTGAGTCCCAACCTCCTAGAAAAAGCCAGGTACAGTGGCATGGATCTTAGGAGACATAATACAGCAACTCAGGATGGCAGTAAATAGAGCCACGTGTTTCGTATCCTGGTCGAACAGCCTGCAATTATGATGAAGTCGGTCCGTCTCCCAGACAGGTCAAGCAACGCCTTCTTTAAGACCGATCACAGTTTGTCTGTAGTAATAAGCAATTTGTTACTTTAGACGTCCAGCTTAAAGTGCTCCAACAGATTCCAGATTTGAGGCCGATGATTCTGGCCATGGAAACCAGTAACTAGATGGACTTGGTTGAAGTTGCAAGTCACGGTTTCTTCGTGGTGACATTGTACCAGCGCCCAATCTATGTCAGCCTGCTGCAGCCAAGAGACGGGTAGCTGTCTGCTGGCGACATTTTCTTTGGTTGCCTTACCTTGATAGAAATAACACGGAAACCCTGGAGAGAGTGGCCTGCGTGGAGGCTCATGGAAATATGGCACTAACTCTTTGGCATCCCATGCTACAAATGTTGCCCGATAAACTCTACCAATGCATCAGATTTTTGCATTTCGGATTTGGCGTCGGGGGGCGGCAACACCCAAGAATTGACATTCAGTCTTTGACCACAGAAGCAGGGCAATTGTTGATGCAATGAGGCTGTCGCATGCAATGTCGCCCAACTTGCACTGCCCCGCTGAGGTGCACTGTGATAAAGCCGCGCGTTTCGTATCGCCGGAAAGCAGATTGTCGTCCGTCTTATGAATATACCTGAAAGGCTAGTAATATATTAGATCGAACAGACTGCAATTACTTTCAAGTCGACCCATCTCCTAGACAGGTCAAGCAACGCGTTCTTTATGGCCGGTCACAGTTTGTCTGCCCTCCGGAGCTTTGCATCACGCAGAGTCACAAGAAACTATGCTGCGATATCCTCAAGGAGAAATTTTGTAAGATCGTAAACGAGACATCCACTATTTTTGGCTTTTCAAACTCTTGAATTGTCTGTCATAGGCTATTTAAACTAAGGGGCGGGGAGCTACAGGCTTGGGGTCGATATTTCGTGTACCGTTGTGGTGCTTCAGCAGATGGGTCCTGAAACTCCCGAGCATTGCCAATTCCTTATCAGCGCAAAATGGGCAACGATATAGGTTCTTTGAAGTCTTGTATGTGTCGGGTTTTGGGCTCCCATCGTTGGACTTATCCGCCATTTGATCGATGAGGCATTGTGGAAGGGCCAATGGCCATTCATTGTATTCATTTTCATGATCTCCAACGACCTTATCACTTGAGCTATGACCCTACATGTTGCCCTATTAAGAGAGCAAGGTCTGCGCTTCGCGTCAATTTCATTGTGATGGCGCGACCGAAACGAGGATCACCGTCAGTCCACTAAACTACAGGGATTGTGCCGGGAATGAGTTTCAACCAACGTGTCCATCAGCTCCAGGCTGCAGCCTGCAGGCGACGGTGTTATCATAGAGATGGCTTGCCATTAAAACCGATTCAGTATAGACAATGTCGTATGCGCGCGTACGAGAGAGAGGAGAGGTGTAACATATACGCTGACATCAAGTTCAGGCTGTCAGCCTGCATAACACGTCGTTACTTTTGGTGTGGATTAGTCCCATCGAGTCACACAAGCCAACCGGCCCAGCGCTAGAGTTATATAAGATCGATGAAATGTGTCAAAACTATTTACAGCTTAATTAAATCTTTGACTGCTAGCGTAGTCAGCTAGACAGCATTATGGCTTCTTCTAACAGGCGAGCTCTCTGGCCATTTGTCCTTAAATGGGTGTCACTGGAGGCGCGGCCATCTAAACCGCCTGGGCGCAGTCTCTGTATTGAATATCTCGCGGGCCTCGGGATGATTGATGTTAATGCACGAAGACTGTTGAATCGTCTCCCTCCTTTGACGCACGCCATCATTATGTGAGATATGGTCTATTATCAGCACCTGGGCTAGCTAATACTTTGACAGCAATGACATCCATCAAAGTGTGTCCGATGACGATCCACACATCACCATTGCAGCAGCCACGGATGAAATGAGGCGTCACGGCACACATATAGCAGTTCACAGCCGTGTTTCTAGCAAGAACGCAGACGAAGCGTGTTTCTTGGGCGGTGAAGATTACCCTAACAACATAAAACAAGACACAAACGACCTGCGACAATCATATACAAACCCCCTTCACGCAAGGGCATCACTACTATCGGATGACATAAACACGGCGCCGGTCGGATATACTATCAATTCTGATGGCAGCCCCCAGTGGTATGTGCTTAACGACGAGCTAGATCCCGTATACCTAAAAGACACAAAATTCTATAGGGCTGGGGAGGGAGCTACCGAGCATCTAGTATTTCTTAACCCTATAAGTGATGCGCCATGTCGGGCAATATTTTTAGGAAATGAAAGGCCGGAGCCACATTCCCCAGATCCCGAACCGACGAATCTTGAATTGTCTATGACAAGCCTATCACTCGCACCAACTGAGGAATCGGTGACTCCGTACATAGACTTGAGAAGAGTCAATAAACCCCTAGTCTTCGAGACCAATGATAACACTGGCGAATGGGCAACGATTCGAACCAGTTGGCAGAGCTGGTATGCAGAAAATTGTGAAGGCTATGTTGTTTTCAAGTATGATGGGATGGGCAAAGTAGGAGGCAGAGTATTCTGCACAAGGGAGATGCCAGTCGTGGTCGTTTACCCATATTTGGTACGGTCGAGTAGCCGTCCAATACAGTTTGTGGGTCCAGAGCCGGAGCTGGATGTTTTCAAAACAAAAAGGGGGAAATGGATGAGTGGCATGAACGATTGTTTCTTTGTGTATCTGGAGAAAGCGGTATTTTATTTAGCTCTCACTTTGCCGGATGACAGCGGTCGTTGAGATTAGCTGAAATATCGCGAGAGGGCTTAAAGAGTTATAGCAGTCTCCATAAACAGTTTATCCCAACGCAGATCCGATATTGAGAGTCTCATCTGCGGCTGTATCTCAAGGAGAGCCAACACGTACGGCGTGAAATGTTCCTTAACACTGAGAGGAAGCTGGTTCATCAGATTGTCCTGTCCGTTATGAAGCTTAGTTAAGCAGTCCTTATATTCCTCGAGTGCATCTTCAGAGTCAGAACCAATTGAGGAGGGAAATAGACACCAGCCATGTGTCAGGATGAAATAAATCTAAGCATCAATTAGCTACGAATAATTAGACGATATCAGTATTCGGGCACTTACCAGTTGACCAAGATACCAACTGTCAGCCTTAAAAGGCAGGGTTGCTGCCTTTTGGCCAGAAAGAAGTTCAGGAGGACGCGGTGTCCCAGAGGGGAAGACAGTTGCAGGATACACTGCGCCATTGACTGGACGAAATGAATGGCCAAAATCAAGTATCTTTACAACGCCAGGCCCGAAACCTACATCCTGAGGTTCGCAAACTCGTTGAGGAAGATGCGCGGGAGTTGGTAATTCATCTTTTCGTCGAATTTCATGTTCTGGGGGCGGCTCGATCAGAAAATTGTTGATATGAGCAGGCCCAGGCTGGGCAAAGGCGACGTTGCCCGGGTGGAGATCTATGGAGCTTAGTTTGTGGTCTTGTAGTCGTGATCCATCACTAACCTCCATGTACTACACCAATCCGATGCAATTCAGCCATGCCGCAAACAATCTGGCGAATACAAGTCTGTCTTGTTTCTAAGCTGAGAGGCAGATTGGGAGAGTGAACTTGCTCAAATTTCGAGAATGCCCGCTCAAGGGATGAACCCGTGGTTGGGTATACAATCGCCTCGAATACGATATCTTTGAAACCGGGTTTATCGCCAAGATGGTGACCGATTTGAAAGTGGTCTCTCATAGAGACTACATACGGACTGAAACAATTTGTCTGCAAGTATCGCCACATGTCTAACTCCGCAATATCGCCTCGTGGCAAGAATTTCACAGTTAAAAATTCGCTGGAAGTTATTAGCAAAATTCTGGATTAAATAAAAGAATTCTCCTACTCCGTGTGAGGATCGCGAGTAAGCCAACACCAGTTTCCCAGCCTCCGTAACATTTTATAGCCATGGAAAATATCGTCCCGGTATACAACCCGCTGGGTACACTTATCCCATCGCTCAAGTAGATATTGATCTCGCCAAAAGAGGCCGCCATGGGTAAACTGTTTGTACGATGCATAGAGCCTCGGTTTCATAGGTGCCCGCATAGTCCACATGGTGGTGCCAGGAGCGTTAATTACATGGTCGGAATGAATTGGCAGAGAAATCGGCCGAAGCTTAGAGGTTTCATGCGCCATGTCGTTGGGCCGGAGTTAGGTTTCGCCGAGCAGCGGCCACCATGAAAGTGTGGATGTGTACGGATGTGGCTTGAGTGAGTGTCCCGATGTATGATCCAGTCCCCAGTCGGAATTTCCTGCGCACTAAGCAGTCCGCGCGATTCCATCGACTTTGCTTAACCGTGACCTTTCTGTTCCTATATGTTGCGACTGTGGATTGTGCCCACAAGGCGGCGCCACCATGCTACTGATAGCTGGCTGTGTGTGTTTGTGTGTGTGTGTGTTTGTGTGTGTGTGTGTGTGTGTGTGTGTGTTTGTGCGTCCCAAATACGTCTGGCCGGAGAAGTCGGTGGAAGTCTGTCTATATCATCCATTGTGATCGTATGAACAGATGGTCCGCTTACTCGGCCACAATACAAGCTTCACCATGTCTTGCAGTCAAACCGGTTGGTTCCATGGAGGTAGGCCAGGTCGATTCTGCCTGTCCGTATGATCACTGTACTGATTACTCAATGTTTATCCGTACGGAGCGGCTCGGGGTTATGTTGGTATGTGTAGTCAATCACTCTGGAAGTTGGACCTCTCGGTCACAGCGCGGATGCCACGTAGAAGCGAGGCCGATGAATACGTAGGACACCCTTATCCTTCTGATAATCACTGACGTAGGTCCTTGTTGCCGGGCGGCAGTCTTCAAGAAAGCTAGGAACGCGTTCAAGCCGAAGGAAATTAGAATCTAGTCACATTTTTATTTCACCACCAGCTATCTACTATCTACCCCAATGTGCGCTTCTTCGTGGCTACGCTGCCAAACTTTATCCTCTCCCTCTCCCATGCGGCGTGGCCAAACCTTCTGATGACCAAGTCTTTCGCCTCCTCGATCGCCTGTTCCCCACGCAGTTGGTCGCACGGCAGGAAGATAGGTGCCCATAATACTTCCACTTCAATCAACCCGTTAGGCGCTCGCCGTGCTTCTCCCAACTGCATGTATTCGTATTCCTGAATGGTACTAGCTAGCGCACGTTTCGTACGCAAAGAGTCACGTGGAGCGCCCTTCTTCTGCCGCTGGGTCTTGCGCTTTGAGATTCCTCGTTTTTGTTCACAAGTAACGCTCACAAGCGGGTGTGTGATAACTTGTTGGTCAGATTCTGGGTGATGGCAGCGCGGAGAGTCGTCGTCTACAAATCGGCTGTAAGTCAGACGAGGCAGGTACGCAGGCCGCTAGGCGTGGGCTGTATCTTACTTTTAACTAGTGAGCCCTTGCGTTCATGCGGTACCCACTGCCTATTGACAAGCTTTTCATACTCGGAAAACAGAGCATGTAGACGGTCAGCGTCCGGAGGTATGGGTACGGGAGCACTTTCGGGATCCTCCTGCTCAGCCACCAGTTGCATGGTAGAGGAGGTTGAGAGGCCCAAATCAATGTCGAGCTTGTCATGGGTAGATTTTGAGGGGATATCGCTAGAGTCGCCGAAAGAATCCCATTCATCATTATCGATCCCATTGCAGCTACTTATGCTGCTGGGTGAAGATGCAATTGTGATCGCGGAATCCCAAGTTGAGCCAGGTGACAAAGTTAGGTCATTTTGAGTCTAGAGCGTTGAGCTTGCTTGTGTCGATACGATTCCGTTCATCGTGCGATACGGTTGAAGTTATAGGAAAGAAGAGGTGCATATTGACCAGGCGATTCGAGTCGATCGTGAGGGACCCTTATAGCCTTTATATAGGTGGTATCTAGCACAGTAACCGCAGCGTTAACCAATCATGGGCACAAACACATCGCCTGGACTTCTTTCTCCATTTCGATCAGCTTCGCTAGCCCAATCGTGTAGGAGCCGCCAAACCATTCATCCAAGTACATGGATGGTCAAAATATGGTCGCCCACCCCGCTCTAAATCTTGTTCCAACACTTCGCATTTTGGCAGTGATGCTTACTGCTCCTCCTGCTTCTCCGCCCGCTCTCCCTTCTCTGCCTTCGAGCAATCTTCGGAATCTTCGGTACCGCTAAGCCTCGCCGCGAATGCGGCCAAGAGTTTTCCCGCGTCATTTCGCAACAGCAACCTCAGATGACGTGTCATCAAATTCTTGGGGGACACGTAATATGGCGCGGGAAGTCGAGAAGCCGAGCATCGAACGATGACTCCTCAGCCTGTCGTTTAGCAGAAGACATTCAGCCTCCGGCGTTTTGCGTATTCAGCTAATGCAGGCGGGGGTGCCAACCAATTCGACGTCGACGATTCGAGAGGGGTTCGAGCGGCAGAGATCGACACAATTTGTACGCTGTAAAAGGACATGGCCGCAGGTTCGTGGACCTACGTCGGCCGTACTCTGGCATACTTGGGCTGTGACGTGATAGCAAGGCAAAGCGGGCAAAACCAATCTCTGAGCATATTGGTCCTATGTTCCTAGCCGGCTCGAAGGTCAACTGAAAAGCCTGAGATGACGGAACCGGATGCCCCAAGCCTCGCGCGTCTCATGGGATACCCAGATGAGGTAAATCTTGCGAGACAATGGAAAGAGTTAGCCGTCTCGCCAGCCACCCAGTCCCAACTGCAGGCATCGAAAATCATTCCGGACACACGCCGAAACACTGGATGCAACCCATCACGAGACCTGGTCATCACCAACAGGCCATCCCTGCAGGAATTTGTTCGATAAGCCGTAGTGTCTGTAGAGTTGGCGAACGATTCGCGTTCATCCGGGGACAGATCGTAGACGTGTAGATTTAACAGGCTGTGAAGAACGGGCGACCGTCGCAGGTCGACATGCCGCAAAGATTCGTGTCGTGGTCATCATAGCTGAACGGCGTGGCAGCAGCAGAAAGAAAGGACAGGTGCATCAACGACAGGGACGTGCGACAGGAAAGCGGAGTCTGGTGAGTCCAACAAGAATGGTGTCCAACGCGACTGCGACCAACGCAGCGATGCCCTGCGACAACAGGGAGAAGTGGGAATCGGTCAGGGTCAATGGATCGAAGGGCAGAGTACGAGATGAGGGGAGAGAACGAAGGGGAAATTTCGTTGGGTTTGGTTGTGGTCTTATAAATTTTCTCTAAAGCAGCGGGAGGCGGAAAGTGGGAAAAGTGGGCCGCGGGGGCGGCGCCTTACCCGCGCGGGCAGGCGGTCGAAAACGGCAAGCCAATTTGCAGCGACCGACTTTACATCGTGCACATTGTGTCGATCAAAGCTGGATGAATTTTCATGAATGAGCTTTCTACATGATACATACTATAGGCTTCACAGGGTACAAAGCGCTTGGAGACAAAGACAACACAGCGGCACATAACTCCTGTCCCTGTCGCTGTGTAGCACTGCGTATGAGAGAGCATTATATATGAAGGCAGTATGTAGCAAGATACACGTCGCTCCAAAAATAGCCAACGAAATCTTGAAGACGTTAAGACTATAGCTTGCATTACTGTAGCAATGGACCAAATATGACGAACCATTTGGTTGACTTGACACTCTCGTCTTCCTCTGAGCCAGCGGTGATGTCAGCCCAAGCCTGCTCAAACCAGCAAGATTCTCCTGACCAGTATGAGTGGAGAACCATCGCCAGCCGTCTTCGGTCCAACATTTGACAAGTAGTTTAAGGCCAGGATCAATTCAGGAGGATACATCCGACTAACCTCTTCAGCGATAGCCTGGAGCCTGCTGATTGAAATTGAGGTATTCTTTCTTAGCAGGAGTTATTTAGCAGAGTCTCTGTGTATAAAAAAAATACTTCGACTTACATGAGCTTTGCGTCATGATCAGTGAATGTGATTGCCATCAGGGAATCCCTACCCAGGGCTGAGCATCGATTGGCAAAGCGGGTAAGAGACAGCACCTGTGCTCTAGGTTTTCCCGTGGCTCTGCAATAAATGTCAATGACGATCGACGCATCCCGTTTGCTACGTTTCCCATCAATGACCCCGCGGCGACGGTCTTCTTTCACCTTCTCTTTGAGACCTTTAAGGACACGAGTCAGTTGAATGGAAGCAAGCCTAATGGTGCGTTGAGAGGCAGTGCCCCTAAAAGCAACGTCCAAAGTCAAAAGCATGTCCAATATCCTCTGATCAGAACTTGTGGCTTCCGCTGGAAGAGTTGTCTTTGCTAGTAGTGAGGTCCATTCTTCGTATATTTCGCCACAGTTATCCAAAAGGAACTGCTTAGCATCGTGCCTAATCAAGGCTTGCGTTACGGTATTTTGTGATGCTGGCATAGTGCTGGATGCTGGAATCTTGCTGATGGTTGGGTTCACTTAGCACTGGTCGACGACGTATTTAAGCGCCTTACAGGTTGATGATCCATTTTTAGGATCCAAGCGCGTAGATCGAAGGTATCAGAATTGAGACGGCGGACACGGGAATTTTCGGCGCTAAGATTTGATAAACCAGTTCTTGCTACTGGTGATGCCGCAGACTCTGTACCTCAATCCAGCGCTACGATATGAGATCTTAGATCTTACCGCTAGCATCTTGACCTCAGCCCCAGGCAGGGATTCGGGGGTCTATTACATAGCACAGACCCCCACTATGCTGAGGTGTTGTGGATTTTAAGATCTAAATCCACTTTGCCGCTTCGCAAAATCTTTGCAGACGTCGATTGTCTTAAGGTTCGTTGGTTTCCAAATCGAGCCTCGCTTCAGGCTGTGCCGCCAGGTGATATCGCATATTCGCATGTCCCCAAAGTAGGGCGAGCAACTCCCTACTGAATTCCACATTATTGCTCTCCCGCAACACGAGAATATTGTTATCAAGGTATGTGACGCAGCGAAGATAGTCCAATAATGATGGTTTCATGACGACGGCTTGGCGTAGAGTATGGATGATCCACTGCAAACAGCTCATTGCAGAAAGCTCCGTGGTGACGGTAACGGTGACAGTGACAGTGACGATGGTGATGGAAAAAAGAAGGAAACGGTGAAAACAGCCGAACTCATGGTTCTCAAGGCCAGGAGCCCAGTACAGAAGGATCAGTGCAGACGGCTCTGCAGACGGC